GATGCTCCAGTACAGGCAATGAGGTGTTAAACTGAGTTCCCCGTCTATGACCTGTTCAGGGGGGAACGTTTTGTGAAAAAGACATGGGAGTTTATCCCGGTCAGTGTCCTGGACGATAATCTCTCCCCTCCCAGATAAAAATCATTTACTCGCTCACTTTGTGGCTGTTTAGGAGATGTTTTCTGGCTGCCACGTTCGCACACAGTCACTACAGTTGAGCAAAAATCCTGTGAAGCACTTTGAGACGTCCTGTTGACATGAAAGGCGCTGTAGTCAGATGGAAAGGTTAATTAATTATTATTATTATAATCTCTAGAACCCTCCCTCTCCCCCACTGTCTCACACACACACACACACACAAACCCACCCCGCCTCACCCCCACCACTCTCTGTCGGCCCAAACCCACCCCAAGAAACTATCTCTTTGATCATGCTTTTTTTTACGGTCAGAAAGAAAGCTCTTTCAGACGTTTTGACACGACAAAGCGCTGTGTAAATTATTAATATCGTTAAAAAAAAACAGCTTCACATCCCGTGAATCAATTGCACAGCCAGAAATGGAGGGGGTTTATGACCTACTTGTGATTGATCAGGACTCAGAAGCTATGGAACCGGTTTTACGTATTTAATGCAATTACACAGAAGCCACCAGCAAAACAGGAAATTCAACTAAACCCATCTGTGAGGCGTTTTTTCCACAAACTCACACCCTCTTCCCCCAACCCCTGTATTTTACAGAGGAACAGGAGGAGGCCATTCAGCCGCTCGAGCCTGTTCCGTCGTTCTATTAAATCACGGCTGAGCTGGTGCCTCAAATCCAATTGCCCTCTCCGTCACATTTCCCTTCTTAAATCGCTAGCCCGCCTGAAGGCCGCTGAATAAATAAGTGCAAGCCGTCGTTGTCGTGCCAAGCAAACCCCGCGAAGCGTCTGCAGGAGCTGCGATTGGCGGCCGCAGCTCGCCCACGAAATACACCGTCGGTTTCGGGAGACTTCGCGGAGACGCGAAGTCGTGGGTTTGTTATGTTAGGAGGCAATCGCCTTATCGGGGCGGTGGCTTTCGCGTCCGCTCTGCCTTTGCGTGTCGGAGCGGGTTTCGAGTAAAGTTGGGCGTTTTCGAGATGGAAGAAGGACCATTTGCGACGCCGTTTGCAGGTCCTTTAGCCTCTCCCCTCCCCAGAGAGTTCACGTCAACCTGCGAGTGGGGGGTGTGGTGGGCTGTGGGTGGGGGAAGCTGATAGCTGATATTATTGTATTTGACGCTGTTTCACTCCCAATACAATTCCGAACTGACAGCAATCAGCGTCAAATGGCGCTACATTAACACCCAATCTGACACGCGAGCAAAGGTCTGACAACAGCAAATGGCTGCTAATGAATATTAAAATACTTGCACGTGACTTCAGTGTGCAAATCCCTCTCTTTACTCCATCGGCTCTCGGGGGTTGGGGTGGGCGTGCGGGGGGAGAGTTTGAGCTCTCACCTTAAGCTGACGTTCCAGCCCCCCAGCGCTTTTGGGGACGTGAAAGGCGCTACGCGAGTGTAATTTGTTGTTGTTCATCTCGTGCTTCGGGGTGGGGTGTGGGAAGAAGGGCTTTATTGTCACTGTCCTTTGGATGAGATGTTAAACCCAGTTCCCCGTCTCTGCCCCCTGTTTCTCCCGTGACGCGATTTCAGAAGGGAAGGGAGTTGCTCCCAGTCTGCATACCGGCTGTCAATCCCCCCCCCCAAACCCCCCCAACGCAAGATAAAACCGTCACTCACTTCCCGGCTGTGCGCGGAATGCTGCTGCCTGCAAAATCGTCTGCCTTCCTGGGCTGCGGATCACACAGCCGCCGCCTTACACGGCACAGGGAAGCGCTTCGAGACGTCCTCCTGACGTGAAAAGGCGCCGCCCTCGAGCGCGAGGCGCGTCGTCGGAATTGTTGGCGTTCTCGGGCTGCTGTTCGAGCGCCAAAAAACGACCCGAAATGTTTCGTGCGGGCTGACGCGGCGGGTTTTTTTTTGTGTGTGCGCGGAGCCTCCTTTGCGATAGGCGTGGTTGGGCTATTTGCTTATCCTCTCCCTTTTTTTTAAGCGGAAAAAAAAAAGGGCTGTGAGTGCTATTGTGTGGAGGGCTTTGTGCCTGCGACTGTGGTTCTGCAACGCAATGGTGGGTTAATGAGCCAGACTGTAGAGCAGAGGTCACTGAGCGGGGGGATGGGAAGGCTGGGGTGGGTGGGGGGGGGACCCGGGATGGGGGGGGGGTGCGGTGGCTAGGTTGGGGAGTGAGAGGAACGTGCGCGGACATTTAAAAGCTACTCATTCCGTGAGCAAAGAGGTTTGTTGCCGTCTTCAGTGCCAAAGAGCTAGGCGGGTGGGAGGCACACTTGCCGGGCAGACAGCCACACTTGCCCTGTAATTGGAGTGTACTGGGGTTGGGGAGGGGGGGGGGCTTTTGTCTGAGACCTAATGACCGCTCGGTTTCCGAGACAGGAGCAAGACCACCGTAGCCGCTTCCGCACCATTTCCGGAGTTCCTTCAAGAAGGGGAATAAATTGCAATGGCTTAGGGTGGGGGGGGGGGAGGGGGGAGAGCCCAGAGGGTGCGTTGGGGGTAACTGCTAGAGTCTAAACCAGCTAAAACCACACAGCTTGGCCGCTGCGAGCAAGTCTGGCCAAGCTTTCCCGCTGCTTGTCCAGCTTGGATCACCCTCCCCGTTAGTTAGGGCTTTGGCTGCAGGGTTAACAGGAGCCGAGGGGGAGCATTCCCTGCCCCCAGTGTCTGGTCTGCCCTTCAAATGAGCCAGGCCGGGCTGTGCTGTCATCAGCAATGTGTGTCTGCCTTCCTGGCTCAGGAACCAGGACTAGAGACCGTCACAGAGGGCTGGACTTGGTCCAATTGCAAGGGTTATTAAATTAAAATACTAATTATTAAATTTCCTTGTCACAGTATCAATTTGCCAGCAATTGGAGTAATGGACTTGGATGGTTCAAGTGGGTAAATGATGGCCTTTGAGTGGTACTGTACACAGTCATTAAAACAGAAGTCACTAGGACACTCGCTCAGCAGGTCAGGCAGCATCTATGGAGAGAGGAAAGTGAGTTAATGTCTCGACCACATAATACAGTCACTACACTTCACAGTCTATCCTGTGAAGCGCTTTGAGACGCCTCGAAGACGCGATAAGGCGCCGTAATCAAATGCAAGGATTATTATTATTATTAGCTTCAGAGCAAAACTTTTTGTGGGTTTGTTGACGGAAGGCAGACACACACACACACAGAGCGCGGAGTGGAAAAGATTGATCCTAAACGATAAGTGGGTTAGTTGAGCCCTGCCTGGCAGAGCCCTAGTCAAATGAGTCTGAGCTCTGTTTTTCCGTGTAGCCTAGCAGTTTTCCTCTTATTTTTCCTTTCTAAGGCCATTGCCGCAGTGTAAAAGGCAGGAATAAACGTGCAGATGCCTGGTTCGAATGAAAACCTGTAGAGTCCCGTAGCTCAGTGGTTAATGTGCTCGCCTCGCAAGCGAGAGGACCCGAGGTCGATTCCCGGCCGGGCAAAATATTGGGTAAGTTTCCTTACTCCCCACGCCACTGTTTACCCAGCAGTAAGTAGGAACCCTGTTGTTAGTCGATTGGTGGATCGCTTTTTCCGGCATAAATGATTCCTTCAAAAGTAATAAAATAATAATTTGGTCACTCACTCCGCGACTGTTTGTGAGGACGCTGCTGTGCGCAATTGGCTGCTGCGTTTGGCCTACAAAACATAGTCCATTCACTTTACGGTGTATTCTGCGAAGACGTCTTTGAGACGTCTAGAAGATGTGAAAAGGAACGATATCAAATGCAAGGATTATTATTAAATTATTATAAAGCTTTCCTGCGACTGGCTTTGACCTAGTTTCTTGCTCTGCTCCCAAAAAACCAACGCTTAAAAAGCAGCTGATTGTCACACAACTCAACCCTAAGAGAGGGTTTGCTGTATGGAAATTGCTGTGTAAAGTAATGTGATCCCTCGCAGAACAGGCAGACGGAATAAGGGAAGAGTGTTTACTGCTCTGAAGGACAATTCAGACTAGAAATTAACAGGGTTGGTATTTGCTGCCTGTGTTATCACACATTTTTTACTGTTCTCTTGATTGCTTTAGCCTCCAGACAGAATACACTGCGGTTTGCAGACTCAACACTTGTCCCAAGATTGGGGGTGGGGGGGGGGAGTGGGGAGGGGGTGGGGGGAGAGAGATAGAGCACACTCTCCGAGCCATCCAGCGTGATGAGCGCTATATAAATGCAAGTTGCTGATGTTTGTGTGTTGTTCCGTTGAGTGTGTGTGTGTGTGTGTGTGTGTCAGTTTATTTGACTGTGTGTGAGTGTGCCTCTGAGGGCGTGTGCGCGCGTGTGCATGTGTGTGTCCATGTGTGTTCCACTGAATGAGGGAATGTGCGTATGTGTGGTTCACTGTGCGCGCGTTTCATTGCGTGTGAGCGTATGCGTTTCGCTGTGTGTGAGTGTAAGTGTGTTGGCTGAGTGTGAGTAAGTGTGGGCCTGCGTCCCACTGAGTGTGAGTGTGCGTGAGTGAGTTCCGCCGGGAGTGAGTAAGTGTGTTCACTGAGTGTGTGTGTGTGTTCCACTGTGTGCGTTCCTCTGAGTGTGTGTTGCACTGCGCGAGTGAGCCTGTGTACGTGTGTTCCCCTGGGAGTGGATGTGTATCCCCCCCACCCCCCCCCCCCCCATATTACACAGCCACTACACTTTACAGTGTATCCTGAGGAGCGCTTTGAGACGTCTGAAAGACGCGATAAGGGACGGTATCAAACGCAAAGATTATTATTATATTATTATTAGCCGTAGTTCACTGAGTGTGTTCCCTGAGTGTGCGCGTGTTTCCCTGAGTGAGTGAGTGAGAGTCCTGTAAGTGTGTGTGTAAGTGTGTAAGTGTGTTTCACTGTGAGTGAGTGCATATAAGTGTGTGTGTGGATACACACACATACACACACACACACATAGAGAGCGCTGTGCCTTTAGCACTGGATGTGTGCGTCAGTATTACTTGGAACAAAAGGCGTATGTGTGTGTGTGTATGAGAGAGGGAGGGAGGAAAGGAGAGAGAGAGAGAGAGAAAAAAAAGGAGAAGAGGAGAGGATTACAGCCTCCACGGCCATCAAATAAGTTTCTTATCCAGATCGTTTGGGGAAAAAAGGACAGAGAAACACTCCCTCTCCATCTCTCCATCACTCCATCCCTTTCTGACTCCCTCTCTCTTTAGTAATTACAGAGTTACAGCTCCAACAGTAAGTGGGAGAGAGAGAGAGAGACACACACACAGAGAGAGAGAGAGAGAATTTGTTTTGCGCAGAAAAATAAGAGAAGGGCTCAGATTTCTTAGGGAGGGTTTGACATTTCAGCTCCTGAACAATAGAGGCTTTTCTTTTATAAGAAAAGAGAGAGAAAGAGGCATTTTTTTCCCCCCCAAAGAATCCCAAACCCTTCATCCCCTTCTCTCTCTTGTGGAGCTTGGATCCCCTGTTGGATGAGGCTTGGCTTTGGGGGAAAAGTGGGAAGTTTTAAAGGAGAGAGAACACACAGAGAAGAGAGAGAGAGAGAGACTGAGAAAGAACACAACTGAGTTTCTTCTGAAGGAGGTAAGTGAGGAATACTGAGTTCCTTTATTTTTCTATTTGCTTTTAACCAAACATTTTGCATTGCTGATTCCTTTTTTTTGAACTGAGACTCAATTGCAACCATCTGTTGTGATCAGAGCATTGGCAAACCCTGTCTATTTTGTTAACCTCTGTATATATACACACATATATATACATATATGTATATATATATCAAATATGATATAAATCTCTCGCCCTAACAAAAGAAATTGCACGTTTTGAAACTCTAAATGGAAACGAGCTGTAGCAGAATTAGAAAGAAAATTGCAGAGAGAAAAAAAGGAATTGTTTGCAAGCTTTTTGAGGATACTCTGGGATTTTACTGTGTCTTTTCCTACAGAAATTGTACTTTTTACGAAATATATACCCAACCCCAACCCTTTTCCTCCCAATCTCCATCCTTTCACTCCCCCCTTTGCCTTCTTCATTAATCCATTTTTTTATTTATTTTAAATTTATTTTGATTTATTCTTGCCTTGGCCTTTCTTATTTATCAATACGTTTGTCCTTTGACTAACTATTCCTCTCCCCCCCACCCCAACCCCTTCCAAAAAAGGGACAATAAGGAAATGCAGGAAAATAACAAAAAGCTTCTTTCCAGATCAGATTTAAAAAGAGTCCTAAAACAAATCCAGGTTTGAAAAAAAGTTTAAGCTGCATTCACCTTCATCAGCACAGAGTCCTTGTGTGTGTGTGTGTGTGTGTGTTTTGTGAATTATTTCTAAACGTAGCTTCTGTCTGTCTGTCTGTCTGTCTGTGTGTGAGAGAGAAAGAGAATATTTTACATTGCAAATGCACAAACTGTATTTGAGTGTCTTTTCGTTTGTTTGCCTGTGATGCTGTTACCACCACTCCCTGTTATTGTGGAGCATTTTTTATACCTGCTTATTTTTAATCCAGCTATTTATATGTACTTGTCATCTCTCTAACCTCACCCCTTCACTGTAAACCATACTGGTGCTTGAATCTGATGTACAGTGTATAAGGAATCCTTATGCAAGGATTATTATTATTATTATTATTATTAATTAAGCGCCCACATTCTTAAGTGCGATATTGCAGCAACACAAATGACAAAGAGAATAATGTGTGCGTGTGTGTAATCTGATCTAAATTCCACAACCTTTTTTGTCCACAAAATCCACAGTCGTTTTCACTTCACCGTCTCTGCTGTCGAGCCCTTTTGAGACGTCTCAACAACGTGATAAGGCGCTGTATCAAATGCGAGGATTATTATTATCATTACATCAACAATAATAATGTAAATGTGGATGTTAAAAAGAACCCAGGCTTTCGTTGATGAGATTTCTCAGTGCAAATGATGTACGTCTCATCCTGATATCCTTTGGGCTTGCAAGCAAAAGAATAATCAAGATAATCAAGATATTTCCTCCTCCCCTCCCCCCCCAAATAACCCCCAAAAACTCCTGATACAAAGAAAAAAAATGCAGAAGTTAGATTTGCAGGGGAAAAAAGAAGCAAGCTTTCTAAGCAGGAGAGCAAAGTAGTAGAATTTCTGCATCTGTCTGTCTGCATACTCACTGCAACCTTCAAAGCTCAGTTTAATCTGCAACCTCACTGCGTGTATAACGCATTTTAAAATAATCCGCATAATATTTTCTGTGCCTGCATGTGCCATGGACATTTTGCAGAACATTCAGAAGGACCTGGATCCAGACAAACTCTTTCTCCCTCTTTCTCTCTTCCCTCGCTCCTTCCCAGGACCTGGGGATTTCAAAGAGAAATATCCTGCCCTCACACCCCACCACCGCAGCCCTCTCCGCCCATCTCTCCTTTCCCACGCACTTTAATGCGATCAATTAATAATCCTCGCATTTGATCCACCACCTCGTCACATCGCTGAGATGTCTGAAAGCTCTTGTGACTGTGACTACGTTTGCAAGCAAGAAAATGTATATAAATAAATGATAATAATAATCCTTGCATTTGATAAAGCACCTTATCACTTCTCAAGGCGCTTCACAGAATACGCTGTCAAGTGGAATGACTGTGTATTTTGTAGGCGAAACCCGGCAGCCAATTGCGCACACACATATATTAAAAGACAAGATTAGGGTTTATTTACTTGAATATATAATCTATATATATATATATATATGCACAAACACAGGGGCTTTGAGACGTCTCGACGATAAGGTGAGGCCCCGAATCAAATGCAAGGATTATTAATCTATGACATCTAAGTGTGTGGGGAAAGGAGAGAAGGTGCGCAGGATATCTCTTAAATCGCAGCTCCTGGCAGGAGGAAGCGACAAACTTTTCAGGAATTGGGCTTGAAAACGTGGTGGATTGTGGTCATTAAGCGACTGCACTCACCTCTTGGGAGCCTGTGATTCTGTGTAAGAGAGGGGACCTTTAAAGTAAACTCCCCTATTAGCAGGAGAGACTTGACGGGCGCGCGTGTGTGCGTGTTTGTGTGTGTGTTGGGCTAAGCCAGTTGGGACTGTTGTGTTTTCTTTCAAGTTGTGTGAGACGTCATTTCCCTCAATTAAAGGTTCAATGCTTACTTCCTGGTGCAACGCAATGTGTTTCACTTTACAATGTGTTCCGTCGAGCGCTTTGAGACGTCACGAAGACGCGATAAGGCGCTGTATCAAATGCGAGGTTTTTTTTATTATTATTGTTAATGCGGTTGGCATTTCCAACCCAGTGCTCCCATGCCAGCCGTCCTCTGTGGCCTGGACGTTAAAGACCTCCCAAGACGCTGGACAGTCAGGGATTTGGACCCGAGCCGGGGTTGGGATCAGGAGGGGTGGAGGGTGGGGTTAGGGTTGTGTGTCCTCGGATTTTCAGGATTGCCCCCCCTCCCACCTCTCCCTCCACGACTTGTTTATGGGACACCACTGTGCTCAATTGGCTGCCGTGTTTCACCGACAAATTGCAGTGTATTCTGTGAAGCGCTTTAAGGTGTCCCATAGACGCGATAAGGCGCTGTAATCAAATGCAAGAATTATTATTATTATAATATATCAAGAGAAGTCCCATTTCCTTGAATCCCTTTCCTCGCCGGGAAGGTGCTAACGCTGCTTGTGATATCCTTCCCTGTTGCGATGAGGGAGGTGATTTGGCAGATTGCTGGGAGCGGAAGCTTTCATGCCTCGGAGGGGGAAATACGCACACTGTGAGGTGGCAAGGGTCCAATGTGAGTGTGTGTGCGGAGGGGGCAGGGGGAAAGGGGGGTGACAGCTTGTGGTCTGGCCACCGTGTGAGGTCTCCCACAGAGCGGAAGTTTCCCAACGCCCTTTCCGAGCCAAAATAAATCTTCAGAGAGAATGATAGAGGGGTCCGTCCGTCCGATGAGACGTTAAGTTAAAAACTCTTTCCCTCACATCTCGCCCGTTCTGCACGTTAAAGATCTCTTTACTGGAAAAGTGAAAGGAGTTTCTCCTGGTGGATAATCCCACCAGTAAAATCGTTCCCTTTATGGCTGAGCCCAAAATTTTGGCTGGCACTTTTGCCCGGAAAACATACACACAGTCCCATTTGCACTGTACAGGATGTCTGACCTCCGAAATGTCCTCCTGACATGAAAGGCCCTGTACCAAATGCAAGGACTGTTATTGTGCCAATAAAAAAAAGCTCTCTTCGCTTTCACGTGTTGGAGGACATCGATAAGTGCTTCATATGGTGTGAAGTGCCGCCAGTTTGCGCACAGCGACATCCCCGAAAACAGACACAGAGTGGACGACCGGTATTATCCGGGGTGGAGGGGGTGGGGAGGGGGCGATGGTTATTGGCCATGACACCAACTGATCGGGAAATGTTTAACCCAAGATCTGAACAGCGCAGAAACAGGACCTTGTAAACAGGCGCTGTATGGAGTGTGAGTGCTTACTGGGGTTTATTATTTGTAGCGCTCAGCCTGACCTCTACACACACTTCATTGAATCCCTGAATCCTGACGACTTATAATAATACTAATCCTTGTATTTGACATAGCACGTTGCCACGCCGTTGAGAGTCTCAAAGTGCTTCAGAGAATATAGACTTCTTTTGTTCTCTGGCACACTCTTCCCCCATCCCCCCTCCCCCCTCGCTTCCTGGGAAAGGACTACAGGGGGTAATATACCCCTGGTTTTGAATCCTAACGAGACCAGTTACTGCATCGCCCTTCGCTGATATCCCCTTGGCTTAGAGCAGGCGAGCTTGACTCAGCCTAGATCAGGGACCTAGACCCTCTTTCTCCCTCTCCCTCTTTCTCTCCCTCCCTCCCTCCCTCCCGCTTTGCCTACCTGAGACATCCCTGGCGCTTGATGTTATATTGGATCCACACGGGTTTGAGTTAGAACCTGTGTTTGTGTGTGTATATACACGTGTTTCTGGCGCGCGCGTGCGTGTGTGTGCATACGCATGTGTGCATGTGCTTTGTCCGTACATGTAGGTGGCGCGCGCGTGTGTGTATGTACGTGCATGCAGATGTGTGCATTGTGGTGTGTGCCCACGCCTGGTGCGCGCGCACATTTTTTTCTACGCAGTGCATGTGTGTGAATGTAGCGTGTGCTTGTGTGTGTGTGTGTGTGTGTATGCTTGTGTGCGCGCGCGTACACATGCACGTATCTGGTGCGTTTGCGTGTGTGTTTGTGTATACGTAGTGCGTGTGTGTGTGTGTGTGTGTGCGAGTGCGCACAGGTCAATGGCATTTATGTGTGCAAATTCCTGTGTGCGCGTGTGCGCATGTGTGTGTGCACGGGTATGGTGTGCAGGCACGAGAGTGGGTGGGTGTGTGTGTGTGTGTGTGTGTGTGTGTAACGCGCGTTTAAAAACAAGCCCGGCTTCGCACGGAAATGTTTAACATGCGCATATCATTTTCAGCACAAAAGCCAGTTTGTTATAGAAATCTGCTAGTGATCACGAGCAAAGTCAGCCCGAACCTGAGAAGGGTACTTCTCTTTGGCTGCTGTTTCCTCCATCCCTTCCTCCTCTATTCCCCCACCTCAACCCTTCCATTGCCTTCCCTTCCCTCCCCCCCCCAACCACCCCCTCGCTCCCCTCTCTTTTCACTCCTCCTTGTGCGTTCAACACAAGGACATTGTGGTTTGATTTCCTGTCCCAACTTCAGACAGATGTGGGAAACAGCTGGTGCTGTGTTCAAACCACCATCGAGCTCTGTGTCAGTGTGTCCATTAGTCATGAGAGAGAGAGAGGGAGAGAGAGAGAGAGAGAGCGTGAGTGAGCGAGATCTGTGATTGAGACCTTCTGTGTCGGTACTACATCAGCGCCTCTGGCTCGCAAGAGAGGAAGGGAAGGGAAGTGGGGGAAGGGAAAAGGGTGTGGGGGGTGGAGGAGGGGGGGGAAGCAGAGTGCGTAATTGAGCTCTTTTGCAAAAAAAAAGTCATTAAACGGAGAGAGAGAGAGAGAAAATGAGCACTTGAGAGAGAGAGAGAGAGAGAGCAAGAGGTTACAAATCCCTTCCTGCTGTGAATTAACGTATTGGGCCATTGCACAACAGATTGCTTTGTGAGAGCGGAATGAGGGTTGGGACACAGAATACAACTCCCCCCTCACCCCCTCCTCACCAGTGAATTATAAGCCGGAATTTAATGGAGTGTATTTTTATTAGAGGGTTGACATGTTGAATTTCAGACACCTTCCGAGTGACTTAACCACTCAAATTGGATTTGGGGAATTGGATTTCTTTTCATGACAAAATGACACCGCCCAACAGTGCTTTGGGCAGTGCAAATGGTCTTATTCTGTGCCGTGGACTTGTAGGGGTTCTGCGGTGACGGCCAAGTTTGGTGTCCTGTTTGGTTGGACGTTAAAGATCTCCTCTTCGTGACCGGCTAACTCCATATGGATCTGCCCTCTCCCTCTGCTCAGCTCAGCGGGCTCCAGCCAGCTCCGTGTCCTCCCGCCCGACCCAGCCCAGCCCAGCCCGCCCCACCATCGGCTGTCAGCCTCTGGAAATCCACCGCGCAGTCCCTCCGCCTCCATCCCCCCGCTCCCTCGCCTCCTTCAAGGCCCGTCCTCTTCGACCACGCCTTCGGTCACCCTCCCCGCCCTTCGCCACCCCTGATCCAAACCCCCAACCCCACCCCGCCCAGCTCGGGTCCAAATCCCCGACTGTCCAGCGCCTTGGGAGATCTTTTAACGTCTAGGGCGCAGACGGGGAGACTGTGGAGTGGAGGTGGAGTCCGCTGGCGTGGGAGCACCACTCCAATGCAGTGGAGCTCCATTAACCCTCCCACTGCATTGGAGTGTCCGCCCGGGCGGAACATGATGCACTTGCACTCCCGACCTTCTGGCTCGGAGACGAGAGCGACAGGGGCGAGGGCTGGCGGCAACTGAGGTTGTGTGGGATATTCGAAGACGATCCCAGGATGTGTGAGTCACTTGAGGAGTTGCAGGGAGGGAAGAGGTTGACTGGGAGCTGAGTGTACATGTTTGCTGATTAACGGATAGACGCATTGTGGGGAAATAAGATGGACAATTTCCAGGATTCGGTGACTGCGGAGCAGCAATGTGCATAGAGGGTGGGGAGGGTGGGGGTGGGGGGTAAAGAGATGCCAACCACAACAATAATAATCCTTCCATCTGATACAACGCCCTTACCCACGCCATCGACACGTCTCTAAGCGCTTCGCACAAGAAAGCGATAGGGCGCTGTATCAAATGCAAGGATTATTATTACTATCTCTCCCTGCCGCGCACCATTTACGTCACGCCATTTTGGTTTGGAAACCATTTATTTGGCGTGCGGGAGTGACACCATATCGCTATATGTTTTGACCCCCCCCACTCTTTCTCGCACGCTGTTTCGCTCACTCTCTCCCTCAAACACACTCACTCAGTCTCTCACACTCTCTCGTGCGGACTCGCTCTCTTTCGCTACCCACCACCACCACGAGAAGCATTAAGCATTGGAGCGCCGGGACTATTCCACTCCGGCCCACTCCGCACGGAATCCTGTGTATGTGGTCTGACTGCCTCTTTTGACCCACTTGTCGCAGGGAGGTGACGGAGACCGAGATCTCAAAGCGGAGGAGGAGGAGGAGGAGGGAAGGGGATAGCAGCAAAGCGGCACAGACTCGCACGGAGCGAGCGAGAGAGAGGGGGAAAGAGAGAGAGGGAGCGAGCGATGTCTGCTGCCGTTCTTGAGGTGCTCTTCTGCGGCTCGCTGCTCGCAACCATCGCCCGTCACACGCAAGGAGGCAGCTGGTACACGACGCCACGCAGGACAGTCGGCGACCGAGGTGAGTGACTCAGTCCAACAACAGCAACACCTTGCATTTATACAGCACCCCCTCCCTCAGTCCCGGAGCCCTTGACAGTGGCAGAGCGTGATGCCAAGCCAGGGGCGAGGGAGAAGGTGACCGCAGGCGCGATCTAATAGGAAGGTCTTTGGGCATGAGCTGAAGATGAGGAAGAGGAAGGGGGCGAGGCGGAGGGCTGGATAGAGGGAGAGTATGCCAGAGTATTTGGGGGGTAGTGGCTGAAAGCGCGGCCGCCGATGGTGGAGAGGAGGGCGCGAGGGACAAGCAAGAGGCCGGAGCCACTCGAGCTTCCTTAGTCCACGTGCCTCAACAACAACTTTGTGCCTATCACTCAGGGTAGTGTTTAAACTCTGTCACTCTTACCTCGCATTAAGTAGAAGCCCGGTTGTTAGTCAATTGCCGAACCCAATCGCATCTGGTAATAATAACTACCCCCCACCCCACCCCCCACTTCCAACACCGCCCACCCCCCCCTCCCCCCAAGTAAAATTGGTCAATTAATCCACGAGTGTTTGTGGGGACAGTGCTGTATGCAATTGGTTGCCATGTTTTGGCCACAAAATACCCAGTCAATCCATACTTTACAGTATATCCTGTGAAGCGCTTTGAGACGTGTCAAAAATGCATTACATTTGCATTATTAAAATCCAACCGCCATTTTAATAAAACACGCCTAGTGGTTTGCGCTGTGTGAAAATTCACTGCCAAATACGCAGTCGCTACACTCGCCAGTCAAATGCTGTGAAGCGCTTCGAGGTGTCCTCATGAGGCAGTCGGTATCGAACCCGAGTGTTATTGTTAATAATCATATTGATATTATAAAGAGGAGGAGAGACGCGCGGGGCGGGAGGTCAAAGACTCCAGTGATTTGCCACGTGGCTGGGAGTTTGTAGAGAGAGAGAGAGAGAGAGCGACTACTCGCTTTTCCCTCTCCCTTCCCCCCCTCTCACCGCCCGAAACACAAGTTGGACCGATGCTCTCAAAAAAACCCTCAATCAACAAAACATCTGGCTCCCATTGAAGGCAAGTAACTGATGGCTAGTAACAGAGCAAAGGCAACGAGCTGTTGAACACAAGCACACAGCGCTTTCTCTCTCGTTCTCTCTCTTCCCACCGCCCCCCCTCTCCCCCACCCTCTTCCGCCCTCCCCCCTTTCTCTCTCTCTCTCTCTCTCTCCCTCCCTCCCTCCCCGTCTGTGCCTTACTCGGGTGAGGGCTGAAGTATAGAGTAAGAAGCGTAACCCTAGCCTGGTTCAACACAACGCCTTAGCTGATTCCAAAGTCTTTGCAGGAGTTCACGGTAAAGTGCAGCCACTGTACTGTGGATTCTGTAGGCCAACTTGGCAGCCAATTTTTTCTGCCCAACAAAATCCCCGCAAACAGCTGGGAAGTGAGCGAATGGAATGGCCAATTTTACACAGTGGGGGGTTTGTTGGTCAGGACATCGTGAGAGAACTCACTTCTCTTTACCGACGGAAGAGTCACCCCGGGCTCCGTGAGCCCATCGCCCAATAATTTCCTCCCCACCCATCCACCCGCACCGCTCCGCGCTCCCCCTCGGGAGAGGAGATGATTGTGGAGGGGCGCCAGCTGAAGGCAGCTTTGATCAGACATGTCTTGGAAGCTGAACGTGAGCCAGGAGGAGCGAAGGAAGCCAAGGAGTAGCTTTGGGATTGCGTTTCAAGGCAACGAAAATCACTGCTTGTTTTTCTAAACACTTTGCCGCTTTGAAGGTCACGGCAGCTGCTTTTTAAAGGTGGGGGAGAATTCTGGCTGATTTTCCAGGGGGGAGAATTCTGGGAGATTGTCAGCCATTCGCCCACAGTCACTACACTTTACAGCATCTCCCCACCCATCCAATTATTATTACAGTTTAGATCACTGTGTAGAGGTAGCTTCTAAGTGGCTTTTAGTGATGGGTCAGCCAGACCAATGATAATAATAATAATCCTTGTGTTTGATATTAGCGCCTTATCACACCATTGAGTCGTCTCAAAACGCTTCGCAGAATATATTCTGTAATATAATGTAATGTACGAACAGATGTGACTCTTCTTATAGTATGTTTGAGCTTCCTTGAAATAGCTACCTTCTGCAGGAGGTTGAATGGTTTGCTTTACTATTATTATTATTATTAATGATTATGATGAGCGGACAGACTTCGCAGGAGACGAGATGAGTTGTGAGAGTCGCACAGTGCGTTGCGGTTTGACAAGGCCACACAGCTGTTTTTCTTTCTCCGCAGAAGTGATATTAAATGGGTTCATCCTGCCAGCAGCTACTTGCTCCCTCGCTTGCTTGCTCGCTCTTGAACTCGTTGCAGATGTTGACGGGAGGGGGAGAGAATGGGGGAGGGAGAAAAATCTTCAACCTTTCCATGGTAAAACCTGGAAAACAATTTGAAGATGTTTTTCCATTGAAATTGCTGGCCAGGTTTCCCTCCTCCAGAAGTTGAGGGGGAAGTGTCCAAATATCAGCTCAGCTAAAGGCAGTTATATCCCCGATTCCTTGCAGGTATTCAGCCCCGTTCCTCCTATCTCCTTCTATCGAGTCAGTGGTTCGAACGCTCGTGTTCGATTCCCGGGTCAGGGCGAAACCTTAGGCAAGTTTCCTTACTCCACACACACGCCCCTGTTTACACAGCAGTAAGTCGGAAGCCGGTTGTTAGTCGATTGGCGGATCGCTTTCTGGGGGTGATAATTCCTTCCAAAAATAAATAAGTCATTGGGGCACCCAATCCACGACTGTTTGCGGGACACTGCTGTGCCAAAATACACAGTCACTACACCACCTTGCAGTGTGCCCTGTGAGGCGCTTTGAGACGTCGTAAAAGCCGTGATAAGGCGCTGCATCAAATGCAAGGGCTGCAAGGACCATTAGATTCCGTCCGTCGAGAGCAAGTCTGAGCTGTTGTATTCTGGACAGGGATGAGGAGACGCGATAGACTGATCCTCTGTGTGTGACGGCAACGCCCCCTTAAACAAGCACAGGCTCGGGCATGCGTGTGTGTGTGTGTGTGTGTGTGTGTGTGTGTTGAAATGATGTGCGTTCTGAGTCTGTCAGTTTGAGTCTCTCCAGCTGGTGTGTAGCTGTTGGCTTCAGTGAGCAATCTGCTCAGCCCTGGTGATCTCATGTAATTGGCTCAGTTGGTGGAATCTGTTTGCGTTCTCCGTGACGTTGATGTGGGCTGGTCTCAGAGTGCAGCTCAGACTTAAGTTCGAAACGGGTGGTGGGGGGGGAGGGGAAGAGAGAGAGAGAGAGAGAGAGAGAGGGGGTGGGGGGTGTGAAGGAAAGAGAAAGAGAGGGAGAGGGAGTGAGGGGAGGGAGAGCCAGGACGTTGTAGATGGTATTTTCGTTTACTTTGGCAGCAATCTTTCCTGACGTTCGGGGTCGTTGAGGCTTAAAAGAGTTCCGCAGCTCGGAGCGTGAGCGCGAATCACTGCGCTCTCGGTCCAGGTTCGCGCTCCAGAGCAGTGCTGGGAGGGGACGGGGGTTGTGTGGTCGGAGACACCGTCCTGGGGAACGAGACGTTAATTTCCGAGCTTCCCATCCGTCCGTGTCCTGTTTCGCGCGGACGTCATAAAAGATCTGTAGCGTCTCGAAAGACGGGACAAGGCGCGATATCGAATGCGAGGATTATTATTAGTGGTATTTTCACCATCTCCTCGGCATGAGTGGGCGTTTAATGTCTTTGAACGGGGAGCAAGTGGGGGAGTCCAGCCAGGGAGGGGGGGGTTGGGGAGGTGACCGTAAACACGGTCAAAAAGGGAAGGTCTTTAGGCTGGACGTGAAGGTGGGGATGGAGGCGGGGGGGGAGCAAGGCGGAGGGATTGAGGGAGAGAGAGCCTCCCTGGTGGGTGTGTTGTACTGTGTTTCCCTGGCAGTTTGTTTCTGCCTTTTGTTTTTCCCAAATGTCTTCAAACAGCTCAGGGTGCCAGTGTTTGAGCGGAGAGATTCACAAGGGGCTCGCTTTCTTTCTCTCTCTCTCTCTTTCTCTCTCTCTCTCTCTCTCTATCTCTGTCTCTCTCTCTCTCCTGTTCACCGCCCAGTCCTGGGGGATTTAGTAACCTGGCAGTTTGTTGCTCGGAGGGAGGGAGGGGAGGGCGAGAGGCCCATTGACATGCGGAGGTTGGTGTCAGAATCATACAGTGTGGACGGCGGTTGCTGCTGCAGAGTTCGGCTCGATTGAGTCGTCAAACTGCTGTGTGTGTGACAGACAAGACAGACAGACAGAGAGACGTGTGTGTGTGTGAGACGGAGAGAGAGACGTGTGTGTGTGTGTGTGTGTGTGTGTGAGAGAGAGAGAATTGTGTGTGAGTGAGATGTCCATGTGCGTTTCGCCCACAAAATACAGATTGGAGTCTTACTTTGCCCACAAAGCACACAGTCACTCCGCTTTACAGGGTATTCCCGTGAAGCTCTTTGACACGTCTCGAAGACACGATAAGGCGCTGTGTCAAATGCAATGATTATTATTATTATTATTATCACGTGTGCGGGTGGGGGGGAGAGCGGAGTGTGTGTGTGTGTGTGTGTGTGAGATGGAATAAATCGCTTGTGTTTTTACCACATCACTGCCCGACCTCGCCTTAGAGAGTGGAGGCTTGTGTTTGATTGACCGTGAGTGAGGAGGGTGGGGGTGAGGAGGAGTAGAGATTATGTAGTGGCCTATTCGCATCTTGTGCTCAGCTTTCTCCAGTAAATCCACTCAGTTCCCCTCCCACACCGACCGGGTCATGTCTCTAAGCCCTTGTTTACATGTACAAGGCTGTGCAATCACTGAGAAAGCAGATGGGAGGGTGGTTTACACGTTAAGTTGAAGATTTCCTATCCGACGCTGATCACCCCCACCTCTTCCCCCTCTCCCCCACCCCAACCCCCTCCCCCTCTCTCTCTCCCCCTTCTGCTCAGTAATGCCGACACGGCAATTTCCTGCAAAGAGACATCTCTGCTAGGAATCCGTGTGCGTTGCCAACAGCTTAGCTGCTAAAAAGAAGTTTAAATCTCCTTTACAAAAGGGAGAAATTCCGCCCGGATTGACCAGGATTCTGTTGATGTAGCGTTCACGCGGCTTATCCAGAACTGCGCAAGAACATTGCAGGGCAGAAACGGGGCTGTTTCAGTGCTTATACGACGACAACAGGTTGCATTTATCAAGCCGGGTAAGGTCCCGGAGAGCTTCACGGTGTCGGAGCCTGACAACTGCTGTGTTTATGCTCCACACAAGTCTCCACTCCCATTCCTGCTCATCCCTAATAAGTATCACGGTAGTGGGAATGTGTTACTCTCTCCCTCCCCCAAAAAGCTGGGGGTTATGCCTGATCCATTCACATTCTCAAGACTGAGGTGGATAGGTGTTTGTTAGGTCGGGGGATCAAGGGATACGGGGCAAAGGCCGGTAATTAGGAGTTGAGGCACAGATCGGCCATGATCTAATAGAATGGCGGAAATGGCTTGAGGGGCTGAATGTCCTCCTCCTGTTGCTATGTTTCTGATCCTTGCGTTTGATTCCTGCCCTTCTGAGTCATCCCAAAAATGGGATGTGGAATGAACGTGAACAACAGGTTTATAACAAAAAGTAATCCTTGCATTTGTTATAGCGCCTTATCACGTCTTCGAGACTTCTCAAAGCGCTTCGCAGGATATATGGTAAAGCGAATTGACTTCGGGTATTTTGTGGTCGAAACGCGGTCGCCAATTGCGCACAGCAGCGTCCCCACAAACAGCCGCGGCAGAGAAAGGGTTTCTCTGTCTGCTTGTCTCGCTGGTTGGCGCAGTTGGCTGGGAGCTCGCTGGCTGGCTCGGAGCAATGGAAATTGAGCAGAAAATTAACAAGCAGGTGCCCTGGAAGCCAGCCTGGAAGAGAGTTAGAGATCCTCGGGTGCAGAGTCAGATAGTATAATCTCTCCCCCTCCCCTCTTCATCCTACGTACGCCAACCCATGTTCTAGGCTGTCATTCCAACCCACCGCGATAATAATAATAATCCTTGCATTTGATGTAGCGACTTATCAGGTCTTCCAAGACGTCTCAAATCGCTTCACGGAATATACCGTATTGTGTAGTGACTGGGTATTTTGTGTGTGTGTGTGTGTGTGTGTGTGTGTGTGTGGTGGGTGGCCTGCAAAGCTGTCAAGGGATAAACTTGTGAATTTTAGACTCTTTTGTGTGTCAGTCTGGCACAGTGGGTAACACTCTTTCCTCCGAGTCAGAAGGTTGTGGGTTCAAGCCTTCACATCGGGACTTGGAATCGCACAGTCTAAGCTGATGCTCCAATGCAGTGCTGGGGGGGTGGGGGCGGGGGGAGTGGTGTTGCATTGTCGGAGACAATTCGGAGGAGAAATTAAACCAAACTCCCCGTTTGCCCATTCAGGTGGATGTTAAAGATCCCGCGGCACTGTTCGAAAAGAGAAGGGAGTTTCAGTCTTCCTGTGTCCTGGCGCAACAATCATCCAAATGAAAAAGAATTGGTCGCTCACTCCACGGCTGTTTGGGGGGATGTTGCTGTGTGCCATTGGCTGCCATGTTTTGCCCACAATATACACAGTCACTGCGCTTTACAGTGTGTCCTGTGAAGCACTTTGAGACGTCTCGAAGACATGATAAGGCCCCATATGGAATGCAAGGATTATTATTAATATTTGGATGTCACAGGCACTGATTCAGGTAATAACACTCGCATTTGATACAGCGCCTTTCGTATCGGGAGGACACAAAGCTCTTTACAGCACTGGCTGTGCGCCCAAGCAGTTTATAAGCAATTTGCCCTTTAGCTTTGCAGCGAATCTTGTGGATTCTCATCAGCAGAGAGGACTATTTATACCTGTTGTACCTTTTCCTGGGACAGCGATGATTAGACCTTCAGTGAGAGCGAGAGAGAGAGAGAGAGGGCATGTACGCACTGGGATAATAATAATAATAATCCTTGCGTTTGATGTAGCGCCTTATTACGGGGCGATTGTGTTGGTATTCCCCGAGGGGACTGCTGTTTGGAAGCTGGGAATTGTGTCGGGTGTTTGTTGCAGAAGATATTGGGGTCCACTCCCTCCGCTCAGCGTTCTGCGGCCTGCTTCACGTCCCCCGCCCGGCTCTTCCCACCATCGTCGGTCGGGCCTTTAGCCTCTGTGCCTTTGGAACTCCATCCCACAGTCCCTCCGCCTCGCTCCCCCATCCCTCTCCTCCTTCAGGACCCTCCTCTTCGACTGCGCCTTCGTTCATTTCACCCTCCTACCCCCTACCCTCCCCGCCCTCTCCACCCCCTCCTGATCCCAACCCCCCAGCTCGGGTCCAAACCCTTGACTGTTTGAAACGTGCTCCAAGGTGCTGTGTAAACGTTGTGTGTTGTTGTTGTTGTTGGTGGAGTTCTGAGCCGGGCGCGGAAACCTGACATCCCCCTCTTCTCTTCCTGCAGCTCTGAGGGAGGTGAAACGCTTCTCGCGAGCAGGCGTGTTCAACTACACCACACTGCGGCTGGACGAGGAGAGACAGGTGCTGTACGTGGGGGCGCGGGAGGCCATCTTCGCCCTGGACATGCAGGACATCACCAAAGAGCTGAACAAAGCGGTGAGCGGAGTTTGCTTACAGTTCAAATAAGAATAATCCTCGCATTTGATACAGCGCCCTCATCGCGCCTTCGAGACGTCTCAAAGCGCTTCACAGTGGAGTGACCGTGTGCTGTATTTGGTGGGCAAAGCGTGGCAGCCAATTGTCCGCCCAGGAATCGAACCAGGGCCCTCCCGCTTGTGGGGGTCGAGTGCTCTAACCACCGAGCTCCGCTGAGGCACAAGTCACTTCACTTCTCAGTTAAAAACCCCGTGAAGCACTTTGAGACGTCATCCCGACATGAAAGGCCCTGACTTCACCAAATGCCGGGGTAGGTGGGTGGTGGGAACCAGTGTGAGGGGCGTATAATGATAATTGTCGATGCTAATCCTTGGTTTTGATGTAGTTTCCTTATCACGTTGTCAGTAACTGGTATTTGAGTAGCAGCCGATGATGCAGAGTTGCTGTTATCCGTGTGTCTTGTTGAGAGCGGTTGTTATTTCTGGCAGTGTTCGGCTCTTGTTGACGATGGTTGTGGGGGGGGGGGAAGAGAGTGAGTGACATAGTTTTGTACACAGGATGGAAAATTGGTTCTGGCCTCGTTCCCTGTAAATCCAAAAGCCTCTGAGCTTTCATTCCAGTTTCCTCACTGAGTCAAGAATGACTCTGGTGTCAACATTGCAAGGAGTCTGTGTGCTTTATCTCTCCTCGGAGTCACGACAGCCACTAAACCGAGCGCGAGATGCTTCGAGATGCGAAAGGCACCGTGTACTAATCTTCACGTTCGCATTGTGTTGCGCTTTCAAGACTCGGAGGATTTTCACTGGGAAGCTTTTGGGGACTGTGCATTTTGTGGCCAAGAGGAAATGGCAGACGATTTGCGCACAGCGAGATGCCCTCAGGCAGACAATGACTGATTATATCTACCCAGGTTCGATTCCTGGGCAGAAATCTCAGGCAAGTTTCCTTACTCCACACACAACACACACACACACACACAACACACACACACGCCTCTGTTTACGCAGCAGTCAGTAGGAACCCGGTTGTTAGTCGATTGGCGGATCACTTTCTGGGGGTAATAATCCCTCCCAAAAAAAACATTGGGGGTCACTCAATCTACGACTGTTTGTGGGACACCGCTGTGTGCGATTTGTCTGCCACGCCCGCAAAATACACAGCCACTGCCCTTTACAGTATATCACGTGAAGCGCTTCGAGACGTCTCGAAGACGTGATGAGGCGCCGTATCGAATGCAAGGATGATTATTATTTTTGTTATTCCCTCTGACCCTGTATCACGCAAACTTGGGTGATTCGTTTGCTGTTGCTTCAACCCACACACGACCGAGCTTCGTGGCGAGTTGGTTGCAGTTTTCGGGAGAAGGGGGAGGGAGGGGAGAGGGATTGCGTAGAGACTCCCTGTGAGCTCAGTTTCTCCCCTCAGTTATCTGTACTCTGCTGGATACTGTAGAAAATGAGGCGGACCTAATCTGAATTCATCGCCTGGCTCCATTCCTCCCACTCCCTCGCTCCCATCGCACTAGGAAGCCTGCTGTTTCCCATCTGCAAGACTCGCCTCATCCCGGCTTTTGATCCCTTTGGCATCTTCTTTCTCTTGATTCGAGCTTCCCTCTAATGAGTTCCTCCACCGCACTTCACTAATTTCCTGTGTCTCTCCCTGCAGCGTTGCCTCAAGCAGTTGTGCGAGGGGTGGGGGGGGGGTGGTAGTGGGATTGGCCAACCCTCTCCACATCCGCACCCCACCTTCGCTCCCCCCCCGTGATCAGGGACCAGTTGACCCATTGATCAACATCTCAGCCTCTCCCTCCCACAAGCCGCCCACCCACCCCCCACCCGGCCTAACTCAAGAGAGTCACTCTACCTACCGTTTGAAATTCGCTGCACTGTTTGTGACAAGGAGCTGCACGAAATGCAAGGGTAATCACGATAATAAATGCAATGTAAAACAACGGCTTAGTAACGGCAGTGTGAAGCAAACATAGCTCCTCTAGTCATCTGTGCAGCGAGGACTGTTATCCGCAGAGTGTAGTGACTGTGTGCGTGTGTGTGCTTTGCGGGTTGGCAATCGGGAGCCATTGTTACTATCGTTAACTGATCTACCTTGATGTGTGAGACAGATTCTGTGGGATGCCCCGGCTGATAAGAAAATGGAATGCATCCAGAAGGGGAAAAACAATCAGGTAATGTACTTTCAAAGCATTACGTAATAAATAGTCCTCTTGTTATTTTGCCCGCCTGCACGCCATAGGTTGGGATACAGACCCAGGTTTGTTTAGGTGTGCGGTGGAAGGTCAAACAGGATCAGGCAACAGACACACAGCCACCGTTAAGATAAGCCTGTGTGTTTTTTTTCCTCCTCTTTTTATATACACACACACACACACACACTGGATGATTTATGCTGGCAAAATGCCAGCCTGGAAAAGCAGTGAATCTGTCTCCCCCATCGGTCCCTGCCAGGGCAGATAAAAAACATTTCTGTAACAGCTAGACGTTTGAGTTTCAAAAGGGAATTGGATAGGTACTCGAATAGGAACGGTTTGCAAGACACGGAGATAGATCGGGACTGTTTGGGTAGCTCTCCCCAAGAGCCGGCACAGTAATAATAGTAATCCTGGTGTAACGGTAGTAATAATAATAATCCTTGCATTTGATACAGAGCCTTATCACGTCTTCGAGACGTCTCATAGTGCTTCACAGGATTTATTGTGAATGATAGTGTCTGTGTCTTTTGTAGACGAACGCACGCGACAACCAATTTTCACCAGACCCCTCCCTAACCACAGGATTAAAGCCACAATAAACACGGAAGGGATAACACAAATACTGTTGCAGTAAAATCCCCCGGAGATTTTTGCCTCGAACGAGGCGATAAGGGGCTACATCAGATGCGAGGATTCGTATTATAATAAATCCTCCAAATTAATTAATTAAGAGCCAGTCAGCTTGTAATAGAATAGGTGAGCGAGAGAGAAAGGGAGGGAGGGAGGTGGTGGGGTGGCGGAGTAATGTAGTGATCCTCCAACAAAGCATGTGTGTGTGTGTGTGCGTGAGCGGAGGAGAGGGAATGTTTAAAGGTCTTCTGATGGGTTTGATGAGTGAATGGAATCACCAAGAGCCGAACAAAGACTTGATACTGAAGCCAGACGCAGATTGCCAGGCGGTGGCAATTAACACGTCACCAAATGTCAGGCTGAGGTGTTAAAAGGATTGATGATAACAAAGGCAATCTCAGGCCCATGTTATTTCAGACAGAGTCCCGTCAGACAACAGTAAGAATGTGTGACATTCCTAATTCAAATCAAACTCCCCCCCCCCCCCCCCCCCCCCCCATCGCTGGTCCCAGCTACATGGTTTTCGCTGCTTAAAACTCCCAGAGGTTACCCCCTAACACACACCAGCCTTGGCCATCGCCAATCCTCGCCTGATACTTCTTGGGATTGGGTAAACAGGATGCGTCTTTTCAGAGGCAGGGAGTGTGCGCGTTTCCTTCCGACACACGGGAAATTTTCATCCCACGGAACATTTTCGGTGGGATGCATGGAATTCTCAGTTTGGTTTGGATATTCTTAAGCGTGTTGATGGGTATCCGTGTTTATCTGATCCCAGGCTGACCTTGGTCGTTAATTCTATTAATAATAATAATAATAATAATAATCCTGCCATTTGATTTAACGCCTTATTACATCGTTGGGACGTCCTCCCGACGTGAAAGACGCTATACAAATGCAATTTGTAATAAATATATGTATATTTTTAGATGTAGTCACTAAATCCACGACTGTTTGTGGGACACTGCTGTGCGGAATTGGTTCGTTTCGCCCCCCCCCCCCATCCCCCAAATATACAATCAAACCATTTTACAGTATATTTTGCAAAGACATCTCAAAGCACTTCGGGAAGTGGATTGACTGTATGTTTCGCGGGCGGAAAATAAGCTGATTTAAGTGCAATTGAAATCTCTTATCTCGCTCTCTCTCTCTCTCTCCCTTTCTCTATCTTTCCAACAGACTGACTGTTTCAACTATATCCGTTTCCTGCAGAGCTTTAACAGCACTCACCTGTACACCTGTGGAACCTATGCATTCCAGCCAAAATGCACCTACATTGTGAGTGTGGGTTAAATGGGACGGGGAGAGGGGTAGGTGGGGGGGAAGAGAGAACTTCGAGCCACATAATTACCTGGCTAGCCCTCTGATCAGCATCTCTGGCGAGAGAGATACCTTGGCGACATCGAGAGAAGGGAAGCAAAAGGCAAAATACTGCTAATCTGAAATAAAAACAGGTCGTTCAACCCACCACTGTTTGTGGGGACGCAATTGGCTGCCGCGTTTCGCCCACCAAATGCAAGGTCACTACACTTCACAGTGTATCCTGTGAAGCGCTTTGAGACGTCTCGAAGGCATGATGAGGCGCTGTATTAAATGCAAGTACTATTATTATCATTCTCACCAAACCCCCGGGCCGTCCGGCTCTGTTCTGTCCTCCCTCTCATCACCACGAACTGAGCCGATCTTTCTTCCTGCGACAGGAGGTGAGAAATTTTACGCTGAACAAGATGGCCATGGAAGACGGGAAGGGCAAATGTCCATATGACCCCACCAAAGGGCACACGGGGCTTATTGTGGGTGAGTATCTCTGAGCTCGGCCTCTCGGCTACCGTGCACACCGACCCCCAAGTTGTCGTCGTCTGTTGCTCTGTGAATGAGGACGTTTCTTGTGCAAATAATATGTTGTGGAAAAAAAAAGCATAAGCTGGGTGGAAAAGCAAATCAGATAGTTGCGTCCGTGCATGTTTGTGTGTGTGTGGGTGGTGGGGAGGGGGGGGGGTTGGGGGTGGGGTGGGAGGTGAAATAGAACCATTGAGAAAAGGAAGCCAAACACAATTCTATACAGGAAAGTAGAGATTAAGGGCGGACATTTCAGTGAGTATTTTTCAACAGTAGTTGAAGCGTAAGGCAAAATGTCAGTGTGTTTATGAAGTGGAGTGGAGTGGAGGGGGGGGGGGGGGAAGTGGGGTGGGGGGGTGGAGGAGGAGAGAGCAGGAAGCGTGCGAGCGGTAATGAACTGGCACTAGCAAAGCTGTCAGACAGGATAAATCAGGGGATAAACATATCGAAGCTTGCACGTCAGCGAGCTGTTAAAGTAACCAGGACTGGGAGCGGGGCCTTGTTTGGTGAGCACTTACTCGTGTTGTTTACTTGTTGCTTTAACTCTTAACTGGGGGGAGAGGTGGTCCTTCTATCTGCCAACTCTTCACAACATCATTTAGTATTTACCATCGACGGTCAGGCCTTCAGCCTTTCTCTCTCTGCCCTCACCCTATGGAGGTCCATCCCACAGTCCCTCCGCCTCTCCCCCTCCCTTGCCTCCTTCAAGCAACGTTTCAAGACCCTTCTCTTCGACTGCGCCTTCAGTCACCCTCCTACCTCTCACCCTCCCTCCCCTCCAACCCCTCCTGATCCCAACCAACCACCAGCTTGTTATCAACACAACAACAACAACAACAAATTGCATTTACACAGCGCCCTTCACGTTGGGAGGACGTCTCAAGGCGCTGGACAATCAGGGGTTTGCACCCGAGCTGGGGGTTGGAATCAGAGAGGGATGGAGGGCAGATGGGGGTGGGTGTTTGTGTGTGTGTGGAGGAAGGAAGTTGACCGAAGGCACGGTCAAAGAGAAAGGTCTTGAGAAATGCCTTGAAGGAGGCAATGGAGGGGCCAGAGGGTGGGGTTCAGTGAGGCTGAAGGCCCGACTGTTGATAGTGGAGGAGCAGGCAGGGCGGGGGGGAGGGATGTGTGGAACAAGCTGGAGCCTGCGGAGCAGAGGGGAACGAACAGGTTGGTGAAGTTTTAACACCAACTTGGGTTTAGGATTGAGAACACGAGCCAATAGTTGGAGGGGGCCATTGAAAGGGGAAGATTTATCGAGGCGGTTAATGTTGACGGATCGGGTTTGATCTCCTCTCTGCCCCCCCCCCCCACACAGATGGTGAGCTATATTCTGCCACGCTCAACAACTTTCTCGGCACGGAGCCTGTGATACTGAGAAATCTGGGTCACCACTACTCCATGAAAACAGAATATCTAGCTTACTGGCTCAATGGTAAGTCTCGTTATATTTCGCTCCTTCCTTTTCCCTTCCCCCTCTCCCCCTCTCCGCCCGCCTCTGAGGATCGCAGTAAGTAGAGTCTCATAGCTCAGTGGTTAGAGCACTCGCCTCGCAAGCGAGAGGACACTGGTTCGATTCCCGGGCGGGTCGGGGCGAAACCTTAGACGAGTTTTCCTTACTGTGCACACACACAAACACATGTCGCCCACAAAGTACACAGACGATCCACTTTTCGTGAAGCGCTTTGAGACGTCTCGACGACATGATCTGGCGGCGTCTCGAATGCAAGGATTATTATTATTATTATTACATAATATAAGCTCGCAAAGAAGATGAGATGCCGAGGTTTTGGGGCGATGATTAGCCTTGTTTTGCTGCTGTGTCGCCTGTTCCATTGTCCCTATAGGGACGTGAGGAGCTAAATGGCTTCTGGTTGATGCACAAGAGATGATATAAATGAGGCAACTGTTCGCTGGCTGGGTTGCTTCTTGTTTTCTTTGCTCAGCTGTAAACGCAGTCAGCGTTAACACTCATATGCAAGCAGTGCTCGTAAAACTACCCCGAACGCAGGAATTATTACTCAGTGATAACCGGGGGACATAGATTCAAGACAATTGGCAAAAGAACCAGAGCGGAGACGAGGAGATATTTTTGTTTTACACAGAGAGTTGTTGCGGTCTGGAATAAACTGGTGGAAACCGATTCAATAACAACTTTCAAAAGGGAATTGGATAGTTACTTGAAGAGGAAAAACTTGCAAGAGTATGGGGGAAGATGCAGGGAGGGAGTGGAACTGATTGGGCAGCTCTTCCAAAAGAGCCAGCACAGGCACGATGGGCCGAATGGCCTCCTTCTGTGCTGTAGGATTCTGTGGTTTTATAAGTAGTAATGGTAAGCACTTGTGGAGTCCTGTAGCTCAGTGGTCAGAGCGCTCGTCTCGCAAGCGAGGTTCGATTCCCGGGCAGGCAGGGCGAGAAGTTGGGCAATTTTCTTTACTCCACACACACGCACGCACACGCACGCACGCACGCCTCTGTTTACCAGCAGTAAGTAGGACCCCGGTTGTTAGTCGATTGGCGAGATCGCTTTTCCGGGGGTAATAATCCCTTCAAAATAAGTAATGATGATCGACCGCTCAACCCACGACTGTTTGCGGTGGGACGCTGCCGTGCGCAATTGGCTGCCGCGTTTCGCCCACAAACTATAGCAGTCGATTCACTTTACAGTCTATTCCGCGAGGGCGTCTCGAGGACGCGATCGGGCGCCGTATGAAGTGCAAGGGTTATTATTTTATTTTATTATTATTAAAGGGCGGGTTTGCTGGCTACCTTGCGGCTGGGGTGTACAGCATGTCCTCAGGTTGTGGCTGTGTGGTTGGTACGCTTCCTGTCAGACCAGGCGCTAAGCCAACAGCGAGAACAAAGGGAGACTCTTTCTCTCTCTCTCGCCAAGAGAATATTGGCATCTGAAATGTTGTTCCTGGCCCCGCTCACCTTCGCTCTCCAAACAAACACATTTTTAACAGGTTGCAAACCTCCAGTGGTTGTGCGTGTGCAGTGCGTGTGCGTGTATGTTGTGCGTGTACCGTGTATAGTCTTATTAAACCGCACCGTGTGTAGCTTGCGATTGATCCCTTGCCCCGTTTTATTACCCGCCCAGAACCAAACTTTGTAGGCTCGGCCTACGTGGAGGAGAGTGGGGACAGTGAGGTGGGGGATGACGACAAGATATATTTCTTCTTCAGCGAGAGAGCTGTTGAGTACGACTGCTATAGCGGTCAGGAAGTGGCCAGGGTAGCCCGTGTCTGTAAGGTGAGTTCACACAACCTTTCTTTATTCTCTCCCTTCTTAAGCTTCAAACTTCGTATCCTTTGTCCCTCCACAGAGTCTGTCTGTCCGAGTTGGGAGGGGTGGTGGTGGGGGAGGAGGGAAGGTAAGCGGGTCTCCTCGGAGCTGGGTGACATGTTTGACGATGGAATTGTCGGAATCGAGGCAGCCCTCTGTGACGGTCTCTAGTCCCGGTTCCTGAGCCAGGAGGGTCCTCGGTATTCCAGGGCACTCACTGCTGGTGACAGCACAGCCCGGCCTGGCTCATCGGCAGGTCCTGGAAGGGCCGACCAGTCACTGGGGGTAGGGAGTCATTCCACTCGCCTCCTGTTATCCCTGCAACCAAAGCCCTAACTAATGGGTAGGGTGGTCCTAGCTGGACAAGCAGCGGGGAAAGCTTGGCCAGACAGTGATACTGTATTGGATAGTTGAAAAGGAACAATTTGCAGGGCTATGGTGTAAGCGGGGGAGTGGGACTAGTTGGATAGCTCTTCCAAAAAACCGGCACAGGCACGATGGGCCGAGTTATTCTTAATATGGCAATTAACAATCTGCGATCTTGACTTGGCACCTTGTAGCTTCGGGGCGTCTCAAAGGGCTTCGGAGTCGGGCGCTGTGGTGAGGGAGAGAGGGGGAGGGAGGAGGTTGAAGTTGGGGGTGTCAGAAAGAAACCGGAAGGGGAAAAGTCGTGATGTCGCGATGGCTCGATGCAGAATACTGATCTCTCCACGTTCCTCGCTGATGTCCCAGGGAGATCTGGGAGGAGCTCGGACGCTGCAGAAGAAGTGGACCACCTTCCTGAAGGCTCGGCTGGTGTGTTCAGTTCCCGAACAACAGCTTCACTTCAACAAACTACAGACCATCTACACATTGACCGGCAGCACCTGGCGACACACACTCTTCTTTGGCATCTTCAGGGCTCGCTGGTAAGAACATATAAAGAGCATACGAAATGCTGGACGAAAGAAAGACCATCTAGTTCGCCTCCTCTTCCTGGTGGTTGCTGGCACACACGTACTGAACTCCCTATGTACTATATGGAGTCCTGTAGCTCAGTGGTTAGAGCACTCGCCTCGCAAGTGAGAGGACCTGGGTTCGGTTCCCGGGCGGGTCAGGGCGGAAAGTTGGGCAAGTTTCCTTACTCCACACACACACACACACACACACTCTCTTCTCTGTTTACCAGCAGTAAGTAGGAACCCGGTTGTTAGTCGATTGACAGATCTCTTTTCCGGGGGTAATAATCCCTTACAAAAAATATTTGGTCACTCAATTCACGGCTGTTTGTGGGGGACGCTGCTGTGTGCAATTAATTGTCTGCCGCGTTTCGCCCACAAAATATACAGTCAATTCACTTCGCAGCGAAACCTGTGAAGCGCTTTGAGACGTCTCGAGAGTCTTCTAGAGTTTCCCCCCCCCTTCAATCTCAGGCCGAGTCCTCTGGTTTTACAATTTTGGTCTCGATGAAACAGGCTGTCGTGATCTACATTGTCCGGTCCCTTTACAATCTTTAAGAAGGGAATCATATCTTCTCTCAATCTTCCCTTTTCCAGCAGAAAACACATTTTTTTGTGGGGGCTGGGGGGGGCATTTGGGTTAGCCGGGTGGGGTGGGGGTGGGGTGTCTGACTGACACACGCAGACACCCATCACCACATGTGCTTAAAGAGTCTCCAAACCATTCCGAGATTTCCATGCTCCCCACATGGGAATTTCAGAGATAGGTTGATAGAAAGCGGAGGGAGGGGAGAGGGTGGCCGGGTGGGGGTGGGGTGTGGGGGGGAAGAGGAGGAGGTCAGTGTAACATAACGGGCCATGGATCAGTCAGTTTAATTCCCCACATTTTAATTTTTTCCCGTGGAAGGAAATGAAAGCTCTTCGCTCGCACACATAGCCGAGGGCAAGGAGGATCAAAGGGAAATCTCAATGGAAGGTTTGACTTCCAGACCTTTTGTCTATATATAGCAAGGGAGAGAGAGATCCTCCGAGTCGAAACCTCATACGCCAGACTGCTTTTACGAAGCTGCAGTTTATAATTTTGTCTCTTTTGGTGTGTGTGTGTGTGTTCGTGTGTCTCCCCCCCACCCCCCACCCCCCCCACCCCCCCGAACATCAGTCCAGACAGGACTCTGGCCAGTCATTCAAAAACTCCTGATCGTATCAAAGCAGGCATCAGACAAAACCCTCTTAACGTTTCAGCGTTTGTGGACTCCGCTCTTTCGAGCTTCTCTCTCGGCAGACGTTCTCGTAGGGTTCACAGTGCTTAGAGCCCTCGCCTCGCACGCGAGAGGAACTGGGTTCGATTCCCGGCACGGCGGTGACGTGTTGGGCAAGTTTCTTACTCCACGTGCACGCCTTTATTTACCTTAGCAGTAAACAGGAACCTGGTTTTGTTAGTTGATTGGCGAACGCTTTTCTGGGAGTAATAATTCCTTTTCGAAAAAGAATAAATAAATTGGTCGCTTCAGTCAGTCCACGACGGTTTGCGAATTGACTTCATGTTTTGTGGGCGATGCGCGGCAGCCAATTGCGCGCAGCACCGTCCCACAAACGGTCGTGGATTGAGTGACCAAATTATTATTATTATTATTATATTGTTTTTGAAGGGGTTATTACTTCTGGAAAAGTGATCCGCCAATCGACTAACAACTGGGTTCCTACTCACTGCTGGTAAACAGAGGCGCGCGTGTGTGTGTGTGTGTGTGTGTGCGCGTGTGTGTGGAGTAAGTAAGGAAACTTGGCCAATGTTTCGCCCTGAACCGCCCGGGAATCAAACCCAGGTTCCTCGCGCTTGCGAGGCGAGCGCTCTAACCACTGAGCTACAGGACTCCACTCCGTGAGAGGCGAAGCGGGTGGAGGATGGGAGTGGGAGGATGGAAAGCTACCGATTTCATTTCGTTGAAGCACAATCACAGCCGGTGGCTTTAAGGCTCATGAATAAACTCCTCGGAGACCTCGCTAGTGTGTGAGAGCTTTTCATGTTAATGAGATGCTTCGCTGTCTCTCTCGTTCTCTCTCTCTCTCTCTCGTCTCTCTCTCTCTCGTCTCTCTCTCTCTCTTTCTCCCCAAAGCCTTTTTTCTTGTGTGATGAATTGAGGTAAGTGCGCACTCGCTTTACGGAGTGCACACTTGGAGTCCTCGACTTTGAGATGGAGCGAAGGCAGCAAGCCGGGAGAAAAGAGGAGAGGACGGGAAAGGGGCTTGGGGGAGCGTGCGCAGATGGGGGAAGAGGAAGAGAGAGAAAGAGAGAGAGAGAGAGAGAGAGAGAGCCGTGGCATATGGAGTGCACAGCGAGGAAGCTGGATGGCACTGCATGAGGGAGACATTGCTAAAGGCGACACACTTAAATACACAGCTCAGGAGAGAGTTGCCTCTGATTTAATTTTGAGCTGTTTCCACCCAGTTTCTCTTTTCTTTTTTGCCTCGCCGCCGTCCTTTATTCCTTTTTTTTTCTTCTTTGGCCCCTGTTGTTTGCTGCGCAACAGTCATTTTTGTCACACGCTCACACGCTTACAGTCGCGCGCACTCCCTCAGTCGTCCTCGCAAGCGCACACCGCACTCGCACACCGACGCACGCTCGCACGCAACGCTCGCACGGACCACAGGCACAACACACGCATACGCAATCGCACGTGCTGAACACACACGCGCACCACATAGACGCACGCGTGCATCGTCGCACACCATATCCATACACAAAGCATGCGCAGTCACACAACACACAGTGGCACAAAACTTACACGTACACACACACATGTGGTGTCACACAACACTGATATACACACACACGCGCAACATACACAATACACATAAACACACATACTCATACAACGCACAACACACATCTATTCACAAATCACACCCGCACACACATACACACACACACACACACACACACACAGGTGCCGTGATTCCCTGTGTGTCTGCTTCACCGTAAATCTGTTCCTCACACACAGGAGTGACCTGGATGTGTCAGCCATCTGCCTGTACAGGATCGAAGACATTCAGAAAGCTTTCCACGGCCCGTACAAGGAGTATCGGGTGCAAGAGCAGAAGTGGGGCCGGTATTCGGATCAGGTTCCTCGTCCCAGACCCGGAGCTGTAAGTGATTCAGGGCAAACTCTCGGCTCAGCTGAAAGCAACACGTTAAGTGCTCCGGGCGCTATCTAAATGCAAGTTGTTGTTATTTCTCTCAACAACAAGAACTTGTACGTACACTGGGTCCTTCACACGGGGTATTGTCTCATCTCATGCTCCACCACTGTTAATAATAATAATAATTTGATACAGCGCCTCATGTCTTCAAGATGTCTCAAAGCGCTTCACAGAATACACTGTGCATTTTGTTTGGGTGGAGAGTGGGACTAATACCCCCAAGAAATCGATCCGCGAATCGACTAAACCGGGTTCCTACTTACTGCAGCCAATTCGCTTGTAAAGTGTAGTGACTGTGTAATTTGTGGGCGAAACGCGGCAGCCAATCGCGCACAGCTGTGTGTCCCCACAAACGGTCGTGGATTGAGTCACCAAATTATTGTTATTATTTTGTAAATCTTATGGGTCCCGACCGACATGACTTATGTGAGTTTTACTATATTGTTGCTTCAAAAACAAATAATAATGACAAATGGGTCACTTCAATCCACGGCTGTTTGTGGGGACGCAGTTGGCTGCCGCGTTTCGCCCGAAAAATATACAGTCGATTCACTTTACAGCGTATCCCGTGAAGCGCTTTGAGACGTCTCGAAGACGGGATAAGGCGCTGTATTAAATGCCAGGATTATTATTGTTATTAGTGGTGGGAGTTGATCAGGTGATGGATGGGATGGTAGGGTGGTGTCGGATATTATTGATGAACCTCTCTCTTCTCTCTCTCTCTCTCTCGCTCGATCTTGTCATCAGTGCATCACAAACAGCCATAGAATGAGCGGCTATAACACCTCGTTGGAACTGCCCGATAACATCCTGAACTTTGCCAAGAAGCACCCACTAATGGACGATCAGATTCTGCCGGTGGGTCACAAGCCACTGCTCATCCAGAGGAACATCAATTACACCCACATCGCTGTGCACCGCGCGGAGGCCTGGAACAGGAACCAGTACCACGTCATGTTCATTGGCACGGGTCAGTTTACCATCCGTTTACGCCTCTCCGGTCAGGAGTTTTTTATCTAACTGGGGTGGTGGGTGGGGGGGGGAGGGACGGAGGGACGGAGGGACGGAGGGAGAGATGTCCTGTAGTGTTAGAGGTTAGATCCCTCGCCTCGCAAAGCGACAGGACCCACGTTCGATCCCCCCCCGCCCCCCGGCAAGTTTCCTCGCCCCACACGCTCCTCTGTTTAACTAGCGGAAACAACCCGGTTGTTAAGGTAATTGGCGGATCGCTTTACACCCAGATAATAATCCCATAAATAAATAAATGATAGTAATTTGGTCGCTCAATCCACGGCTGTTTGTGGGACGCTGTTGTGCGCCATTTGGCTGCCGTGTTTCGCCTACAAAATACACAGTCACTGCGCTCTGCAGAATATTCTGTGTGAAGCCCTTTGAGGTGTCTGTAGCCTGTTCTTCCATTCTACCGTTCAGTATTAACGTCCTCTCCCCGTCTGGGAATCAGGTCGTTCGTTCCACAACAACAACTTGCGCCCTTCAAGTGGGGTAGCGTCCCAGAGAGCTTGACAGTGGGAAAGAGAGGGAGGGTGGGGGGTGCGAGCTGACCGTAAGCACGGTCAAAAAGGAAGGTCTTTAGGCGGGATTTGAAAGGAGGGAGGGAGGGGGCAAGCCGGGGGGAATTGAGGGAGAGAGTTCCAGAATTTCGGGGCGTAGGGGCTAAAGGTACGGCCACACGATGGTGGAACGGAGGGAACAAGGGACAAACGAGGCTGGAGCCATCTGACCAAGAATTCACTTGATGTCGATTTATTTAAAAGGGAGCGGGGGCGCGGAGGGAGGAGGGGGTGTGGGGGCGACCGTGAGCCATTGAGAGAATGTACGTCACGACAACATAGTAATCTGCTGTGAGTAATCCCAGAGACTGTGGGAAAGTTTGGTTCCTCTTGGGACCCGAACTTAGGAGAGGGAGTTCAGCGCTGACACTCATAGGAATGAAATGTGTGGAAATTGGCCGGAGGTAAAGGGCCCATTTCCTCTCGAGTTTTATGTATATATATATATATATATACTGCATCTTTATCACTGAAGATTTTCTCCCACAGTAACTGTTTGCTCCCAAACCCCCCCCTTCCCCTCCTCCACCCAGGATCCTGGGAAGAAAAACAACACTGCTTTTCACAAGTCGTCTCAAAGGGGTTTTACTGTAAGGCGTAGTGACTGTGTATTTTGCAGCGGGGAACATGGGGCTATCAGCTTCCAAGACCTCCATGGTTTTGCTCCCCCCCCCCCCTTACCTCTCCGACCTCCTAACCCCATATCATCCTGTCCGCTCCCTCCACTCAGCGGACACCGGCTGCTTCAGGTCCCCTTGCAGTTCCCGCCCCACCATTGGCCCTCAGGGTCTCTGCCCCCACCCTCTGGAACTCTACCCCGCAATCCCTCCGCCTCACCCCCTCGCTTGCCTCCTTCAAGACCCGTCTAATGACCTTCCTCTTCGACGTGCCTTCAGCCACCCTCCCACCCCCACCCCCTCTGCCCTCCACCCCTCCTGACCCCAACTCCCAGTTTGGGTCCAAAAACCTCTGACGTTACAACGCTCTACACAAACACACACAAACCCACACACGGACACACACACACACACACACACACCCCTTCCTAAGACAACAGAGTGGTTAGAAAGTGAAGCAGGGGATTGCGTCTTGGGGTTTTCTTGTTAAATACACAGTCACTACACTTTACAGTGAGACGACTTGTGAAACAGTGTGTGCGTGTGTGTGTGGGGGGGGAGACTGACCATCTCTTTCCTCTCGTTCGTTGAGCAGGTACAGGGTGGCTACACAAGGCAGTGATTATTGGATCCAGGATACACATTATTGAGGAGTTGCAGCTGTTTAATGAACCCGTAGAAAGCTTAGCCATCTCCAACAACAAGGTAAGCTTCGTGGCTCAGTCACTCGCTCACTCCGTCACTCCATCACTCACTCAGTTCCTCACTCACTCGGTCGCTCACTCGGTCACTCACTCACGCACTCACTCATATACGCTCTCACTCATATGTGCTCTCACTCATATACTCTCTCTCTCTCTCTCTCTCTCTCTCACTCACTCGCTCGCTTACTCACTCACTCACTCACTCACTCACTCACTCACTCATATACGCTCTCTCTCATACACTCTCTCTCTCTCGGCAGAAGATGCTGTTTGTCGGCTCGCGGAGTCAAATAGTCCAGGTTCCCTTCGCTGACTGTCGCAAGTACCAGTCGTGTGAGGACTGTATCCTGGCCAGAGACCCTCACTGTGCCTGGAACAGCCGGACCTGCACGCACATCGACAGCCTGCTCAAGTGAGTGAGCGAGGGAGAGAAGGGGGCGATGGAGGGGAGGGCGGGCGGCGGGTGGGAGTGAGTGAGAGTGAGCGAGGGAGAGCGCGAGCGAGTGAACGACGGAGCAAGCAAGTAAGCGAGGGGACGAGTGATCGAATGAGGGACTCGGGGAACAACTAAGCAAGTGAGCGAGTGAGCAAGTGAATGTGTGTGGTGGGGCGCGGGCCGGGGTGGGGTGGGGTGGGGGGGAGGAAGGAGACAGTAGACACCCTCCTTGTAGAACCTGTAGAACATTCTGGAATTGGTCTAACTTGCCTCTCCCTCTCTCTCTCTCTCTCTCCTGCAGTGTTCTCGTTGCCTACCAGGATATTGATCAAGCAGATATCTCACTGTGTCGCAATGTTATGCCAAGCACAGGTATGACTCATTAACTGTGGGTGTAACTGAAGTCTATGCCAACCGTTTGACCTCTATTAGTGTCTCTTTCCTCTCCCTATACGAGGCCCTGGGACTCCCATGACACTCTGTCTCTAACCCGTGCTGTCATTGACCCGGGAGCGTGGACGGACGCACAGTGTAGAGGGAGCTTTACTGTGTCTCTAACCCTGACCTGGGAGTGTGGACGGACCCACAGTCGGTGTAGGAGAGGCGCGTGTCGTGTACCTTTAATGACACTCCCTGTTGGTTGGTTCCCAGGTGAGGTGCAGCTCAAGAACCTGACGGTGGCTCCTGGGGTCGACATCCGGTTGATGTGCCAACTGATGTCCAACCTGGCCCGGGCCAAGTGGATGATCGACCGTCACTACCTGCGGACGGACGAGGGCAGCTACGAGACCCAGACCAACGCCCTGATCATCTCCGACGTGCAGCCTCACCACGCCGGCAAGTACTGGTGCTACTCGGAGGAGAACGGGGAGCGGTTCCTCGCCGACCGCTACCTCCTGACGGTGGTCTCCAACCCACCCTTTGTCCTGGGGCGCGGGGGGAGCCTGGACGGGGGCTGGCTGGTCATCTTGACTTTGGCTTTCATCTGCGTCTGTCTCTTCATCGCCGTCCTCTTCCTCAGCTGGAAGCTGAAGGCGCACCAGCTCAAACGGGGTGGGGGGGTCGCCAGGCGCACCGCCGAGACCCCCATCTCCGCCGCGGACCCCACCAAAGATCATCATCAGCCGCAGCCCCCCTCCTCGAGCCAGACGTCCGCCGGGTCGGAGGAGAAACTCTGGGAGTCGCCCTCTTACCACTACTCGGACGGCTCGCTGAAGATCGTGCCTGGGAACGCCTTATGTCGCAACGGAGGGTCCCCGGGGCAGAACGGGAGCAACGGGATACCCGGGCAGCCCCTGCCCACCACCCCGGCCATCGGCAACGCCAGCGCTGTGGGCAGCGCTGCTCCGGCCCGCATCAACCTGCCCGGGGTGAGGGGGACAGCCACCAACAATGGTTACGTGCGCCTGCAACTGACGGGCGAGGAGGCCTTTTCCGAGGAGTTGAGGAAGAAGCTGAAACAGCGGCAGATGTTACCCGACGCCAATCCCGAGGAGTCTTCGGTGTGAGAGAGAAGAGAGAGAGTGATGGAGAGAGTGTGTGTGAGAGAGAGAGAGAGAAAGAGAGAGAGAGAGAGAGCCAAGAAAGCCACTCTTTAAGGCTGGCCTTTACCTCTTCTTTACCCCCCACCCCCCACTCCTATTCCCCCCCACCATTGTAAATAGACACAAGCAAAAAAAAAAAGAAAGAAAGCTCCTGGAATCTCTCCCAGGACTTTCAACAACCCCTCACCACACTCACGCACATCACCACCCCCGGCCCCCACCCCCCACCCCCACCACACACACACACACACCCGTGTAAAACTGTCAAATGTGTAAATATAAAAGCGAGAGAGAGAGAAAGGAAGGAAAGAAGAACAAACAAGAAGCCACTTTGGAAGGACTTTACCAGGAACTCAATCATTTAATTGCTCGCACACGCTCGAGCCCCACCCGACCCGACCCCCCAACCCTGTGAGCAAACCGACCCTCCGATCGAAGAGGAGGGGGTTTTGTGGAGACGGATGCTCAGGACGCAAGTGAAGATATTCCCCGCCCCACCCGCTCGCCCACCCTTTCCGAGGCAGTTCTGAGGTGCGTATGAGCGAGGCGGTGGGGGGCGGTTTGTGGGACGGGTGGGGGGGGGTGTTCTCGTGTATCTTTTTGTTGATCCAATGCCCCCTCCCCACCCCATTTGCATCCTCTCATTTGATGCAGATTCATATTATTATTTATAGTTTTATGCAAACCCCACACCCACACACACACACACCCACACACACACACCCACTGCTGTTAAGCCGTTCCCAGACGCTACCCCTCGTGAAAGCCGCCATATAAATGCCAGTTGTTGTTGTGCCCCCCCCCGCCCCCCCCACCCACCTCCCCTTTCCGCAAGACAGTCAGTCGGGTGGGTTTAATGTAACCGGTAAATCATTGTGTTACAGATCGGTGCTGATCAGCGGACAGAGGAATTGTAAAGCAGACACGGACCGACCGAGACAGACCAACCAACGTACATCAGGCCAGTGGTCCACACACACCCCCCCCACCCCTCCCACCCCAATCTCCCTCCCCTCCCCGTGCTGAACAGAGCTTGGCATCGCTGAGTTGGGCAATAGTCTAGTGCCCGGCAAGGAAGAAATGATGGGGTCTGACCCGCAATAAAAGGAAGGAAGAGGCGTAGAGATAATCTAATAGTAATTATTTATTATTATTATGAGCCCGAGGGGACTGGAGGAAACACGGCAAGTGAGTCGCAGGTTTTTACTTAAGAGTAACGTTTGGGGGAGGGGGGGGGGTTAATATATATAGACTAGACTCGCTGGCAGTATATACAATAAAGCCCCCCCTCTTGGGAGTAAGTTACAGGTTGTAGATTAATCAAGAGGTTTGAGAGGGGGTTATATATATATAGAGAGAGAGAGACTAACATTCCCCCCACCCCCCTGCAATGGAGTGAGTCACAGTCACTCCACTTTACAGTATACCCTGTGAAGCGCTTCGAAGATGTGATAAGGCGCGAGATCAAATACAAGGATTATTATTATTATTATTATTATTATTGCAGAGTTTCGAGGCGGGGAGGGTGGGGGCTTTATACTGTGCACAGGATAGTGGATCCCAAGAGTGGGTGTCAGAGTGGGTAATTGAGTTGAATAGCGTCTCTCTCTCTCCCTTTTCTGTTGACCCCCTTTCTTGCCTTGTAAGGCCCATCGTGCTTCTCTTACGTTGGGGGCAAGAGTCACACCTGTCGTTTCTGTCCGGCACGTGGGAGAGAGACGGAGAGAGAGAGAGAAATATAGAGATTGGTTTGTGGAAGTAGCGAGGGAGGGAGTGATGGAGGCTGGAGGGGAAGGGAGAAGAGCGGGGAAGAGAGAGAGAGGAGAGGAGAGGAGAACAGGGCTTGTTGGAAATCTGAAAGAAATAGGTCGCTGGGAACAACTCGGTCAGGCAGCATCTATGGAGAGTGGAAAGTGAGTTCCGAAAGGTCATCCATTCCCCTCCAAACCCCCCCCCCCCACCCCGACCCCCTCCTCCCCCACCCCCTTCACCCCCTGAAAAAATTGCTTGGAGCATTGCAGTACATTTATCCTTCCACTAGATGTCGCTAGAGCACCGGCCACCCTCGCTCATTGCCCTTCAGAGGAGTATTTGGGGGAGAATTGTGGCAGTATAACATGGCAAATGGCTAGATTTTGACCAAGTCTTGGACTGTTAGAGCTAACCCCTTCCCATCTCCTTCCCCCCCCCCCCCCACCCGCCTCACTCCCTGCTTTGAGGGGCTCACAGGGTGGGGAGAGATGGGGGGGGGGTATTGGTGGGACAAGAACGGAGACGTTTCAAGTTGTGTGGAGCGCTGTTCCTAACCACGTCTATTGTGTTATGTGAAAGAAACGAGATCGACTGTAGCCGCGTGTGTGTTTTTTTTGAAAGAAGGGTAACTTATTGTGAATGTAATTTAAATTACTTGTACAGCGCAGACGGACCAGACCAGACCCACCAAAAAAAAACCAAAAAAAAGCTCTGGAGAATATTTATTGAAGTATTTTTATATCGTTAATAAAATCATTCAAATATAAGGCACCTCGCGTCTCCTTGAACCGTCTGGGTTATTGTTTGTGAGGGTCTCAGAAGCGAGAGGACCCGGGGTTCGTTCCTGGGCAGAGCGAAACCTTAGGTACTTTTCCTTACTGCCCCTCACACGCCTCTATACTTAGCAGTAAGTAGGTAAGCAGTTGTTAGTTGATTGGAGGATTGCTCTCTGGGGTAAATCCTTGGACTGGGGGCACGATGGAAGAGGGGGGTCTTCAGAAGGGACTTGGAAGAGGCAAGAGAGGGGGTGAGGCAGAGGGATTGCGGGTTAGAGTTATAGAGAAAGGCGGAGGAGAGGCTGAATAGCCGACTGCCATTGGTGGGGCGGGAAGTGCGGGGGAATCTGAAGCAAGCCGGTGTCCGTCTGTATACACACACACACACATACACACACGCACACGCAAGCACGCCAGTTTATCTGTTTATTGAACTGATCCCACAATGGTATAAGATATAATCGCTGGAACCTGCCCAACTTTGCGTGCGTCTGTCACCCAGATTACATTACGAAGAGACTTGTTGCTCTTCAGCAAAGCCGAAAAAGATATTGCCTTAAATGGCCCAGTCCTGCCCTGCCCTGCAACCCGCTGACACGGAGAGATCCCTCTGCAAAAGGGAGAAGGGGTTCAACATCGCTATTTGGTTGGGAGCACAGTCAGTGCTTGTGGTTGTTTCAGGTCCCCTCCTCTGCTCTTCCCTTCTCTCTCCCCCCCACCGTCTCTCCCCCCCCCCCCCCCCCCCACCGCCTCTCTCCCCTCCTCCAAGCTGTCTGCGAGACAGGGGACCAGAAGCAGTCAGGCTGTGTGTGCTCATTAAATCAGTCAACCCAGATTCACAGCCATATTTAATAGCCTTCACGGGGGCACTCTCTGTGACGCTCAGTGAGATTGGCTGCAATGGAGTGGCCTTTGCCCTATTGCTGCGCTTTTCTGCACAGCTTTGTCTCTGCTCCACTGTTATTGATATCCACACCGACACAGACCATAGGGAGTCATTTATTATCCCGATCCTTTCTCCTCTCAGCATCTTAAAAGACTGAACAAAAAAATCTGTGGTCCGAAAATATAATACTGTATTGCTGCAATCCAGACACACGTGGTAATGGGTTGGAGACACAGTAAAGCTCCTCTACACTGTGTGTCCACACTCCCAGGTCAGGGTTAGAGACACAGTAAAGCTCCTCTACACTGTCCACACTCCCAGGTCAGGGTTAGAGACACAGTAAAGATCCCTCGACACTGTGCGTCCAACAATCCTCCACAGACTAATAACTTGTTGACTTCACGGCTGTTTGTGGGACGTCCCTGTGCGCAAAGTGCCTGGTCCGTTTACACACCAAACTCCGCAGCCAGTGCAGTTGAAGACTGTGCAGTGTTGGGAGGTGTGAGAAGGAAGAGGGCTTTAGTTTATGTGGCACTGTGTGTGTGTGTGTGTGTGTGTACAGGGATCCGTGGGGACAAAAATAAAAGGGACGTGTGCCGACGAGGGGGTCGGGTGTCGGTCAGTTTTCAGGGCGGAAGGGAAGGGATCAGAGGGCATTGCTTACTCTGCGCACGGATTATGTGCAGAGACCCTGACCCCTTGTATCTGCTTCTTGAACCTGCGTAAATTCCGCTCCCCTGTGCCTGCTCTTTCCTTCCTACCGCTTTCACAGGATTGTGTGGTCTGTGTGCGTCGCGGGGCGAGGGAAGGGCTGTTTCCTGCAAACAAAAGCAACAAAACTGGCCGCTATTTAACCCCTTTACACAGACAGTCATCGCTGTGCACACTTTGACTGCCTCACCCAATAGCCAACCCCGCGAGCACTTTGAGTCGCGGTTGTGAAGTGAGGGGATCCGGGTTCGATTCCCGTTCAGGGCCAAGCGAAGCCTTAGGCAATTTCCTTACTGGTCTTACTCTACAGGACTTAAGAGGTGAATATGAATGACGCTGAGCCCTGGTGGGGGGTGGGGGGAGGGAGAGAGTGGGCGGTGGGGGGGCGGGTGGGGAGAAGGGGCAGAGGGAAGGATTTAACGGTGAGTATTACATCAGTGACTCCCTGTGTTGCAGGCAGTGCAGTAGTAACCGCCTGTAGCTGTGGGTGTGTTCGCTCGGCTGTCCGGCTGTGCTGTGTGTTGAGGAAACAGCAGGTCAAGTCCCCGTGTGTCAGGGCAGACAGATGGCTCGTCAGTGTCCAACTCAGCCCATTCACACAGAGCATCTCAGTCTGGCACTGAGCCTCGTCAGTGAGCAGCGTTAGTGCAAATAGTGTACCACAGCCAACCTCACAGTCATTCACACTCAATGTGTCAACAACAACAACAACAAATGACATTTACACAGCGCCTTCCATGTCAGGAGGACGTCCCAAGGCCCTGGAGAGTCCGGGATCTGCACCCGAGCTGGTGGTTGGGATCAGGAGGGAGTGGAGGGAGGGGAGGGAGGGGAGGGTGGGGGAATAGGAGGGTGACTGAAGGCACGGTTGGTCGAAGAGGAGAGTCTTGAGAAGGGGCTTGAGGGAGGCGAGGGAGAGGGTGAGGTGGAGGGACTGTGGGATGGAGTTCCAGAGGGTGGGGGCAGAGAGGCTGAAGGCACAGTACAGTTATAGCCACTAACACAATGATCTATTAAGTATAGATTTTCTTCTGTGTGATTGAGCGATTAGATTATTTCAATTGACAGCGCTGAGACACTACCCCCTGTGTGAAGAGCGCAGTAAATAAATGCAAGTTGTTGTTGCTCTTTCCTGTTGTTGCTTTTAACTCCGCACCAACAACTGCCCTTACGGCAACAACTTGCATTTACATGGAGCCCTTCATGCGGGATAGAGTCTCGGAGTGCTGGCATTAATATTTAATTAACTAATATTACTTATTGGTTCCGTGTCCGGGTCACCTCTAATGCTGGAACACTGTCTGATGAAACCGGAGGGGGTGAAATCAGAGTTTGCAGCTCACACTGTAACGTAATCCTTCCTGGACAGGGGTGACAATGACACGGATTTTATGCAACGTGAAACGTCTCATTACTGGGAGCCTGGGGTTGGAGAAGGTAATCGCAGAACGATGACTTTCCGACTCGCTGAGAGAGCAAAGCAGCAGGACCCTACTCCAGCTCCGGTCACTGGACGTCAGACACCAAGCGGTATTTCTTTACCTCGCGCAGACACCGCAACGATAATAACGGACTCCCTCTACCCTTTAACTGGACGGGGGTGGTCTGTCTGTGGGTTGCTTTGCAAGCGAGAGACCTGAGTTCAATTCCTGGCAGAGGGCCAAACCTCGGGCAAGTTTCCTTACTCCACACAGAGCCTAATAACAATCCCTCCAAAACAAAAACAATAATAAATTGGTCATTTTCAATCCACGACTGTTTGTGGGACATTGCTGTGCGCAATTGGCCGCCGCGTTCGCCCACAAATATACAGTCAATTCACTTTACAGTGTGTTCTGTGAAGCGCTTTGGGACGTCCTCCCGACGTGAAAAGCGCTATATCAAAATGCAAGGATTATTATTATTATTATTATTATTATTGTGTGCGTGTAGTGTCGGTGTGAAATGGGTGTGGCGCGTGTGTATTGTGCGTGTGTGGCTTTGTTGGCCGCGACACCGACTTTTCCATCTGTAACGTCCACTGGAATGGGCGGGACAGGAAACGTAAGGATTCATATTTATTATTTTCGTCATATTATAAACTCACGATCGCGGGAAGCGAAGGGGGGGGGGGGTGTGTGGGGGGGAGTGTTTGGACGCGGAGGGGGAAGTTATCGGAATAAGGCCCCCGGTGACCAGCGTCGCACCACAAATCATCTGCGCTCCTCTCGCAGGTGCGCAACGGTAATAACCGCAACGATCCCCGCGTTTGGCGCAGCGCCTGAGCGCGTCCTCGAGACGTCCCGAAGCGCTCCACGGAAAGCGCTGCCCAAGCGAATGGGACGGCGCGCGATGTGGGTGTGTGCGACGAGGCCTTGAAATGTCGACGACCTTTTGGGTTGAATAATGGGGAGTAAGGAATTAAAATGGGAAAGTTTGAAGGCGCTTTGACCAGAGTGTGAGACCCTGTGTGGCCACATCGCAGCTGCACATACACACTGTGTCCACAGGAGGGCGCCCTCCCCGCACGGCGTTGAGTTGGGGCAGCGAAATAGAATGGGGAGGTCGCCCTCCTGTGGACACAGTGTGTATGTGCAGCTGCGATGTGGCGCAATGGCCACACGATGGCGCTGTCCCCATTCACTTTCGCTGAGGATCTCTCTGACCAACGCTCACAAAGTCCCAAACAAAACACATCAAATCAAATCAAATTAGAATAAAAAATATGTTTAAAGAATGAAATCATAAAGTAAAGTGAAACAAATAAAAAGGAAAAATGTATTTTTTTTCCCCCCCCACCCCCCACCCCTCCGCGAGTACAGGGATCGAGAGACAATACGACGCGGTCAATGGGGGGGAATTATTATTATTGTTGTGATTTTTTTGGCCAGAAACTCATCACCGTACTTGAAGGGTCTCCGAACCAAGCTGAGAATTCCATGCATCCCAACCTACATATGGGAATCACTCTCTCTCTCTCTTCTGGAGGGACGCACCCTGTTTGCCTAATTCCAGGCAGTATTAGGCGCAGGTTGGGAAGAGCCAAGGATTGGTGATCCCAGAGTAAGCATTGGGGGGGGGTAACCAGCTCAATAAATAAGGGGAAAAAGAACACTTTACCAACAATAACTCGCATTTATACAACATCCTCCCGACCCGAAAGGTGCTGCGTAAATGTTATTTGTTGTCGGGGAGCCCGGGGTGACGGTGGCATCGGAGTTTGGTGCGGGTGAGAATACCGGCAGTGAAGTTTTGAAGCAATTGGGTTTTACGAATGCCATAAAACTCCCCAAAAATACTAGTTTTGCAGAGAAAGGAGTGGGAACGTATCTTGAGTTGGTCGGAGAGAGATACTCTGTGAAATTGAATGGGGAGAGCGCCTCCCTGTGGCCACACAGGGTTTCACGCTCTCCCCATTCTATTTCGCTGAGTATCTCTCTGACCAACTCCAGATGCAATGGAAAGGTTTAACATGTGGTCAAGTGTCTCTGTGGCACTGTCTGTGTCTGTCTGTGTGTGTGTCTGTCTCTCTCTGGGTCTGTATGTGTTTGTCTGTCTGTGTTTGTGTCCGTGTGCAGCTGTTGTGTACAAATGCAAGTTGTTGTTGTTGGCTGTTAAAGAGCTCAGGGTGCAATTAGAAAAGAGTTTCTCTCTCCCAGTAGGGCAGGGGGAAACCGTAGGGGTCTCCTCACCCACAGCACCTCACACTCTGTTTACCTGGACAGTAAATAGGAAGCAGTTTGTTAGTCGATTGGTGGATAATGATCCCCTCAAAAAATAGTCCAATCGCTCAATCTACGACTGTTTGTGGGGACGTTGCTGTGCGCAATTAGCTGCTGTGTTTCACCCACAAAATAGACAGTCACTACACTTTAGTGTATCCTGTGAAGCGCTTTGAGACGTCCTCCTACCGGGTACCAATGTGAGGATTATTATTATTATTATTATAAGTAATAATAATTTAGCAAATCATCAGAAAACACAGAGACAACTCTTTTTTCTTGCGTTTCATTCCATTTAATGGAAAAGCTGGACTTAACGTACAAAAAACATTCACCCCAAAAACCCTGTTGAACAACCTGTCAAATCCTTTGCAATATGTACATGCACACTCACTGGGGGGGGGGGGGGGGGGGGGGGGAGAGAGGGGGGAGAATGATGTCCACCACCACACCCCACCCTTTTCCCCATCACAGCGTCTCTCGCACTCTCGCCCCGAAACGCTGAGATATTGCAGCGTACTCCTGGGGATCTGTTTTGAAGAATATTAACTTAAGATAAAACTGCCTTTGAGGGTGGGTGACGGAGGGAAGGAGGGAGGGAGGGGAGGGAGGCAACGTGGGAGGGAGGAGATAGGGGAATGGGTATGAGATTGTTCCAACTAAACTAAGCGCAGGCAGTGAGGAAACGTATTGTATATATATTTATACCGCTGACAGTTTGAGGTGTGACCTCCCATTTATTCAGGGTATTTTTCAACGTAAACCAATAAACATCTCAAAGTGCTTCGCGTGAAGTTGCCGACCTGCAGTGTGTGTGGTTTAACCCCCACCCCTTCCCTTTCCCCCCCTCCCACACACACTCGCCTTCGCTCAGTATCTCACCCCCTCCTTGTAAAGTGCAAAGGTCAGAATGGTGCAAACTGACCCCTTCCCCTCGACCCCAAACTTGACACAACTGTAATCTCTCCCCCTCGACCCCCCCACCCCCCCACCCGCCACGAAGCTCCCGACAAAGTGGGGGATGTGGGGGTTGGGGAGAGTAAGATGCGGAGAAAATGCTTTCTGTCGCTTTTTGGGTTAAAAGTAAAGTTAAACTTGGGGAGAGAGAGAGGGGGGAGGAAAGAGTGTCGGGGAAAAAGAGGGGGAATAGGTTCGGGGAGAGAGGGGGGAATGGGGTCGGAAGGGGGAGAAAGGCACGGTTGGGGTAATCTTTGCCCCGAGTTACTCTCTGGTCTCAGTAGCTGACCTGAGGGATGTGACTGGTCAGTGTCTTCACTGTGTCTCTCACCGCCCGGTACAAAGCACTTCTCACCTGTCAACAAACACACGGGTAGAAGTCAGGGTCGGGCAAAGGGGGAACTGATACCCCCACCCCCCCCAGAGAGAGAGGTTGGGGAGGGGGTTTGGGAGGGGTGGTGGTGTGGGTGTGTTGGAGGTGGGGGGTGGGAGTTGCTGTTGAGAGGTGGTGTGTGATGGTTTCTGACTTGCAGTGTGTGTGTGTGTGTGTGGTCTGTCGCTGTGTGGGGGTTGGGGGTGGTTGTTGTGGGGGGATGGAGGAGGGGGTTCACTGACCTGCAGTGTGTGTGGTTGCTGGGGGGAGGTGCTGTCTGTCCTCGGACTCTGAACGGCCCCAAAGGAGTGTGCGAGGTGCTCAGGAGAGAGGAAAGCCTTCTCCACAGTGACACAGGACGTCAAACACTGAACCTGGAACACACACAACAGAGCGGAGAGGAGAGGCATTGAGATATTGTCCCTGTGACAGCATCAATAGGCGATTCAGGTATCTGACTCCCTCCCTCCTTTCCTCCCTCCTTCACTCCCTCCCTCAATCATCTCTTTGACCGTGTAATTGGACTTGTGGTACAGATCAGCCACGAGCTAACAGAATGGCGGAAAAGGCTCGAGGGGCTGAATGGCCTCTTCCTGTTCCTTCGCTGCCTCCCTCCCTCTCTCCCTCATCTCTTTAACTGCAAGTTTCAGTCACCTTTAGCTCCACCCAAACCCCCTAACACACACCCAGCTCCCACCCTCAGCTCTGGTGGCCAATTCTGCTGAGCCGATGGACAGGTCCCTTCACTCCCCCCAACGTACCTGGTGGAGAGCAGTGGCTGGAATGAGGACAGCATCTCCCTGGAACTGAAGGACGGTGATGCTTTGGACACCACATTCCTCCTTAAGCCTCCTCCGCAGGTGCTCATCAAGGTACCAGCCCTGATCCTGGCTCCTACTGTGTCCGGCTCCTTCTGACATCTAACAACAACCACGACACATGTCATTTACACAGTGCCCTTTCACGTCAAGAGGACGTCCCGAGGCACTGGACAGTGTGCGGAGGGCGGGGAGGGTGGGGGTAGGAGGGTGACCGAAGGCGCGGTCGAAGAGGCGGGGGGGGTCTTGAGACGGGGACCCCACAATCCCATCGAGTTTATTTGGTAAATAAATAGATTAGGATTCAGCCTCGTGCTGCAGACGCTCCCCCAGTGCTGGGCTCCCCCTCACCCCCCCCCCCACCCACCCTGGCCCCCCGCCAACGTACCTTTAGTAAAAACTCCCTTATCCTTTCTGTGTCTTGTGCAGCGAAGATGTGCCAAACAGCCCCCAGTCTGTCACCGGAGTCCGTCAGCCGTCTCAATGCAAACGCGTCCACATTGTCTCCCTCGAGCCTCTTGAGAATGGCTGAGCGAAACAGTGAGAGAGAGAGCAAGAGAGAGAGAGAGAGAGAGGGGTTACTGAGTGCGTACGGAGCTCAGTAAGGCGGGAGAAGGGGCGGTGGTGGGGTGGGTAGGGGGGAAAGGAAGGAGCTCCTTCAAAACAAAAATAAACTTAAATAAAATAGGAATAATTTTGTCACTCGATTACTATTATCCCCAGAAATCGATCTGATTTGTTCTTGAAACAAATAACATTTTCTGCTTCCACCGTCCGTCTCTCTGGAGCCTGATCCAAACGTTTCCTACGAGCTCGTTGAATCAGTGCACAGATTTCTTCTGAATTTCCCCGCAATCAATCGCAGGCTGTGTCCTCCGGTTCTGCTGTTCAGTACAAGATAAAGGTCTAGTTTCCTCTTAAACGCGTCTCCACAACAACCGCTTCAAGGAAGTGAGGGAGGGAAGGAGGAGGAGGAGGAGAAGGTAAAGGGGAAATCAGACACTGAGGAGTTTCCAACAGCGTTTCCAACAGACCTTTCTGTGTTGTTTCGTTAGCCTCCTGAGCCTCCTCGCTGTGCGCCAGAAGATTGACGGTATCGAACGTTTGCGAGCTGATATTCCTGCTTCCCACTCCGCAGTTTTCCGGGGTCAGGGCTGGTGGGGAGAGAGAGAGTCAAGACATTCCGTGATTAACGGGCCAGCGATCACGAGTTTCCCTGATGTCAGATGCCCGCTATCGCCTCTCTATCCTCTCTCCCCCGCCCCCATTGACTCGAACGCGCTCTACTCTCACACATGACTATCTAGAACTCTGCATCATCAGCCCACCCACCTCACTCTCCTTCTCCTGTGAGAATGCAACCGTCGCTACCATAGGGGGCCTTGTTGCCCCTCTTGACTGCTCACCATAAGCACAGGAGACCCTCAAACCCAGCTGGGCTCTGGCACTTTCTGCTGGAAGACGAGAGACCAGGTTGAGCCGTCCGCTGTTCCCTGTGTACTCTGGGATCGGCAAATGCTTCTGCAAGTCTTCGAACCTGCCACGGGAATGTTTTTTAAGACACATTATACGCCGACCGTTATTAATAATCCTTGTGTTTGACACAGCGCCTTATCACGTCGTCGAGACGCCTCAAAGCGCTCCGCAGGATCCACCGTCAAAGTGAACTTCCTGTGCATTTTGTGGGCGGAACACGGCAGCCAATTGCGCGCGGCAGTGTCCCCACATACAGCCGTGGATTGAGTCACCACCAAATTAGTATTATTATTTTGGAGGGATTATTACCTCTGGAAAAGCAATCCGCTAATTGACTAACAACCGGGTTTCTACTTACTGCTGAGTAAACAGAGGCGTTGTGCGTGTGTGTGTGTGTGTGTGCGTGTGCGTGTGTGTGGAGTAAGGAAACTTACCCAAAGTTTCGCCCTGACCTGACCCGCCCGGGAATCGAACCCGGGTCCTCTCGAGTGCTCTAATCGCTGAGCTACACGACTCCACAAGCACTTATGGCTTGGCTGGGTGTGCCGAGATTAAGAAAAAGAACAGAAATAGCACTTACTGAGCGGGCAATCTCTGACTGAATTCTTTCTCCGAGCAGCAGTAATCTAATCGTAAGATCTTCCCGCCTCCGGCCTTGGCCTTGGAGCTCTCTGAGGGTAGGAACGGACAGAGAGAGAGAAAGAGAGAGAGAGAGAGAGAGAGACGTCGGGGTGAATTTATCGCAAGTGAAGCGGTCGTGGTGGAGAGAGAGCTGGAAATATCTTTAACCCACTCACCGGGAATCGAACCCAGGTCCTCTCTCTCGCTTGCGAGGCAAGTGCTCTAACCACTGAGCTACCAATGGACTCCTACAGAATAAGACGTCCTGGGGGATTGGGAGAGGAGCGGGAAGGCTGACAATGTTGGCAGACCACTTACTGGAGTCGCTCTTGAATCCCTCCCAAAACTCCTTGCCCCGAGCTCTGGGCATCGCTCGCTGGTCTCTGCAGTTGACCTGGATCCCCCCGTCCTCGCCCAGACACCTGCTCAGCGACTCCGGGCTCCACAGCCCACTCCTCGTGGCTTTCAGGGGGCCAGACACCAGCACGGGCTGGAAGGACAAACAGGCGGCAGTCAGTCACTCCGTCAGACAGTCAGTCAGTCAGACAGTCAGACAGTCAGACCAGATAGACAGTCAGTCTATTACAGTACAGCGTCACCACCCCCCCCCCTCCCATCCCCCGACCCCCCAATTCCCAGTTTCAAACATAAAAAAACAAAGTTTAGTAAGTTTGATAATGTAACTTTTTAAACTTTGTCTCTCTGGTTCTGTGTGTGTGTGTGTGTGTGTGTGAGTGCTCTCTGTGTGTGTGTGTGAGTGTCCTCGTGTGTGTCTGTGTGTGTGTGTGTGTCTGTGTGTGTGTGAGTATCTCTGTGTGTGTGTCCTCGTGTGTGTCTTTCTCGCTCAATCTCTCTATCTCTGTGTATATCGCTCTCTGTTGCTTGGTTTGTCTCTGTCTGTCTGTTGGTGTCGGTCTGTCGGTCTGTCTCTCTCTGTCTCTCTCTGTCTGTCTGTCTCTCTCTGTGTCTGCCTCTGTCTGTCTGTGTCTGCACTTACCAAGCCTCGTCTCCAGGAACTCTGAATCAGCTTCCAGTTATCTTTATTCCCGGCATCGTGCAGCCACAGGAAAAGCCCTTTGGAGAAGGAGGAGGAATGGGGGCTGTGGGAGACGTTGGCAGCTGGAGTCTCGGGAGGAGTCGGGTTGGGAAGCGGAGGCCTCCCCTGGCTCGGGAACGTCGCTCCGGCTGCCCTCCTGGGAGCTGCCGGTTTTCCGATTGGAATTTTCTTCTCCACGACGGAAGCGATGATGTCATCCAGAATGCTCGGCACGCTCCGGGTTCCCATGTGGCACTGTCGTGGTTGCGGTGGGTGGGTGGGTGGTGGGGGGGGGGGGGGGGAGCGGGAGAGAGAAGGGGGCAAACGTCACGTGTCTCGTTCGTCAGACCACAGTCCCGTTGTGGGGGAAAGGTCCCTAAGTCTTGGGTCTCACCAACCTGCGCCTAATACTCTCCAGGATTAGGTGAGCAGGATGCGACAGACGTTATTATTTTTCGAAGGGATTATTCCCCCCGGAAAGGTGATCCGCCAATCGACTACCAACCGGGTTCTTACTGACGAGCTCAGTAAGGAAACTTGCCCAATGTTTCGCCCTGACCTGACCTACCCCAATCGAACCCAGGTCCTCTCACTCTAACCACTGAGCCACAGGACTACTACACCCACCCCCACCCTCGCCACGCCCCACCTGCAGCTGTACCCACCCTGTTGGAGTAGACGGGGGCAAAGGCGATGCCAGCATCGATGGAGCCCACCCTCAGCTTTCCGGCCGTGGTGGTGAGCAGGTCACACAGGGTTGAGGGGTGTTCCGCGGGTTTGAAGACCCCACACATTGGGGGGGCTTTGGTGTCTGGCATGTAACCCGGCTTGGCCTCCGTCTCTACAGACACAGACATAACGGGGGTGAGAGGGCTGGCCAGCAGCAGCCCCCGGGATACACACAACAACAATTCTGAGACAGTGCATAGTAAAATCCTCGCATTTGACCCGGCGCCTGATCACATCTTCGAGACGTCTCAAAGCGCTTCACGGGATACACTGTAAAGTGAAATAGCTGTGTATTGTGTGGGCGAAACACGGCAGCTCACAGCAGCGTTCCCCCACAAACAGTCCTGGATTGAGTAACTCAATTATTTTTTTTTAAAAAGGGATTATTACCCCCGGAAAAGCGATCCACGAATCGACTAACAACTGGGTTCCTACTTGCTGGCAGGGAAACAGAGGCGCGTGTGTGTGCGCGTGTGTGTGTGTGTGTGGAGTAAGGAAACTTGCCTAAGGTTTTGCCCTGACCCACCCGGGAATCAAACCCAGGTCCTCTTGCTTGCGAGGCGAGCGCTCTAACCACTGAGTTACAGGGCTCCACTTCCAAATGTAATGTTGTTATGGTTGTTTTGAGTGCTATAAAAGCACAAGACCTTTACATTTTTACCCCTTGCCTCTGTGCGACTGTCAGCCCCCTCCATGTGAGGTGGTGTGACGTTACAGACAGACAGACAGACAGACAGACGTCAGTCTACTTACTTTCCTCTTTGGTTTTCTGCATGGCGAGGTCTGCTAACCAGTGTAGTGGGGATTGGGGTGCAGAGGCTGTGTACTTGCTCTCTGGTTCCTCGGGGCCTTGGGCAGGGTTGTCAGGCGTGACTTTACGTGAAGGTGAGAGAGCTCTGTCCGTTTCCCTGGGGGTGTCCTGTGTCAACAAGAACAACAACTTGCATTTAACACAGCACCCTTCACACAGCGTAGCTTCCCGGAGCGCTTGACAGTGGGGGAGTCTGACCCCGAGCCAAGGGGAGAGGGACTGGGACGAGGTGACCATAAGCACGATCAGAAAGGAAGGGCTTTAGGCAGGGATTTGAAAGTGGGGAGGGGGGGAGGGAGGGAGGGAGGGAGGGTGCCATCGGGGTGAGATTGTCCAGTTACCTGTGATTCCTGGTGTAAGCCATTAGGTAGAGGTGTGGTGACGCTCGGATTCTCTCTCCCGCTAACACAGGCACAGTTTGCTCTGATGATCCATCGCCTTCTGATGTTGTGCATGGCTTCTGAGAGGCTGACCAGCGCTGTGAGAAAGATAACGACAATAGTAATGTTAGTAATAATAATAATAATAACCCTTGCATTTGATGCAGCGCTTTATCACGTCTTCGAGACGTCTCAAAGCGCTTCACGGGATAGACTGTAAATTGACCGTACGTGTTGTGGGTGAAACACGTTAGCTGATTGCGCACAGGGGTGTCCCACAAACAGTGGTGGATTGAGTGACCAAATTATTATTATTTCTTTTTTTGAAGGGATTACTACTCCCCCGGGAAAGCGATCCCCCAATCGACTAACAACCGGGTTCCTACTTACTGCCGGGTAAACAGAGGCGGGCGCGTGTGCGCGCGCGCGCGGGCGCGTGTGTGTGTGTAGTAAGGATTAGTGCCCGGGAACCGAACCCGCGTCCTCTCGCTTGTGAGGCGAGTGTTCTAACCGCTAAGCTACAGGACGCCACAATTCAAAGATAAAGCGAGGGTTAGACACAGAGAGTAAAAGATATTGTGTGGGAGACAGATACAGCGAGTGAAAGAGAGAGAGAGAGAGACGTCTCACCACGTTTAGAGACCAGTTGTGTGGGCCTCAGACTTTTGACCTCATGAACCTGCCCTTTAACGCACTTTAACCACGTAGGACCCTCTTCGCTCTTTTCTGGATGGGAGACAGCAGAGGTCAAGTCACCTGCGACGAACCCGAGGCCAGACACTGAACCACAACAACAACAACAACTACTGCTTGCATTTGTATCGAGGAGGGAGGGAGGGAGGTGGAGGTATTGAGGGCGAGGGAGAGGACAAGGTATTTGAGGGTGGGGGGTGTTGGGGGGATTGTCAGTCAGGACACAGGATCCACCTGAACATGGCTTCCATAGGGGTAACATCTCACCCTGTAGAATGTCCCTCTCCGAAGCCCCAGGACTGGGACCTCGCCTCGGATGCCTCTGCTTTTGACAGGATATACAATCCACGACCGGGGTGGGGGTGTCGGGGATGGGGATGGGGGTGTCGGGGATGGGGGAGAAAGGCTATTTGTGGACGCACACACTCACCTGTTCCATTTGTGGCTCCTCTCCCCAGCTTGGCCATGTAACACTGCACGCAGACCAGGAACCCGCATCGCAAGCACAGCCAGTGAAAGTTGAAGAGCATTTTGTGGCAGCAATCGCACCTCTCGTCCCTCTCCCCCACCGTCAGCTTCATGGCGACGGACCCTTTAGCAAGAGCAACGCAAACTCGCGTCTGAGCCGGGAATCCAAGGCACGGGATGGGACAAACACACCCGTGTACATGCGTGCAGGTGTGCGCCTACCGGCGTATGCAAGCCAAGTGCGTGCGCCTGCACGGGAGGGCGTTTCTGTGTGCGTGCAGCTGTGCGCTAGCGTGTTTATGTGCGTGCTTCCACCCGTGTCGCTGCTTTGAGTGAGGCATCACCCAGACCATTTACGCAGGAAGAAGACTCTCCTGTCTCCCCCCCCCTCCCACCCACACACAAATTCAGACCAATAACAGATCCCACCCCAATCTCTTACAACAACAACTTGCATTACACAGCGCCCCCTCAAGCAGGGTAGCGTCCCAGAGCCTGGGGGTGGATGTGGCTGAAAGCGCAGGACACCGATGCTGGAACGGAGGGTACGAGGGGCAAGCAGGAGGCCGGAGCCAGTGGAGCGGAGGCAGTGGGTTGTGGGTTGGTGGGGGGGGGGGTGGGGTAAGCAGGTCGGGGAGGTAAGGATGTGCCAGGGCGGAAAGGAGTTTGATTTACCGTCATAATCTTCAGTGACTCTCGCAAACAGCTGCCGCTCGGCTGACACCATGTCACAGAACTGATCTCCCACGTGAGCCAAGATGTAGGTGGAGGCTTGGGGGTCCAGGCCGGGCTCCGCAGAGCTTGTGAGCCCCCTCCCACGGACCTCTTCGTTCACCTGGTCTTCAGTGCAATATCCGTCCATCCTCAGCCCTCCGCTCCTATTGAAGGACAGCCTGCGAAACAACAACAACAACACATTACATTTACACGGCACCTTTCACGTCGGGAGGACGTCCCAAGGTGCTGGACAGTCAGGGATTTGGACCCGAACGGGTGGTTGGGATCAGGAAGGGTGGAGGCAGGAAGATGGCTGAAGGTGCGGTCAAAGAGGCGACATGCCTTGAAGGAGGCAAGGGAGGGCGGCCAGGTGAAGGGACTGTGGGGTGTAGTTTCAAACCCCTCACTGTCTGGGGTTTTGGGACGTCCTCCCGATGAGAAAGGCGCTGTGTAAATGTAATTTGTTGTGGTTTTAAGGATTGGTGGTGTTGTAACTGTGAATAACTGTGCTCGTTTGATGAGCCTGACCTTTACGCAAGGGTAAAGCTCAAAGTTGGAGAGCAGGGGTGCCATGCTCTCTCTCTCTCTCTCTCTCTCTCTCACTCCCTCTCTCCCTGAGGTTAATTTGGATCACGCTCAAGTCTGAAGGTCCTCACAACAGGTCAACCGTGGAACACTCGCTATCAATCCTCCCCTGGTTAAAACCAACACAAACCATTGGGTCAATATTGACTCGTCCAGGATCGATCAGGGGTTATGTTTTTAACTACGATGGCTGATTCCACGTCCTCTGAACCAGCCCTTGTGTTGTAAAAGACAACACGTCTCTCTCCTCTGAGGGCTTGGCTCTGATCATCATTGGAGGGCATAAATTCCATAAGGCCCCTAAAGAATAATAATAATCCTTGCATTTGATACAGCGCCTCAACACGACTTCGAGTCTTCTGGTACACTGTAAAGTGGAGTGACCGTGTATTTTATGGGCGAGAGGTAAAAATTAATGGCGGGAGGTCCAGGAGGGGTTGATTTGAGATACTGAAGCGCTCCGAGACGCCACCTGGCGTGAAGGGCGCTATATAAATGCAAGCTCTTGTTGTTATTTACCTGCGGAAGTGCAGGAACCTGCAGGGAGCGGGAGCTGAGGGCCACTCCACACCCTTCCTGTTGCGTCCGGGCCAACATTCCCGACAGCGCTGGATGTTGGCGGAGAGGTCAGTGCAGGGGATGTCCTGGGTGAAGGAGGATCCTGTGGACTTGAGCTGCTTCACTCTCTGTAGGTCCTTCAACACTGGCAAAGGCGAACCTCCTGCAGAGGAGGGGAGAGAAGGGTAGAAGGGTGGGAAGAGGGAGAGGGGGGGGAGAGAGAAGGGAAGAGAGAGAGGAGAAGGGTGGGGGAGGAAGAAGAAGAGGGGGAGAGAAGGGGAGGGAGAGAGGGGGAAAGCGAGAGAAGGGGAAAGAGAGCGAGCAAGGGAGAAAGAGAAAAAGGGGTAAAGGGTGAGAGAGAAAGAGTAACGGGGGAGAGAGAGAGAGGGAGAAGGGGGAGAGGGAAAGTGAGAAAGAGAGAAAGCGAGAAGGAGAGAAAGAGAGGGGAAGAGGGAGATGGAGAGAGACATTAAGCCGAGCTCCCTGTCTATGGACGTTAGACAACAGCAGCTTGTGTTTGTACAGCGCCCTCCACGTGGGGTAGCGGCTCAGAGTGCGTAACAGTGGAGGGGGGGGGGTGGTGGGGGGAAAGAGGGGGAGGTGACCAGAGGTGATGGTCGAAGAGGACGGTGTTCAGGTGGACCCGATAATGGGCAACGATGGGGGCGGAGTGGCTGAAAGCACAGCCGCCGATGGTGGAGCGGAGGGGGTCAGTGGATCTGCAGAAGTCTCGAACTGGTATTGACCCAACAATCTGATGGCTCTGTGCCTCTGTTTTTAACTCTTTCCAATCACACTGTCAAGACTGAGGTGGATAGATATCTGTCAGGTCAGGGCAGGCAATTAGACCTGAGGTACAGATCAGCCCTGGTCTTACAGAAGGGCCGAACAGGCTCGAGGGGCTGAATGGCCTCCTGCTGCTCCTACGTTTAATCTCCTTTCCAGAGACTCATCACATGTCACCCAAAATATCTGGTGGGGATGGGGGAGAGGTTGGTGGGGGTGGGGGTGTAGGATAATAATGAATAATAATAAGGACTATCTCATCCCATTAGCAAATCCGCACAACCCCCGCACATCCGCCCCCCACCCCCAACCCCATCGCAGCACTTTGATCATTTTGGGTTTGGATAATATTAGGCGAGTGACGGGTTTCCGCGTGTGTCAGACACCCACCGGTCTGACCAAAAAATAATAATAATCATTCTCGTTATTAAACAATCAATTATTTTTATCTGGGGAATGATCAAAAAATTCCTGGGTGTGGGTCTGGAATGTTGTGTGTGTGAGTGAGTGTGAGTGAGAGAGAGTGAGAGTGTGAGTGAGAGAGAGTGAGAGTGTGAGTGAGAGTTTTGAGTGCGTGTGAGTGAGAGTAAGTGAGAGTTTGAGTGAGTGAGAGTGAGAATAAATTAGAGTATGAGTGAGAGTAAGTGAGAGTGCGTGTGAGTGAGAGAGAGTGAGTGTAAGTGAGTGAGAGAGTGTGAGTGCATGTGAGTGAGGTGAGAGTGTGAGTGAGTGAGTGTGAGTTAGTGAGTGAGAGTGTGAGTTAGTGAGTGAGAGAGTGTGAGTGTGAGTCTCACCATTCTGCAGGACCCCGTTCTCTCTCTCCAGTCTCCGACTCCGAGTTTGGGCCACTCTGGGCTCCTCTTCCTCCTCCTCCTCCTCCATCACCCCCTCCGCCCGCCCGGCGTGTGTGACTGGGGTCCCCTGTGGTCCTTGGGTGACCCTGTCCGACCTCTTGCCTTCTCTCCTGACCCTGAGACACGGCCTGCCTTCAGCCACCTCCACCTCGCCCTCCGAGCTGGTCCCGTGGGTCCTTTTGGCCGCTGCTCTCTTGGGGGGGCATTCCTCCTCCTGCCCCACCTCCTGCCCCGCCCGCTCAGGGACCAGCCTTCCAGAGTGGAGTCAAGGCCCAGGCAAGCCCCTCCCTGCTCCGAGTGCCTGGTGAGCCACGCCTTCTTCAGCTTGGTATGGCAGCCGGAGGGGTTGGTCTGACGGAGCTGGTGGGCGCCACTGGCCGCCACCGCCCGGGCCTGCCCGGCCTCGCTGCAGCCCGGCGACACTTCCTCCTCCTCCTCCTCCTCCTCCACCCCCTTCCTCCTCCTTCTCGTCGTCGCCTCCTTGCCCGCCCACTGCCCCTCCGGCGGGCACTGAGTCACGGCTCGAGCCGCCTTGTGCTTCTTGGGCATGTAGTAACCGTCAGCGAAGGCCGGCTTTGCTGGGGCGACAACTGATCCGGTTTCCCAGTCGCCTGCCAGGCCTCCCGCTCTGTCCCGGTGCTCGACGCCACCGCCATCCGCCATCCGCTCCTTCTGCTCGGCCAGCTCCGGCAACGAACGGTCGGGGAGAGCCGGCGTGCCGCAGCCGCTCTCCTGCGGGGGGCGGGCCGGTGCCAGGCGGTGGCTCGGACCCCTGGCGATGCCCTGGAGGGGAGGAGAGAAAGCGGGCACCGGGCCTGGGAAGCCCAGTCCCTCCGCAGCACCTCCCGGTGGCCGGTAAAGCTTGCGGACGAGAGCGGGGCTCGCCGGAGCCTGGTGATACGCCGTCCGGGCACTTCTCAGCTCCCCCTCGGCCAAGCGTTCCCGCTCGGCGAAGCCGGAGCTAGGATCTTCTGCGGCGGCTTCCGTCTTGCTCGGGGATCGAGCCGCGGGGGGCTTTGCCTCGCGCTGAGCGACTGATGAAGAGAAGCCGGCCTCTCTCCTTTGCGGCAACGCAGTAGACCTGCCCGGCTGCTTGCTCGCCGACCGGCTCGACGGGCACAGCCTCGCCCCGAAGCCTGGCTCGCCGTACCCCACGCCCCCGCCAGTCTCCGGCAACGGCTGTACGTCCGCGGCGGTGAGGTTGTTCCTGACGGCGTGGGGGTACGGACACAGCGAATCCGCATACAGCTTTCTACTCACCTCCCTGGGGCACAAACACACACCATGACACGGATCGCCACCACAACAATAATAAATATAATAATCCTTGTATTTGTTACAGCGCCTCATCACAACAACAACAACGGGCACTTATATAACACCCTCCACGCAGGATAGCGTCTCAGAGCGCTTAACGGTGGCAGCCCAGACTCCGAGCCGGTGGGGTGGGGGAGGGAGAGGAGGGGAGGGGAGTTAGTGGGGGGAGAGAGGCATCGAGGGAGAGAGTTCCAGAGTTTCAGGGCGGAACGGTTGAAAGGGCAACCGTTGGTGGGGGGGGGGGATGTGGGGGCTAGTGCAGCTTCACAGGATATACTGTAAAGTGTAGTGACTGTGCGTGTTTTGTGGGGAAAATGCGGCAGCCAATCGCGCACAGATACTAATAATAATCCCGGCATTTGATACAGCGCCTTATCAGGTCTTCGAGACGTCTCAAAGCGCTTCACAGGATACACCGTAAAGTGTAGTGACTGGGTGTTTTGTGGCCGAAACGCGTCAGCCAATCGGGCCCAGCGACGTCCCCACAAACAGTCGTTTGGACCGAGTGACCGTTTTCGAATGGAGATCTCTTTGCGGAGGAGGGATTATTGCCCCCGGGAAAGCGATTTTGGCCAATCGTCGGCCAGGATTTCGGGAGCGACGAGGTTTTGGGGGAAAACGAGAGCCAAATAAGTTCAGCCCAGAACAGACCCACGTTTGTTACGAGCCTGTGCGTATCAGGATGCCTTGCCAAGCACGTGAGTCAGTAAATAGGCCGGCGGATTAGGTATGCAAACTGTGGACGTCTGTCTGCTGGGCTGCGGTGAGGAGACTCGGTTGCTTGAGGCACGCGGTGAAAAGTGGAGGTCTCAGAGAATCGCAGGTGTTCGCAGAGCCAAAAAGGAGGCCATTCGGCCCACTGTATCTACACTGGGTCTCGGAGCAAGCTGCGCTTTACTCTCTCTCTCTCTCTCTCTCTGTTTCTCTCACTCTCTCAGGGAAAGAGCGGGCAGGGGAAGTGGACTAGTCGGCCACGGACACGACGGCCTGATGGCCTCCTCCTGCGCTGTAAGATTCTACAGTTCCACGACAAGGAAGGGCGAGGAAGAAGTACTTACTCTTTGTAAAGATGTGGGGAATGAGCCGCTGTGTCCGTAGCTGCGAGAAATTCCTTCTTACTGGAAAATTGGCTCATTCGCTGTTGGTTGTCCAGACTAATGTGATGGTGGTACGCCCATGGATTGTGGATACCCTGTTCAGCACAAGAGGTTAAAATACAACATTAGTTTTGCCAACGCACAAGTGAAAACTAAAATGAACCCACATGCTGTTCTCGTAATAAAATAATAATAAATTGGGCACTTCAATCCACGACTGTTTGTGGGAAGCTGCTGATTCAAAGGATGGTGCCTTCAGCAATAATAACCCTTGCATTTGATACCGCGCCTTATCACGCCTTCGAGATGCCTCAAAGCGCTTCACAGGATACACTGCAAAGTGCAGTGACTGTGTGTTTTGTGGGCGAAACGCGGCAGCCAATTGCGCCCCACAAACAGCCGTGGATGGAGCCACCAAATTATTAATTCCAATTTTCTTTTTGGTGCGTAAAAGCTCCCGTCACAAACCATTTTCAAAGCGGCCTCTCCGTTCACGTAGCTCGGATGCGAGTGCGAGCAGGCGGCCAACACGGGCTGGGCCGAGTGCATGTCCACTCTATCCACACTCTGCCACATAACGGGGTAGAGGTTCAGGTGCCCGTAGGCAGCGCTTAGCTGGACCTGAGCGGGGGCTTGTTGTAAGTGCTTTGGGTGGTAGAAGTTGTAGTTCGAGGCCAGAAGGGCAAAGTTGGTGCCGTAGGCAGAGTCCAAATGTGGCGCCATGGCCAACAGCGAGGGGTGGTGCCCGCGGCCCAACTTGGCGCCGGCGTTGAAGAAATGTGGCAGATGGACGTTCAGGGGCGGGTAAGTGCCCGGGTCAACGGCAAGCGAGATTCCTGGGCTGCCACGATGGGCGGCGGAGGGAGAAGGCAGGTGGTAGAGCTGATGGTAGCCGGCCTTCGCCTCCGATCCATTATAGGATGCCAACGCCTCTGTCTTGCTTGATTTTGTGGATGTTTCGGCATTGGTGGTGGTGGTGGGGGCGGTGGGCGTGGGTGTGAGCGAGGATTGGCGAGGTGGTCTCGGGCAAGAATTGCTTTGCCAGGCTTTCCGTTCGAGGTCCTGTCTGAAGCTCTGTGGGTCTGGTTTGAAGTCCGAGTTCAAAGTTGCCCAATGATTGTCGAGCAAGTTTGCCGGGCGCTGGTGGGTGCCGCTGCTTTCATTTAATGCCCCCAACGTTCCTTCCGACTGGTACCTTGACGTGTGGGTGCACTGACTTGCAAACGACGACCGTACAGAGTGGTCGGACATGTCCCTGTTGTGACCGTCTTGCCCGACATACGGCGGGTGAGTTTCCTTGCCAATCCCATGACTGGTGTGGTGGATGGCACTGATCTCCTGCCCCCGAGAAAGCGGATAGGCGTATCTGGCCCGCGCCAGACAAACTCCCGAATCGCCCAGATTCCTGCCCGGATCGTTGTGACGTCTCGCTCGGAATTCGGGGGTCGAAATCGCCCCCGGGGCCTGCTCTGGCGTCCCAGAGGGCGGGCTGTTTGTGTCGCTCGTCGCCTCTACTTTCTCCTCTCTTCCCTCATGGTCGTTCGACCCAAGGTTTGGGACCAACCTGATCTCCCCGGCTCGCACCGGGACATTCCCGGGATAGACTCGCTCGGAACTCTTGGCTGTCTTGGACTGTTTGGGCAAATCCAGATGATTTGCTTCCCCACATTCCAACTTCCGCTTATAGCTCCTGGTGCCCGGTCCCTCTGAGATTTTATCTCCTGTGCGACGTGGAGAAAAATAACAGGAATAAGCAACGCTCGCATTGAATCAAGACCCGTCATCTTTCCCCTCCCCCACTTCCCTCAGTTCCCTCACCCCCCCACACACACACCCCTCCACCAACGTCCTCCTGACGCGAAAGGGGCTACGCCGTATAAATGTTAATTCCACTGTATTGCGTTGCATTACACTTCGCAGGTAATCGCTGTCAAATGCAGCGACTGTGTGTTTTGTGGGCAAACGCAGCAACCAATTTGCGCACGGGAAATAATCCTCGCATGTGATACGGCGCCTCGTCACGTCTTCGAGACGTCTCAAAGCGCTTCACACTGTAAAGCGAATCGACTGTACACTTTGCGGGCGAAACGCGGCAGCCAATTGCGCACAGCAGCGTCCCCGCAAACAGTCGCGGATTGAAGCGACTTAATCATTATTTTTTTTTTGAAGGATTCACTATCCCCGGAAAAGATCGCCAAACAACCAGGTTCCGACTTACAGTGAGGTGAACACAGGCGCGCGCGCGTGCGCGTGTGTGGAGTAAAGAAACTTTTCGCCCTGACCCTGACCCGCCTGGGAATCGAACCCGGGTCCTCTGGCTTGCGAGGCGAGGTGCTCTAACCCCTGAGCTACCGGACTGCCCCCGAACTGGGAGGTTACCTCGTTCCTTTCCTGCACCTTCTGTACTCTCTTCCGCTGCCGCCTCACCGTAGGGTTGCCCTCTCCCATTAGCAGCCTCTCCGCAAGGCTCTTTGCCGAACCTTGCAAATCCCGGCTGAGCGTTGGTGGATTCCTGTACCTCTGTGAGGTGCCTCTGTAAGGCACAGCGAGAAGAAACCCCCCCCCGGAATTAGCTGCACATAAGTCGTATCTGTGACCGTAACATTTTAACACAACACGCATTTATTTAGCGCCCTTTACGTGGGGTAGCGCCCTGGAGCGCTTGACAGTGGCGGAGTCTGGCCACGAGCCGGGGTGGGGGGTGGGTGGGGGGTGGGGGGGAGGTTCCCGTAAGTACGATCAAAAAGGAAGGTCTTTAGGCGAGATTTGAGGGGTGGGGGGGACAGGGGGAGACCTAAATTTGGTGGGTGGGGCTGAGTTTCGCAAGGTGACCAAAACCCTGTGATTCCGTTACAGTACCCGACAAGTCTTAAAAAAAATGTGTTTTTTTTGGATAATAGGGTAATAATAATGATAATAATCCTTGTATAAAACAGCACCTGATCACGTCTTCGAGACGTCTCAAAGCCCTTCATGGGATATGCTGTAAAGTCGATTGACTGTGTATTTTGTGGGCAAAATATTATCACCACTTTTGGGTCACCCCGTACAACGCAGGGAGAGAGCCACACACGACTGAGCCACAGATGGACGTCGGGCGGAGGTTGGTGCTTACAAAGGTGTAGTCCGAGCTTTCTGCCGGAGATGTCCTTGTTGATGATACCTTGGCTGGTCCTGTGTAGGTGGTCTCAGCATCACACAGAGGCCACCCAGTGTCTCCCAACACCGTCATCTGTATCAGTGAGGCCTCTACGTTCTGTGTTTGTGGAACCTAAACGCACACAGAGATAACCTTCAATACTGAACGACAATAAGAACATAATAATAATAACATGATCACTCGATCCAGGACTGTTTGTGGGGACGCTGTTGTGCGCAATTGGCTGCCGCCTTTTGCCCACAAAAGGCACAGTCAAATCACTTTACAGGAGAGTCTGTCAAGCGCTTTGAGATGCTATGAAGACGTGATAAGGCTCTGCATCAAATGCAAGGATTATTATTATTATTATTATTCTGTGTGCTGGTGCTCGCTCTCCCCTCCTAGTGGAGCTCTCTACTCTAACCCCATTCTCTGCTCTCTCTCTCTCTCGCCCGCCCCAACACCCCATCGTGTCTGTGCTGGTGCTCGCTTCTCCCACTGGATGTATATATGTATATATATATATATCCTATACCTTGTCGTTCATCACAATCATACTGCAGCTGTAGAGCTTTGGGTGAACAGCGAAGTGTAGGAATCAACCGCCTGATGCTGCAGTCTGTCCAAATCAGTCCATTCCCTGCAGGAGCTCAAATAGTAATGACCTGGAGGACAGATAAACATACGATAGGCATAAGACCACGACACCAATCATATCATATAATAATTAATAACCACGATCCTTGCATTTGATATAGCGCCTTATCACTAGGTCTCAAAGGGCTTCGCAGGACATACTGTAAAGCGGTGCGGTTTGTGTATGGTTGATTTAGTTTGGTTAGAGTGTGTGCGAGGGTTGGTAAACCCTTGCTATAGTTCAACGTAATGATCCCTTCCAAATAATAATAATTTGGTCCCTCAGTCCACGCCCGTTTGTGAGGACGTCGCTGTGCGCAATCGGCTGCCGCGCTTCGCCCACAAAACGTACAGTCAATTCGCTTGACGGTGTACCCCGCGCTGGGCTTCGAGACGACTCGAAGACGTGAGGGGGAGGCGTATCGAATGCAAGGATTATTATTGTCGTTGTTGTAACGCCAATAATAAACGCACAAATTTACAGTCACGCTCTGCTCATAGCTCGCCTCGTCCGACTCCCCAAAGTAAGGAGAGAGAGAGAAAGAGAGCGAGAAAGGGGGGTGTGGAGTGGGGAAAAGGGGGGAATGAAGGAGAAAACACACCTAATGGACCCAAGCTTCTGCATTATAACTAGGTCGGATTCTTGACCTTTTTTAATGCAGTGGATCGTGTTGTGTGTGTGTGTGTGTTGAGGGGGGTGGAGGGGGAGGAAGAGGAGGGGGAGCAGAGAAGAAGTGTGTGTATGTAAGTGTGTGCGTGTGTGGGGGGGGAGAGAAGTGTGTGCGAGTGCTAGAGAGAGAGAGACGTCTTTCCAGCGTGAATCGCGCTCTGCAAGTATAATTTGTTGTTGTTGTGTGTGGGTTGGAGAGAGAGAGAGTGAGCCAGTGAAGTGCGTCTGTGTGTGTGTGTGTGTGCGCGTCTGTGTGTGTGTGTGTGTGCGCGTCTGTGTGTGTGCGTCTGTGTGTGTGTGTGTGCGTCTGTGCATCTGTCAAAGAGAGCGTGGCTTGTCTGAAAGCTGTTATGTGAGTGGGGTGAGGGGAGTACACAGCTTCTCACTCCGAGCTGCCTCCCTGGGAATCGTAAGCCCAAAGCTTAATTATTTTGGCAGCGTTTCAGGTTGAACGTGGACATGATCCAGTGTCATCTCATTCAACCCCCCTACCCCCCCCCCCCCCACCACCCCCTGCCTGCCTACGCATGCAAAAAAAAAGTTGTTCTATTCACTCACCGGCTGTCTGCTGTGATTTTTAAGGTCATGCGTTTTCTCTCTCTCTCTCTCTCTCTACCCCCCTCCCCCCCTCCCCCTCACAGCAGTAAGAACTGGCTGTCCTTCGAACATTTCCACAGATGTTTTTTTTCAAAAAAAATCCAGCTGAATATAAAAAATACCCTCTTTCTGTCTCTCCTTCTCCCTGACTCTTTCTCTCTCCCTCTTCCTTCCTTCCTTCCTTCCTTCCTTCCTTCCTTCCTTCCTTCCTTCCTTCCTTCCTTCCTTCCTTCCATCCCATCTCTCCCCCACGTTTCTCTTTCTTCGCCCCTTCCACCCCACCTCACTCTTTCTCCCTTCTTCCCTGGACTGGGGGTTCGAGTCAGGACGGGTGGAGGGCAAGAGGAGTAGGGGTAGGAGGGTGACCCAAGGCACAGTCGAAGAGGAAGGGCTTGAGACTTGCCTTGAAGGAGGCAATGGAGGGGGCGAGGTGGATGGAGTTCCAGAGGGTGGGGGCGTAGATGCTGAAGACCTGACTGAGGATGGGGCGGACAGGGTGGGGGCAAGAAGCAGGCTAGTGCTTTTCGAGGGGAGGGAGCGGACAGGTTGATAAAGGTTTAGTGGGTCACAGAGGTAGTGGGGAGCAAGACGATGGAGGGCTTTAAGAGTGAGGACAAGGATCTTGAACTGGGTGTGGGTGAGGACCCGAGCTGGAGAGTCCTGAATAATCTGCAGCTTATGGAGGGAAGAATTGGGAAGTCTAGCAAGCAGGGACTTCGCATAGTCAAGCCTTGTGATCTGGAGAAGAGAGACAGAACGAGAGAGAGAAGTAGAACAGAAAGCACAAGGGACTCAGCAAAGTAGAACAGGACGAGAGAGAGAGAGAGAGAGAGAAGAGAAATAGAGTAAGAGGCAAGATCAATATAGCCTGCGAGTGCAAGAATAAATCCTACATTCAGCAATATAACTCCCCAAATAAATTCGATCACTTCAGTTCATGGCTGTTTGTGGGGACATTGCTGTGTGCAAATTGGCTGCCGTGCAGTCAATGCACGTTCCAGCTTTACGTGTAATGCTATCGAGCTTTCTTGACGACGTGATAAGGCGCTGTATCCAGGATTATTATTATTACTATTATTATTATTTATAGCGGCGAGAGCATTGGCCTCGCAAGCGAGAGGAACTGGGTTTGATTCCCGGGCAGGGCAAAACCTTAGGCAAGTTTCCTTACTCCGCGCACACATGCCTAACAGCAGTAAATAGGAACCTGGTTATTAGTGAATTGGCGGATCGCTTTTACCGGGGGAAACAATCCCTCCGAAGAAAACACAACCCTAAAAAAAATTGGTCACTCAGTCCACAACTGTTTGTGGGACACTGCTGTGCGCAATTGGCTGTTAAATATGTCATCAGTTTGATTGTTTCTACAGGATATTGCAAACAGTGGAACACAGGAAGACACACGAGGCGTGTGGTGGTTCTGAGTGGAGAGGGAGGGGAAGGGGGCAGGGAGAGAAAATGGGGTGGAGGGGAGGGGCGGGGTGGTGGGTGGTGTTGATGTCTGGTGGGGAGGGAAGGAGGAAGGGCGACTCAGATTGGGTGTGGGAGCCGGGAATAAGCAGCGTTGGAGGGCAGAGTGCAGAGTGTCAGGTCTTCCGCTACCTCCCCAGCCAAGCAGCCAGCTGGCACTGGTGACTGGCACCCTGCCAGGCGTTAACACTTCACTGCACGGCCAAGGCAGACTGTTAGCAAGTGAGCCAATCGCGCTCTGTGCTGCGGTAGTCGGGATTGTGGTTTGACGGAGCGATGACTTGGAGAAAGAGTTCCAACGAACAATTTGACCTGTGTCTGTCGTAATCTCGCCTCCGGGCCAGAAGCTTGCGGGTTCAAACCTCTTATCGAAGAAATCCCTTTTGGTGGGGGGGGCGAGGGGGAGGGGGGGTGTTATCGGTTGAGTCCTGTAGCTTAGTAGTCAGGGGACACGCCTCGCAGGTGAGAGGACGTTGGGCAAGTTTCCTTACTCCACACACACACACACACACCTCTGTTTACCGGCAGTAAGTAGGAACCCAGTTGTTAGTTGATTGGCGGATCGCTTTTATGGGGGTAATAATCCCTCCTCAAATGCAAGGATTATTATTATTATTATTTACATAGCGCCTTTCCCGTTGGAAGGACTTCTCAAGGTGCTGGATAGTTAAGGATTTGCACCCCAGCTGTGGGGTGGAATCAAGAAGGGTGCGGTAGGTGGAGAGCGCATCCGTGAATAGTGATACTATCAGCATCTGAGGTGAGGAGGCGCGGACGGGAGCCAAGTCGGAGGGCTTGGTCTTCTCAACGTTCAACTGGAGAAAGCTGGTCCTCAACCAGGCCTTGATGTCTGGAGTCGAGGTGGAGGCAGAGAGATACAAGTTGGTGTCATCTGCATACGTGTGGGATTTGACCCCATGCCTGCAGACGATGTCACCAAGCGGGAGCACGTGGATGTTAAATTGTCAGAAGGTTATGCCTCGCAAGAAAGAAGACTGTGTTCGATTCCCGGCAGGGTGACATGTTGGGCAAGTTTCCTTACTCCACACACCTCTGTTTACCTAGCGGAGACTAGGAACCCGGTTGTCAAGTCGATTGGCGGATCGCTTTCCCGGGGGTAATAATTCCTTCCAAAAAAATAATACATTGGTCACTCAATCCCCCACTGTTTGTGGGGACGCTGCTGTGCTTTTCACCCACACAATATACAGACAATTTCACTTTACAGTGCATACCGAGACATCCGTAAATAAGGCGCGAGATCAAACGCGAGGATTATTATAAAGAAATAAAAAACTGGCATCTTTTTTTTTTGCAGCTACGTACGATATTCGCCAGATGAATGCATTCAGCTTCTCTTGAGCTGGCGAATGGAGACTGACGCCGGGAACGAAAAGCCGGAATTTGTGAATAGGGAACTCAGTGTCCCAGTCACAAACCTCTGCGTGGGGGGGAATAACACGCTCCTTTGTTTCGGCTCAGAAAATAGGAGCGGGTGAAAATCAAACGGTTGCCTGGAAAGTTCCCGTCTCTGGCTTCTTGTCTGTTAGCTCACGGCATGTAGTTTGTGCGTGAGAGAGGCCTGTTTGGAAGTTGCCAGTGTCAGCCTGGTAACATATTCACTGGCCCGTCACACGGTTGTGAGTTCAAGCCCAATCCCTCATGCCTCCCAGCCCACCCATGTCAGGACTTTTACTCCGTAACTGAATGGCTGCCTTGGGACTTTAAACCCGAGCCCCTGTGCCTCACTCCCTCCCTCCCTCCCTCCTCCCGTCTCAAGACCTTCCTCTTCGACCGTGCCTTTGGCCATCTTCCCTCCTCCACCCCCGTCCTTGCCCCCCCCACCCCTCTCTGATCCCAACCCGCAGCTCGGGTGCCCAGTGCCTTGGGACATCCTCCTGACCTGAGAGGCCTGCGATAAACCCCTTCCAAAAAAAAACACACGGCAAAAAAAAATGTGTTTGTGGGACCACTGCTGCCGCGTTTCGCCCACAAAATACGTCTAATAATATAATCTAAAGTACAATAATATAATATAAAGTACAATACAGTACAATAATACTGAAATCTACATCCCACATCGGATGCTTTGGTTGCAAGCGTAGCCGCAGCGGCGGGTACAGCTCGTCGGTAATTAAAAACACGCCAAAGAAAAGCTCCGAGAACGTCCTCTCAACAGTATCAAACGTGTTGTTATTAAGATTGTGAGACGGGTTTGTTATGAACAGAGCCCCCGTGGGCCAAATTGATCTCATCCTTCCACAACACCAGCCTGCCTTGCCATTGCACCAAGCTGTTCGCTTTGTGTGTCTGTCGCTCTGACCTCAACCACACTTCCTAGTAACCTAGTAATTTAGTTGCTTTGGGAACAGCCAGATGGAACGTACAAATGTCAGCTTGACTGTGAGTGAGTCAGAGGTGTGTCTGTGTGTGTGTTCAAGACCCCACGTTGTGCACACAGCCCAGGTCGGGGGTGGGGGGGGGGGGGCGCGGAGGATGGGCATGTGTGCACGCGCGCGCGTGTGTGTGTGTGTACGTGTGCGTGGGTGCACGTGTGAGGGAGGGTGGGGAGGAGAAGTCACTGCACTGTTGGAGGCGCCGTTCTTCAGCTGAGATGCTAAACCCAGCTGCGTGCGCTCTGTTCGGGGTGGATTTAAAGAACTCCCACCGCGCCGCTCGAGAGGAGAAGGGAGTTTGTGTCGCCTGTAGGGAGGATTGTCGAGCTATGAGCTCAGCCTCTTGCGGGTCTTCAACCCACAAGCTTCTGACTCAGAGGCGAGAGCGCTAATGACTAAACTGCACTGACACATCCCCATCTCTTTCAGTGCCTTGAAACACGGCGTCATCAGCTTCCAAGCATTTCCCGGTGATCGCTGTCAACAACAAGAGCACCAAGCGTGTGTTGATAATCATGCCCTTCACGGGGTTTAGCGTCAGCCAAACACAGCAGCCAATTCTGCGCTCAGCAATGTCCCACAAACAGCCTTGAAGCCAATGAACCAGTTTTATCTGCGTGCGGATTACTGGCCTGGACACCGACTGACGGGCAGAAAGAAACTCCCTCCTTGAAACAAATCCTAGTTTGATGCCTATCACGACACCTGCTGCTCGAAAAGTAACACCCTGCATTGCAGATCAGCTCAGCGCCAGTGTGGATTATGTATCGTGGAGTCCCTGTAGCTCGGGGGGGGTTAGAGCCCTCGCCTCGCAAGCGACTGGACCTGGGTTCGATTCCCGGGTGGGACAGGTCAGGGCGAAACCGTGGGCAAGTTTCCTTACTCCACAAACACACACGTCTCTTTTTACCCGGCAGTAAGGAGGAAACCCGGTTGTTAGTCGATCGACGGATCGCTTTTCCGGGGGTATTAATCCCTTCAATAAAAATGTTAATAATTTGGTCACTCAATCCACGACTGTTTGTGGGGGAACGCTGCTGTGCGCAATTGGCTGCCGCGTTTCGCCCGAAACACGGGAAAAGTCAATTTCACTTCACGGTGTATCCCGTGAAGCGCTTTGAGGCGTCTCGAAGACGTGATAAGGCGCTTGTTCAAATGCGAGGATTATTATTATTATTATCATCCTCATCAATGTGGGTTCAAACCCACAACATTCCCACAACAGACAGCCGCAGACTGAGGCAGCTGACACACACACACACACACTACGAGGTGTGGCAGATATTCTAGCACATCATGAAGGCCTAGACGAACTGGCCAGCAAAGCTATTTTAATCTGTCTACTTCAGGCTGACTCATGGAAGTACTGACGAAAGGGTTTGTTTGACTCTGGCAACGAATGCCTTGGATTCCAACATTGCGCGATGAAGCACCTCGCTCACAAAGGGCCAGCCCGCCCTCGCCAGGAACGTACAACCATAATTAATAATAATAATCCTTCAACTTGATACAGCGCAAGGATTATTCGCCCAGGGAACGCACAGTCGGTCACTCCACTTTACAGTGTATTCTGTGAAGCGCTTTGAGATGCCGCGAAGACGGGATAAGGCGCCGGATCAACTGCGAGGTTTTATATATGATAAACACCGTATTTTACTGGCTGTAACGCTGTATATTATATTAAAAAAATGCTGTGTGTTACTGGCGGTAACACTCATGCGTGAGCAGTATAAGGGTTAATCCTGGATGATTAGTGTAGACATGAACTAAACCTTGGCTGTTGCCTGCAGCTCTCGCTCTCTCTCTCTCTCTCTCTCGCTCTCTCTGTCATTTTGCCAGGGTTACCACACCACAGAAATGCTTCAGGATATTCTGACAGGTTTCCTGTGGCTCTGAGATGTGAAGCAGTGTTTCCACAATGAAGAACGAGCAGGGCTGTTGGTGCGGAGGCGGGGAATAAAGGTGAGGAGGGGGCCGTTTCAGATCCCTAAAGGGTGTACTTATTATTTTCAATGGTTTCCCGTTGGCACTGTTTCCGACTTATCTCTTGATACCCATAATTTCACATCTAGCAGCTCCCTTGCTCTCCCCTCTCCCCCACAAGCCACCCCCCACCACCCCACACCCACCCCTCGCACGCGCGCATGCAAAGAGTGTCAGCCTGGCTCAGTCAGTGTCGCCGTCACCTCCCGAGTCTGAAGGTTGTGGGTTCATGCCCCACTTTCGAGGACTTTGAGCTTCTGCGGTCGGGGGTGGGGGCGGGGGAAAAAGCACCGTATTGTTGGAAACCCCGTTACTTGGACCAGTTAAACAAAATAATAATAATTATTTGGTCGCTCAATCCACGACACAGCGGGCGAGGACGCTGCTGTGCGCAATTGGCTGCCCGCGTTTCGCCCACAACACACGCGGTCAATTCTCTTTACAGTCTATCCCGTGAAGCGCTTTGAGACGTCTCGAAGACGTTGATAAGGCGCCGTATCAAATGCAAGGATTATTAATATTGTTATTATTATTTCTCCACAGCGCTATCATAAAAGACAAGGGAGTTCACTTCACGGCTGTTTTTTTGGTGGCGGTGGTGGGGGGGGGTGGCATTCTTGTGTCTATCGGCTGCCGAGTTCACCCACAAAACAACACGGATCACTGACTCTTTACAGTAAAACCCTCCAGAGTGGGTTTGAGATGTCTCAGCAATGTGCGGGGATTATTATTGTGCTGGGGGTGGGGTGGAGGGGTTGGTGGTGTTCGGTGGGTGGTGGGGGGGAGAGAAATGGGAGACATCACGTGATTCGGATTTATAGCACAAATGAGTCACTTCACAGGAATGAGAGGCTCTGGTTGCCAATAATCCTTAATATCCGTTAATTTAACACACGCTCAGACCAGTGCCTGCACCTTTGGCCTGAGTCAGACCGGGGTTAAATCCTGTCTAGTTTCCCCCCTCCTTCCCTCTTCCCCCACCGTCTTAAAAAAAGGAGAACGATAAGATTAAAACGTCTCAAAGGGTTAAAACATACATGTGTATGTGTGTCTGTGGGTGTGTGGAGGGGGTAGGGAGACATCACTGTGCGCCAATCGGAAGCCGGACTCGCCTACAAAACGCACAGTCACTACACCACGCAGTTAGAAAAAACTGCGACATTTCGACGACGCGATAAGGCGCTGTATCAAATGCGAGGATTACGATATTAATTTCTTTTTAGAGAGGGCGGCGGAGAGAGTAATGGAGTGTGTGGGGGGGAGGGGGAGGGAAGAAAGGTTGAGGAACAGAACTAATACTTATTAAAACATTTCATATAAAAAGTCTTGATCCACACACCCACTCCCCCTCTGTTTCTCCCCAACCCCTCTCCCCACCCCTCTCTCTCTCTCTCTCTCTCTCTACCTTTAAATCACATACAGAAACAGTGACTTACCTTTAAAACCTGTCTAATATTCCTTCCCGAAAGAAGTTATCTTGTCTCCTCTCAAAGACACACCAAGACGCACACACACACACACAATCCACAAGAAAGTGAGTCGAACTTGAACCACAGAGCTATTGAGACAAGTCAGTCCCTGTGCGATCCACTCACCCAAGTCGATCACTCAACTCAGTCCTTCTGCGAAATCTGTCGGGCGTTAAGTTCAATCCAGCTCAAGTCGCTCTTTCACACCGCGCACCTTGGAAGGAAGGAGTGAGTGTGTGAGAGACAGAGAGAAAGACAGAGACAGTGAGTGGGTGAGAGGCACAGGCAAGACAAGACAGACAGACAGACAAGACAGACAGAGAGACAGATAGAGAGAGAGAGAGAGAGAGAGGAGAGCAGTTGAGAATGACTCGCTTGCCTGTTTGGCAGTAGCTTCGGGCAAGGCAGGAGGAGGAGGAGGAGGCAATGAAGGTAGAATCCAAAAAAAAAGGCTGCTGTTTCTCAGAAAACTCTCACACACACTCATTCGCACACTCACACACTCCTCTCTCTCTCTCTCTCTCTCTCTCAGTGGCTGACTCACCAAAGAGAGTTGATTACATCAGAGAGCAAAGATATATCCAATTGCCAAAGGCTGAAACAAAACCTTACCTCCCAACACCCTCTACCCTCCGCGTACCTTTTTCCTCGCGCTCTCGCACGCTCGCTCGCTCTCTCTTCAACCTGCCCGTGGACAAGAGGGGCAGAGGAACAGCCCTCTAACTTGTCCTGGTCACCAGCCAGTGGAGCTCAGATATGTGGGGAATGTCCTCAGCCAGAAAGGCTAGGCTGCTATAAACAAGCTCAGCCAGCCAGCAAGAGGTCTGACACACAGAGGAGGGACTCTCTACACTTTATTGGTGCCAGTTAAAGAGGCAGCTCTCTCTCTCTCTCTCTCTGGCTTTCTCTCGCTCTCTGTGTGTGTGTGTCTGCGTCTCACTGTGTGTCTCTGTGTGCGCGTGTCTCTCTCTGTGGCTTTCTCGCTCTGTCTCTGTGACTCTCACTCTCTCTGTCTGTCTGTTTGTGTTTCTCTCTCTCTCTCTCTCGCTGTGTCTCTCTCTCTCTTTCTGGGGGCAATACCCCCTTTCAAAAAATGATAATAATAATAATAGGAGAAATAATAATAATATTAATCCTCGCATTTGATATAGCGCCTTGTCACGTCTCAGAATAGACGTGAATAGCTTTACCGAATATACTGTGAAGTGAATTAACTGCGGGCGAAAAGCGGCAGCCAATTCCGCACAGCAGTGCGTCCCGCAAACAGCCGTGGATTGAGTCTCTCGCTTGCGAGGCGAGTTCTCTAACCATTGAGCTACAGCGCTCCACGATAGCAGAAAGTGCAGAGGCCGTGCCCGCTGTGGCAGTTAGCCAGGGAGGCAGCCCATTTGCATTGTGCTCCCCGACCCCGCCATTTAACGGCCGTTATCCATCCCTGAGACAACAGGCAAGAGAGGAGGAGAAGTGGGAGGGAGTGCTGCTCTGCGTCGATTGTCAACACGAGAAAATAGCACACGTTCGTTCGGTCGTTCGTACGTTCCCCTGTGTAAGTGCACAATTACTTAAAAGCTCCAATTACACAGCCCCCTTCCTCCTCCTCCTCCTCCTCCTCCCTCTGTCACGCTGTTCATTCAAATCAGCTCTGGCCTAATCTGCGTGCAGTCATATGCACTCATAGGGCAATCTGCATTGAAGTCACAGAGACGCAGAGGGCAGTGGGGGGGGGAGTAGCGAGTCTCATCGCTACCGTGCCTTCCCTAACCGGCACACCCCGACCCCCCAATCCCCACTACTCCTTACCCCCAACCACCTCTATATCTCTATCTGTCTGTCTTTCATTCATTCAATATCCTGTGGGCCATCCTATGGATGAGACATTAAACCGAGGTCCCCTGTTCAGGCGGACGTTGAAAAATCTCCCGCAGTGCTGTTGGAAAAAGAGAAGGGAGTTTTTCTCTCTCTCTCCCTCTCTGGGGTGTCCTGGCCGACAATAACCCCCAAATAAAATCGCTCGCTCAATCCCCGACTGTTTGCGTGGGGAGGGCGCCTTGCGCAATTAATTGGCTGCCGCGTTTCGCCCACAAAATACACGGTCACTACACCGTGCAGCGTATTCCGGGAAGCGCTTTGAGATGTCGTCGCGGACCTCTTGACGTGCAATGCCACGGAAAGGCAGAGGCGAGGGAGTGTCCTGTTTGGAAGAGTTAAGAATTATCTGCCTGTGTCGTGATCTTGTGGGCCGATAGGATCTGGATAAGTGCCTCTGTGCGTGTGTGTGTGTGTGTGTGTGAGAGAGAGAGAGAGAGGTTGCGCAATCAGTCAGATGGTGCGCAGAGAAGCAAGCCAAGGTTTTCACGGCAATAAACGGATTCCCGCAGCACTCTGAAAGAGAGGGCTGGGCTTTGTGCGGCGAGAGAGAGAGACAGAGAGAGCTGCCCGACTGTGTGTGGCTGCTCTGTCTGTGTCTGTTGTGTGTGGCTCGCTGCCACTTCGCAACACAACACCAACACCAACACAACAGCGCGGACAAACCTGGCACCGTACCCGTGGCAAGAGCTTCTTCACTACCCACCCGCCCACCCCCTGCGCCCGAGTCGCTGATGGAGAATCGGTGCTGATAATAACAACAATATTAATTTGGTCGCTCAATCCGCAACACTGGCGCAATTGGCCTAAATGTGTACAGTCAATTCGCTTTACAGTGTATTCCTGTGAAGCGCTTTCAGGCGTCTCGAAGACATGATGAGGCGCTATATCAAATGCAAGGATTATTATTATTATTATTATTATTATTTATTGTCATATTTATTATTGTGTCGCCTCCCGTTTGGAGTGGATATGACTCAGGGAGATGGAGATGGTCTGGTATTAGGAGAAGTGTGGTAGTGAGGGGGTAATGTGTGAGAGTTTGCAACTACCAATAAAGATAAAAGAAGTTCACTGACCAGCCAGAGAGCAATAAACCCACAACCCATTGCAACCTCGGTTTGCAATCATCTTTTAGAAGTCGGCCTAGAACGTTAACTCACTTTCCTCTCTCCATAGATGCTGCCCAAGTCTTTATCCCAACCTCTCCCTTCGTGGTTTAACAGATCAACTAGAAGAAGGAGAGAATTGCAGAGAGCTGGTTAATTTGAGCATCAAAGTCCGTGACTCACTCACTTGCTCCCTCCCTCCCTCCTTCCCTCCACCTTCTCTCCTAAGATCTCTCAAAGAGAGCTTTGTCAACACGGCAATAACCACCCACTTAAAGTTGTTCCCACAGCAACATTACTCTCGGCTACGGCAAAAAATGTACACCTGCATCCCTCCAGTCAGCCTTCCCCCATGGGCACTTTATTGTGGAGCGTTTTTGGTTACAGGCAGTCGGATGGAGCTCAGTGGTGCGAGCGCTCGACTCGCAAGCGAGAGGACCTGGGTTCGATTCCCGGGCAGCGCGAAATGTTGGCGAGTTTCCTTACTTCCCCGCCCCCACCCCACCCACACACACACGCACGCCTCTGTTTACCTATCAGTAAATAGGAACCCGGTTGTTAAGACAATTGGTGGTTCCTTCAAAAAATAATAATAATTTGGTCACTCAATCTACGGCTGTTTGTGGAGACGCTGCTGCGCGGAATTGGCTGCCGGGTTTCGCCCACGAAATACACAGTCAATTCGCTCAGGGGGTATTCCGTGAAGCACTTTGAGACGTCTCGAAGATGTGAAAAGCGCGATATCCAATGCAAGGATTATTATTATTATTCGGGCGGACGTTAAAGATCCTGTGCTGCAAGTTCTCGAAGATAGTTTCTCCCATTCGCTCCACATGGTCAAAGAGGAACACCTCGAAATGGACCTTGAACAAGTTATAATAATAATAATAATCCTTGCATTTGATATCGCACCTTATCGCGTCCTTGAGGTGTCTCAAAGCGCTTCACAAGTTATACTGTAATGTGCTGCCAGTGCGTTAAATGTGACAGAGATTTCCATTACCCAATCTCTCACTCAACCACCCCCCTCCCGCCCTCCCGCCCTCCCTCGCTGGGCTCATGATTAATGGACCAGTGAGTCCAATCTGCCTTTGGAGATTAGGCAGAGTTCATCTCTATACCATCCGTAATCCCAGTGAACCTGAGTGACTTTTCAAACTGCTGTCTCACCCCACGCCTCTCCATTTCCCTTCCGACGAAAGATAGTGGGCAGCGGGGCAAGTTGTACCTTAATAGTGATGATAATGGTAATCGTTGCATTTGATGTACAATACCTTGCACTTACTCAGGCAGGGTAGGGTCTCGGAGCGCTTAACAATGGCGGAGCCTGACCCCCACCCGGGAAAGGGGAGGTGACCATAAACACAGCCGAAAAGGAAGGTTTTCAGGCGGGACTTGGAAAAGGGGAGAGAGGCGGGGGCCAAGGCGGAGGGGTTGAGGGAGAGTGTTCCAGAGGGATATAGCTCCTTATCATGTCTTCGAGACGTATTGTGGGGGGGGGGGGGGTCGCGCGTGTCCGTGTGTGCATGTCATTTTGCTTTGGTGGGCGTTTTTGTCGTGCTCGCTCGCCCTGGACTGTTGGAATCAAGATTCTTTTCATTGACTCACTTTCTCCCTCCCTCCCTCTTTCCCTCTCCCCCTTCCTTCTTCCCTCCCGCCCTCTCCGCAGACACCTTCCAACTGGAACTCAAAGCTACAGGTTGCTCAAGTGTAATGATTCACAGGTTCTCAAGAGCACAAGCTTGGCCTTCTGTGGTGATCTAATCTCATCAACACAGCGTAGTCACTCACCCACCCCCTCGCCCCCCCCCCCCCCCCACACACACACACACATAACTTGCATTTACACAACGCCCCTCACATAGGGTAGCGTCCCACCGTTGAAGAGGGCGCAACCTGAAGACCGGCAAGAAAGGGGGCGAATCGGAGGCATAAGTAGAGCAAGAGTGTTCCAGAGTTTTGGAGTGGGGGGGGTAGTGGCTGCAAGCGTGGACGCCGATGGTGGAAAGGAGGGACAAGCAGGAGGCTGGAGCCTGTCGAGCGGGTAATGTGGGATTGAAAGATCGGCCAAACTTCTGATAAACTGGTGGAGCAGGCTGGGTGGGCTGAAGCAGCTTCATTTGTTCCTGTTTGGGAAGTTTTCCCAGTGAGAGATACAGAGAGGAGCTCGGGGAGGAGTTCTGATGAGCACCCGTGTGCCCGGAGGTGGGGCTGAACTCAGTGATTTCTGAACTCGCTGATGTGGAAGCATTTGAACGAGTGCCAGGCAGTCACAAGCTGTCTCGGCACATCGGTCTGCTCCAAGCACACGCATTGTCTGGGCTTGCAAACCCGTGGCAGGACTCCAACGCAGAAATTATCTGGTTGGTCTCAACACGTCCGAAACGGAACAACTTCATCCCGTAGCCGGTGGTTAGAGCGCTCGCCTCGCAAGCGAGAGGTCCCGGGTTCGATTCCCAGCCGGGGCGAAAGTTTTCCTTGCCCTACACACACACACACTCACACACGCACGCACACACGCCTCTGCGTTCCTCGCAGTAAGTAGGAACTTGTCAAGTCGATTGCCGGATCACTGTTTGTGGGACACCGCTGCGAGTTTCTCCCACAAAAATCCCGTCCTTCCCCCCCACCCCCACCTCTCTATTTTTTATTATAAATACTCCTTGCATTTGATACAGCGCCTTATCACGTCTTCAAGACGTCTCAGGGCGCTGGACTGTAATAAATAAAGACTGTCAGTCTTTAAAAGAGATCCGCCAATCGACTAACAACCAGGTTCCTACTAACTGCTTGGTAAACAGAGGCGAGTGGAGTAAGGAAACTTGCCTGAGGTTTCGCCCTGCCCGGGAATCGAACCCAGGCTTCCCAGGCGAGTGCTCTAACCACTACACTACAGGCCTCCACTTTTCCTAATCCTCGCACCGAACTGATAAATTAAAGTCTTGCTTCAAAACTCCTCTTACTGTCTCCGCTCAGCAGAAAATGATCCCCGCGCCAGATGGCAGTCGGGGTATTATTTTTGCCCCCCGCGCTCTCTACCCCGGACAAAGTGACTGGTGTTAAACAAAGAGCCGGAGGCCCGCTCAGAAGAAACTTCATTAATAACAACGATGATAATAATAAGCCGTGCAACTCGGAGAACATCTCAAAGCATTTCGCAGACGAGGCTTCTTGTGGAGCGAGCAGCTTGGTGGTTTGAAAGAGCCACAGCAAGGAGCCAGATCGAGATGAATGCCCAGAATGTCAGGATGTGGGTGACGGGACGCCTGGCAACTTGGCAACATCTATTGCCTGTCCTCAATTAGCCCGAGCAGACGGCGAACCATCTTGTCTCGAGGAGTCCTGTAGCAGTGGTTACTGCAAGCGAGAGGACCCGAGTTTGATTCCAGGGTGGGGTGAAACCTTAGGCAAGTTTCCTTATAGCACACACACACACACACCTGTTTACCTAGCAGTACGTAGGAACCCTGTTAGTCGATCGGCGGATTGCTTTCGGCAAGTAATAATTCCTTCAAAAATAATAATTTGGTCACTCAAGCCACGACTGTTTGCGGGACACTGCTCGGTGCAATTGGCTGCCGGGTTTCGCCCACAAATTGTAGTCAATTAATTGACAGTATGCGCTGTGAAACGCTTTTGAGACGTCTGGAAGACCTGATAAGGCGCTGCATCGAATGCAAGGATTATCATCGTTATTCATCGCAAGGGATTGTTTTCATTCGATTGACCTAATGAGATAAGTTGTATTGTTTTTTTTTTGCGGTGTGTTGGTGCCACCCAGTGGCTAAGACCCAGCAGTTCTCAGCCACATGAGAAAGCAAGCACTTCGCAAGTACTGCCTGTAAAGTGTAGTGACTGTGCATTTGTCAGGCAAACAAGACCGTTAGTCGGCGCGCAACAAGGTCCCACAAACAGGCAGCGAGTTGAAAGACCAGTCTATCTGGGAGACCTGCTGAAATCGGCAGAAACTCCCTTCACTTTACAATAATAATAATAATAAATGCTTCCACCTTGACGTCAGAAGGACCTCTGCAAAGCGTAGTGACTGTGTAACTTGTGAGCAAGGGTTTCCAACGTTTTCCGCAGGAACCGCTGTCAAAAACATGTTTTGTTTCTTTTAATTAAACCACAGTGCCTTACGCGCGGCGTGATAGCCCGAAGCTTTTACAGTAATTACTGGTCAGGTGAAAGGCACAATGGAAACAAGTCATTGCTGGAGTTTCAGCTCGGGAGCTCGAGACTCACGAGTCCCCACGCAGATCTATCCGTCGTTTGCAGATACAGATCAGCTTTTCTGAGAAGGAAATGAGAATGCTCGCCTGGATCCTGTCAAACTCCTGCTGTGGTGACGTGGGAGCAGCTTTGCAAACACATACCTCCCTTGTTCCTTCCCACAGGTGGCAGCTTGGCTCAGTGGGTAGCGCTCGCTCGCTCGCTCTCCCCTTGTGGAAAGAAGGTCGTGCGTTCAAACCGCACCCCGAGATTTCGTAGAATCACACAGTACAGAAGGAAGCCATTCGGTCCATCGTGTCCGTGCTGGTTCTTTGAAAGAGCTGTCCAAATTAATCCCCCGTGCTCTCCCCAAATTTGTCTTCCCCAACTTGAGCTCTGCACTTGGAAGGAAGTGGGGATGGGGGAGGGGGAGAATTAATGATTTTTTTTTTAAAAAGATGATAGTGGAGTCCTGTAAAGCCTCGCAAATGTGAGGATCCAAGTTCCGATTCCTGGGAAGGGTGAAAGCTTAGGCAAGTTTCCTTATATTCCACAGGCCTCGTTCACCTAGTGGTAAGTAGGAACCCGGTTGTTAGTCGATTGGCGGGGGTGATAATCTCTCCTTCCCCCCAAAAAATAATAATTTGGACTCTCAATTCCACAACTATTTGTGGGATATCGTTGTGTGCTGAGATTCGTCCACAAAATAAAGTAAATTTACATTACAGTGTATCCTGTGAAGCACTTTGAGACATCCCAATTCCACAAGGTGCTATATCAAAGGCAAGGATTATTATTAGTTCAGCATTGGGGATATGGAATATTGTTAGGATGATAGACTAATCTGAGGCCTGACCTCTGTGACAGTACGGCATTCTCCACAAGTTTCCATAGATGCACTCAGAATCCCTCACTTAAAAACTTTCCGAATGAAGGGGGCAGATGTCTTGAAACTCTCCTTTGTGCACGCAAAGCAGAAACGAGGCACGGATTTGGAACATAGTTTTATTGTGAAAACAGAATTTGACACGTTAAAAAAAGAGAGAGCATTAAAACACAGGTGACAGTAGCAGCGATGCGATGCAGGTGATCAGTAAACACTCGCTCTTTCAACATCAGGGAGCTAAGTGATACTAACATCTCTGCTACCCCCCCCCCTCCCCTTTCCCCCCACTCCACCTCCTGGCGTTCCAACTTGCAGCTTAACGTGCTGGCCGACTCCACACTCCATCTCGCTGTCCTATCCAGCCTTAAACCACTTGCTCTGTGTTTGTCTCTGCGCTTATCCACCGGGGTGGGAATTAACACAGAGTGAGCGATGCTTTAGGTCTTGCCGCTCCAATGATCCATTGGAATTGAAGAGGATTTTTTGGGGGGGGAGCGAAGAGCAAGTCAAGAAGCGAGGAGGAGGAGATTCTGTGTGAAAACCTCAAGGAGACCAGAAACACAAAGTTTGTGTGATTTAAAAAAAAGACAAAATGGTTGGGGCAGATTCAGATGTCTATTGAATGAATCCATCCCTCCTCTGCCTCTAGTTGGGCGGGCACCAGTGTTTGGTGAGCGAGCAGCAACCCATGAGTTATCTTTGTTTGTCTGTGTGTTTGCTTACAACGAGCCTGTCCGTGTGAAACAAAAGCACTTCTCGGAAACTGGTCAATAAGTGATGATCGCAGCTCACACTCGCCTGGAGAGAAGGCAGCGAGGATTGGGTGGCGAGGGTGTTTGTGTATGTGTGTGTGTAGTGCGGGGGGTTGGGGAAGGGGGCTTGGCGAGCACATGTAGACGTATTGCTCCAAAGCTTTGCCTTGCAGAATCCCGACCCGTTTCTGATCAGCCTCGGTGGTGCTCAAAAGCACCAACGCTGCTGAGCTCTGGCAAGCATTTCGAAAGGGAGGGGAGAAAAACGAGTGGCAATTCCTTACGGTTTCCTCATGAACGTGGAGGTCTCCGACGGTAGTGTGTGTGTGTGTGTGTGGGGTTGGCTGTGACCTTACGATCCTGCTGTCAGACATTTTTATAGGTTCCCCCATGATGTCACGCGGAAACTCAGTCTCTCCCCGTTCGGTCTGATGTCTGAATTGAAAACAGAAGTCGCCGGGAACACTCACACTCGCTCTGCAGGTCAGGCAGCATTGATGGAAAGTTAACTCACTTTCCTCTCTCCGTCAATGCTGAGTGAGTGTGAGTGTTCCCAGAGACTTCTGTTTTCATTTCAGATTTCCAGCAGCTGCAGTATTTTGCCTTTTGGTCTGAAACCTTAACCGCCTTATAAAACTCCCCTGTATGTACGCACGCGCACACACACACACACACACACACACATATATGTGGAAGTAAAAAAAACTGCCATTCTCCCCAGAAGGCTCTCCGCAAGATATACAGAGTGCTTGTTGCAATTTAAGACAAACCACACGCGCTCCCTTCAGGTCTTTACTGAGCAAGAGCAAAACTCTGTCCAGGCTTACACTGCAGGCCAGCCCGACTTTAACTGAAAGAAATAGACGAGAGAGGCAGAGAGAGAGGGAGAGAGAAAGGTGGGGAGGGCTTCGATTTGTCCTCAGCTTCTACCACTGCTGCTAACTTTCCAAACTCCCAAGTAACTGAACATCACCATCTCCCCTGGGAAGTGCCAGCCTCCCCTGCAGCTAACACATACTGTTCTGCCCTCGTCCACCCCCCCCCACCCCCGCCACTGGGGCTGATCGATCAGTCGATCGTCTTCCTCTAAACACCAGCATGTTTCAGATTGCACAGAGATCGAGTGCAGCGGGGGAAGATGAGAACGAGATAAGAGACAGAGACAGACGGGGATTTGATGGAAGAAAATCTCTTTAAAAAATCTGAACAACATACCCATTGACACCATGCACCCCCACCCTACCCCCCACACTCTGAGTTCCTTTCCTCTCAGCAAAAGGGTTTCAATCTCTCCAGCGATTGCCCTAGGTGGCCGAGTCAATGTACAACAACGATAGGAATTACCCCCACTCCCTTCCCCTCCGAACAAAATAGCTGCACGAGAGAATATAACTCTCTCTCCCCACCCCACCAGTCCGCGCTCCCTCCCTCCCTCTCACGGCCCCCGGAACAAAACAATCGCCAGCAATCAATAATCAATCAAGTCAATCAATGAATCAAACACATAGCCGTCAGAAGCAGTGGAGATTTTACCCTCGTGATTAGCGTGGCGCTGTTGTTTGCCCCTCTTCTCACGCGGGGTTGATGCCTCTGTCCCCCTCAGAGGGTAGGGTGTGCGTGTGCAGTGTGAGCCTCACAAGGTGTCACAATTTGAGCGGCCTGCCTTCCTCTTCACCCTGACCTTTGTCGGCTTGATCACCTTTGGGAGGAAAAAGAACCCTTGAGCCGACGCACATTCGCTCGTTCCCAAACCAACCTGTGCATCGCATCGCCCACGAGGCTCCGTGTTGTCGACCTGGCTCAGTCACGAGCCCCTCTTGCCTCAGACACTCAATTGGTCGTTCAAGCCTCCTCCCCCCTCTCCCCCCAACACCCGATAAAATCTGTCACTCACTTTGTGGCTGTGGTGTTAACTGTTTTCAAATGGGCTGCGCAGCTCCCCTACAAAATACACAGTCACCGTGCTTTACTGTGTAGCCTGTAAGTATAATAATGATGGTCCTGGCATTCGATCCAACGCCTCATCACGTTTTCCGAGACGTCTCAAAGCGCTTCACAGGAAACACTGGAAAGTGAACTGACTGTATGTTTTGTGGGCGAAACGCGGCAGCCAAATGCACACAGTGACGTCCACACAAACAGGCATGGATTGAGTGACCAAATTTTCTTTTTTTTGAGAGATTATTACCCCCGGAAAAGCGATCCGTCAATCGAATAACAAGCCTAGTTCCAAGTTACTGATAGGTTAACGGAGGTGTGTGTAATAGGAGTAAGGAAACTTGCCCAACATTTCGCTCTGACCCACCCGGGAATCGAACCCAGGTCCTCTCGCTTGCGAGGTAAATGCTCTAACCACTGAGCTACAGAACTCCTCGAGTATCCTTGCCTCCCACACCCCTGGGCCGTGGGCTGGCAGCTTGCGGTCTCTCTCACCTCTTTGCTGTGAATCTTCTTCCTGGAATCATGGTGGCTCTGAGCGCGGCGTAGCGGCCTGGAGCCGGGCGAGTTGTGCCGCCTCGCTGTGCCTCTCGCCCCCTCCGCCTCGCCGTCAGACTTGCACTCCTCCTGCGAATCCGTCTCGTCTTCGTAGGGGTGGCTCACGGAGGCTGCGGGCAATCCTTGGGCTGAACAGAAGGCAGGAGACACGGGGTGTGAGCACACAAGAGCCTGGCACCTCTCTGGCTGCCCAGCCCACCCTCCTCCTCTACCCCTTGCGTGCTCAGGCCAGAACTACAGCTAACTTCCCGCCCACGTGAACCTGGACTCGGAAGTCGATCGTCAGGAGAGAAAGGGAACTTAGTGGAGCCTGGCTTCAAGATTATGGGAGTGCTCCACATTAGACGAGCAAGTTGAAGAAAGGAATTTGGATCTGGGTCACACTGTGCTTAAGGAACTGAGGCAGACAAGTTCAGACACCCACCAAACGTCATAGTCACCAAACCTTCTGCTAATTTTTCTGCAGCGCATAGCTTTTCGAAGCGAGGAATAAATCACACCTTCCACCCCTTTAACCTTTACACAGCTCCCAACTCTGTCTTAAGGACCATTGTGTCACACGTCTCCCATTTTAAATTCAGTTAGTCTCTCACAGTAATCGTTGCGAGTGACTGCGATCGGCCTCCTGGATAGCTCTTCCTCAGGGTAAAGCGGGTCTCTGTAATGTGCTGGCTCATCACCCTGAATGTTGCTCAGGTCCTGCATGCTGAAACTGCGCAGTCGGCCTGCGATCGCTCCCTGGCTCTGCAGCGGACGAGGGAACAAAAAAAAAACTGTCACGTCACTCGCACAAGAACAAGCAGGAGGCTGGAGCAGGTCGAGCGGAGGCAGCGGGTTGGGAAGTAAGCAGGTCGGAGAGGTAGGCTGGTGCTAGGGCATGAAGTGCTTTGAAAACAAGTGTGAGGATCTTGAAATCGATCCGTTCGGTGATCGGGAACCAGTGGAGCCTGGCCAGGACTGGTGTGACGGGGAAGGTGGGGCGAAGTGAAAGCATAAACGAGGAATACTTGCCTTTGCGGCAGCACTGACTGCCGCAGTCGCTGCCAGATTCAAGCCTCTTTTGCCAAAGCTCACCATGGTCTCGTAACTACGCTCCTTGGCTTGAACGAGGTAGCCATCGATTTCCTACAACAGAGAGGAGAGATGGGGGAGGAACTTGGTAGATTAACGCATGTATTTTTCAAAAATACTAGGTCAACAGAGGCTTGTGGAGTAAGGAAACTTGCCCAAAGTTTTTCCTCGTCTGGGAATCGAACCCAGCTCCTCTTGCTTTGCGAATCGAGTGTGCTACCACTGTGCTATAGGTCTCTAAACCGGCCTTGATCAAAGTAAAGGCATTTTTTTTTAAAAAAGACAAGCAAACAACACAATCATTTACAAAGCGTTAAGCGGTGGCCAATTTAAGTCAAAGATTAACTGTAATTGGCTTCATGTACAGGGCGAGTCACGCTGCAATGCCAACACAAAGGAGCTTGTTTGCACTAATTTGACTGGGGTTTTTTTTGGTCTGCGACGCTGTACATTTTGTTTAGGCAAATATGAATTGGGAGCAACAAACTCTCAGTGAAATAAAAACAACCGCCATCAGTTTAGCAGGTTTTAAATCCGTGATCAAGATAAGAAAGCTCATCCATCAACAATTCGTATTTATACAGCACTCCTCACACAGGGTTACGTCCCAGAGTGCTTAACAGTGGCGGAGCACGATGCTGACCAGAGGGAGTTGACCGTAGGCACGGTGGAAGCGGAACCTGAAGATGGGGAAGGAAAGGGCGCGGCGGAGGGATAGAGGAACAGAGGAGGGCACAATGGTTCATTGAAATGCTGCAACATAGTCTAGACTCCTTTTTTTTATGTGTTTCTTTGTTTTGTTCTCTCTGTACCTTTTCCTTGGAAGAAAGAGTGGGGTGAATGAACTTCCTATAAAGCATACTGGCTCCCTTGGTGTACGGTGACAGCAGCCAGACTACGAATGCGATCTTGATCTCATAGTAGAATGGAAACCTGCGGATTAGCAAAGAGCAGATCCCTCATAACCCGAGCAATTATTTTTATAAATTCTTCCATTAACATTAATATAGCACCTTATCATGTCCTTTCAATACTCTTCACAGGATATAATGTAAAGTGTAATTTGTGGGTGAAATACGGCATCCAGTTTTGCATATAGCAGTGTTCCACAAACAGCTATAAAGTGTGTGACCAATTTTATTGGGGGGGGGGGGGGGGGGGGGGGGGGATTGTTGGCCAGGACACTAGGAGAGAGAAACTCCCTTTTCTTTTCAAATAGCGCTGCAGGATCTTTAAACGTCTCATCTGAAGGTCAGCACTTCTGACAATGCAACACTCACTCTCAGCGATGCATTGGAGCGTCAACTTAGACTAAGTTCCGACAAGGGGGCTTGAACCAAAAACCTTCCGACTCGGAGGCGAGAGCGCTACCACTGCGCCAGGCCGGCAGACAAATAAGACCGCCATGCTCGCCTACAAAAAACACAGCCACTACACTTTAGTAAAGCACTGTGAAGCGCTTAGAGACACCTTCTCGCCGTGAAAGGCGCTGGATTGAATGCAAGGATTGTTACTTAATTACAGTCAATTGGCATCTGCACGCAGCAGGCAAAAGGCTTGACAAACGGCCACAAAGTGAATAGCCGATTTATTTGCTGGGATTCTTGGCCGGGTCGCAGCGGGTAAAGAGAAACTGCCTTCTGTTGTGTTTTTTTTTTGAATCACAAATTGTTCATTGATCCTTCGGAAACCGGAGAAAGCAATGGAAACAAAAGCACATTTCAGCAGCAGGCCGGAGGCTGATACACTCCTCTGCTCTCCACCTACTCTCTCCCTGTCTGAGAGCCAACTCCTAACACCAATCCATTCAGCACTGTTTCCCGGCACTGTATTGGAGCGTCACTGCTGAACGACTGTTAAGAGTTCATAGCCCCCGACGTGGGGCTTGAACCTTCTGACTCGAGATGTGAGACCGCTACCAACTGAGTCAGGCTCTAATAGTTATATTTCATAATAATACTTGCATTTCATACAGCACTTTATCACATCGTTGAGATGGCTCAAAGCGCTTCACAGGATATACTGCAAAGTGAATTGACTATGTTTTTTGTGAACGAAACGTAGCAGCCAATTGTACAAAGCAGCGTCCCACAGATAGTTGTGGATTGAGTGACTAAATTACTATTATTTATTTCTTTTTAAGGGATTATTATCTTGCGAGGCGAGTGCTCTAACCACTGCACTTCAGGACTCCTTTAAAGAGACTCTTCCATAAACTCTGCCTCAAATTCTTTGAACATTTTGTGACTTACCAAGAAATAAATATGTCAGTGAAGGTTTCCACTGTTGTAAAGATAGCGAACACAATCCAGTACATCATCCACCGGACCTGAGAGAAAGATTAACAATCAGCTCACAGTCCACAGCAGTCTACAACAGAAGCAGTCTAAAACCCCAGTCTACAAGCCATATCCCCAAGGAAAGCTAGCGACTGTGTACTTTGTGTCCGAACGCGACAATCAATTCACATTGCTACGTTATTTATTTGCTCTTAAACTAATCAGCCATTTATTTTTTTGATAAAAAAGCCACAAATCAGGTTTGTCCGTATGTTGATCAGATTCCGAGGCCAGTTGCCGGATCCACCTCCCGGAACCGAATCAAATCAATCCCGTGGGAGCTGCGTGAATCCTGTTTGTCTGCAACCAATCCTGACCAAATTATTTATTCCTCTTACTTATCCTTTCACCAGAAATTACAGTCAATTTGACTTAGCAGTATATTCTGTGAAGTGCTTTGAGACACCTCACAGACATAAGGCGCTATATCAAATGTAACGATCATTATTATCCACCCCTTTTGTTCTTGAAACAGAGAGAACTTTAGCCTTGTTTCATCTTTCTCCAGTGTGTGTATGTGGGTGACTGTGGGGGAGCTCAGTCAGTTTTGTGTGCTACCCCCTCCACCCACCACCGATGAACCAAGAGAGTTAATGATGTGATTCAAATGCCTGCGTTTGACTTTCAAAGCGAGCGATTTGCTGAGGGTTAGTTTTATGTGTTATAGCCTCGCTCACTCCATCTCAGCAAGATTCTTTTCTTTTTTAAAAAAAACATTAAACAGTAAAAAGCCCCAAACAGTAGGGCCCATTGACTGGGGATAAACGCGGTGAATCATTCTGTGCACACAAAGACACTTGTTTGCACAGAGCATTGTTAGGTTAAGCCCTAGTGATAAATCAACATGGACTGTGTGAGCACCAGTATAACCAGGATGGGGACTGTGCGAATACCAGCCAGGATAGCCAGGCTGGGCACTGTGTGAGCACCAGCACACTGCAATGCTAACACTATCGTACACACGTCACTGGTTACTCACAGTGGGGAACGAATAATACTAATGTTAAGCGTAATGTTAGCATTCAATAATCCTTGAATTTGGTCTTAACAGGTCATTGAGACGCCTCAGAGCGCTTTGCAGGATAATGATAATCTTTGCATTTGATACAGCGGCTTATCACGTCTTCGAGACATCTCAAAGTACTTCACAGGATACACTGTAAAGTGAATTGGCTGTAATGTATTGTGGCAGCCAATTCCACACAGCAGTGTCCCACAAACAGTTGTGGATTGAGTGAGCGAATTGTTATTAGGATAATTAAATTGCTAGGATACAGTGTGCACGGACTGTGTGTTTTGTGGGCGGAACTCGGCAGTCAGACATCCCACGAACAGCTGTTAAAGATCCAACTGGAAAAGAGAAGGGAGTTTTCTCCCAATTGGTGTCCCGATTGACAATCCCAGGCACAAGCACGATGGGCCGAATGGCCTCCTTCTGTGCTGTAAGGTTCTATGATTATTATTTTCATAGGGAAGCGACGCTCTTGCCCAGAAACATGCTGAGCGCTGGGGCAAACCTGTTCTAACACCGAACAGCTGACTTCACTGAGCACATGCTGGCTGCCTGGGGCCCTCACCAGGGAAATTGCAGTTTACAGAGAACAAGTGCTTTGGAATCGCCCTCAGCAGCTAATGGGATTAACCCTCAACACCAACTCTTCCGTCTCTCTTTAGAACTCAAGCATAAGTTGTTGTTGTTGAGGAGCCCATTGGCTCAGAAACGAACAAGCAAATCCGGGTATCTTCACGCAACAAAACATCAACAGAATTTTGCATTTTCAGTTAAACCACTTTTAACGACTGAACTGGGATTGCTTGAAATTTGTGGCTCAACTCAGCGTGCGAGGGCAGGACTGGGTGGGTGGGGGAGAAGGGTTGGGGCTATCACTTCAGAAAAGCGATCCACCAATCGACTAACGACCGGGTTCCAACTTACTGCTAGATAAACAGAAGCATGTGGAGTAAGAAAACTTGGGTGACATTTTGCTTTGCTTAGGGAATCGAGCCTGGGTCCTCTCGCTTGTGAATTAAAAAATATGTATACACACATATAAATAAAATACATACACATAATACTCACATACTCCTTCACATTTTTCGTCTTGACTGCTTTGTAGGATGTGTAGGCAGGGTACAGAGTGCCGAAGGCTAGCCTGTTGACAGATGCACAGAAATAAGATCCAATTAACATGGGAGGGGAGCAGGATCTCAAGTTAACAGCAGCTGCAAATAGCTCAGGGACCGATCAGGGAGCCTTGTGCTCCAATCAACACACTTTCCCTACTCCAGCAGAAGTCTCAGAGTATGGAGAAAGGGGTCCCGGGTGGGACCATCATCTTATAATGGTTATGATTATAATCACTTGTGGTGCACAGTAGGTATAATAATAATCCTTGCATCTAATATAGTCTTTGAGACGTCTCAAAGTGCTTCATAAAATATATTGTAAAGTGGAGTGACGAAATGCTGCAGCCAATTGCGCACAGCACTGTCCCACAAACAGTTGTGAGGCGCGTGACCAACTTTATTTACTTGTTGAGGGGGATTATTACCTCCTGGGGCTATCACCTCAGAAAAGCGATCCACCAATCGACAAATAACTGGGTTCCTACTCACTGCTAGATAAACAGAGTGTGTGGAGTAAGGCAACTTGCCAAAAAAAAATAAGTCAGACTGGGAGACGAGACACTGAGAGATGCCAGGCTTGTTCGGACAGGTACCCATATGGGGCAGAGGGCGAGGCACACAGCGCTGAGGCAAGCCACAGGGGAAACCCTGGGGCAGGAGGGAGTGCAGCTGAGCCAGAAATGAGGTCACCTTCTTGGGAAAGAAAAGGGAGTTTCTTCTGTCAAAATAAAATCGCAATGTTTGCTCGTGGGATCTTGCTGCAAGCAACTTGGCTGCCATGTTTCCCCAGAAAGACCCCCTACTCTGTTCCAGCAACAGTAGCCCCGAAACTCTAGGACACTTTTCCTCTATCCCTGCACCTTGCCCCCTTCCTTCCCCATCTTCAGGTCGGGCCTCAAGACCTTCTTCTTCAATGGTGCCTACAGTTCCCCCCCAACCCCCAGGCTTTGTGATTTGTGATGGTTGGAAGAGGGGAGAAGCCTGGGGTAACAGGGATACAATTCCGTAATTTTCACAGCACACAATCTGCTGCTTTTATGGCTGCAGTTGCAAGAACTCAACATGAGCAAACATGGTAATAATAAGAGGCTCTTTTCGCTTTCCTACACAGCCTTCTCAGAAGCAGGATCCGTAAATAAAGCATCATTCCAGGACTGAAGCCAGCTCCAGGGCGTGAGACTGGACAGATAAGATTAACAACCGACCAAACAATCACAACAGGAAGAATTTGTAGTTCAGCGCTTCCCTGACGTGTTGTGTGCTAGCCCGGATCAGGCACCGACACTCTCCAGTCAGGAGGCTGTGGGGTCAAGTACCCACTTTGTGGCTTGATCTCGCATAGTCTTAAGCTGACACTCTGACACAGCAATGGGAGGAGCGCTGCATTGTCGGAGACACTGTCCTTTGGAGGAGACGTTGAACCGAGCTCCACCGCCTGTGTCCTGTTCAGGTAGACGTTAAAGTTCTCTGCAGTGCTATTGGAAAAGAGAAGGAGGTTTCTCCCAGCCGGTGTCCTGGCTAACAGGACAATCCCCCAAATAAAATTGGTGACTCTTTTCATGGGCGTTTGTGCTTTGCGTTGGACATTTTGGTTATAGTTAGGCAAGTTTCCTTACTCCACATGCCTCTGTTTGCCTAGCAAAAAGTAGGAATCCAATTGTTAAATCGATTGGCTGATCGTTTTCTGGGGGTAATAATCCCTCAAAAGAAAAAAATGTGGTCACTCAATCCACAATTACAACAACTTGGATTTATATTGCGCCCTCCACACCTGAAGGCGTCTCAAGAGCATCTGTTCGTGGGACACTGCTGTGTACAATTGGCTGTCGGGTTTGCCCACAAAAATACACGTAAATCCACTTTATGGTATATTGTGTGAAGCACCTCAATGACATGATAAGGCACTATATCAGATGCAAGGATTATTATGATTATAAAGCAGGCTGCCACATTCGCCTATAAAGCAGTCACATAACTGCCCGCAGTGAGCGAGAGATCGATGCCAACCCCAGTGATTTGACTCTTTCAACATCTACAGCTTGTTGATGAGACTCTGCTGTAACTTCAGAGGCAGTGAGTCAGGCTTTGCTCACAAGGTGATGGCTAATTACTTTATTTCATCAGCCAGGAACCAACCCACTTAGCGGAGCTAAACAGAAACCTCTTGCCACAGGTTTGTGCACAAAGAGAGAGAGAGAGAAAAAGGGGGGAAAGAGAGAGAGATATGTATATTTTTAGGGCCAGACAGGTGTCTGAGAAAAGCGGAAACCCATCGCAGCGCTTAAGAGCATCGAAAACCAAACCGAGAATTCCATGCATCCAACCTACACATGGAAACTCCGGAGATAGGAAGAGAGTGTGGGTAAAAGAAAGAGAGGGTAAAAGAGAAAGAAAAATTGAAAGTGTGAAAGAGAGAGAGAGAGAAAAGAGATGTAAAAGAGAAAGAAAAAGTGAAAGAAAGAATGTGAACACAGTGAGAAAGAAAGAGAGAAAGAAAGAGAAAGAAAATACAACGCAAAATTATATTTGTATAGCGCCTTTCGCATCAGGAGGTCGTCTCAAGGCGCTGGACAGTCAGGAAGTTAAAAATGAAAAAGAGAAAGATGCTCCCAGTTGTCGTTTCTGCTCTACACTAGGCCGGAGAGTAGCCAAGCAAACACGTACCAGTTTCCCCTCTCTGTGCGAGATAGTGCGTCCGCTCGCTTACCAACTGGGTGCAGCCGCAGTTCGCTTTGGATATTCTTAAACACGGTGATGGGTTTTCATGCATTTTAGACACCTGGCTGCCCCCCAGACTACACAGCACCGAAAAAGTTCTGCATCCAGTCCCTCTCCCCTTTTCTCAACCCTTGACAGTATATTTTGTGAAGCGCTTTGAGATGTCTCAACGACATGATAAGGCGCTATATCAAACGCAAGTATTATTATATGCAATTGTCCTTTTCAAAATGTTTCGCCAATTTCCTTTCAAGAGATATTATGGATTCTGCTTCAACCAGCGATGTTTGGGCCGAGCATTCCATGCCCATTTACAGTAAAACTCTCTCTCCTTAACCTCTCCCTAAGCCTTTTTTGTTTTTGAGCAACGAACTTAAATGTCTGCCTTCCATTCACTGACTCACTCACTCCCAAGCCAGGGTCACTCCAACATGCAAACTCAGAAGTGGGCTTTAAAAAGGAGATGCTTTTATGTGTGTGTGTGTGTGTGTGAGACATTAAATGAAAATATAAAGGTTAGCCCTACCCTTCACGCACTTCATTAGATACAAAGCAAGCACCGGGGAGTAAAGAGATGTGGGTCAGTGTTAAACACAGCTGATTAAATGTCAGACCTGTCTGCCTTTACAGGGATAAGCTGGGTCCAATGTCCCATTACAAACTCTGTTCTCGCCGGGAATTCCCTCTCCCCTTTTGTGTAAAGATGCACTTCCTGGGGTCTATCTTCACATTCACCCCCTTCGCCCCCACCATGAGCTGTGATCTCTCAACCTGCTGCCCTGGTGTATCTGAGAACATTGCTTTGGGGAAATGGTGCTGGTATCTTATACAAGTCTAAATGCTCCATTCAAAGCTGCTGTTGCCTGCTCGTTCAGCATAGATCATAACCTTCCCCCAAGGGTAAGGGGGAACAGGGGAGAAATCAGCGGTGTTGCTCTTCTCTGCAGAACTGGTTTTATTCAACTTAAATCAGATAATAATTCGGTCACTCAATCCCCGATTGTTTGTGGCACGCTGCTGTGTGCAATTGGCTGCCACGTTTCACCCACAAAATACACAGTCGATTTACTTTATACAGTACATCCTGTGAAGCACTTTGAGACGTCTCACCGACGTGATAAGGCGCTATATCAAATGCAAGGATTATTATTAATAATACTCTGACCAGAACTAGACTGGGAGACATCGACCTGGACCAACTCCCTTCGCTTTTCATACAGCGCCACGGGGGAAATCTTGAGCAGGAGAGATGGGGAATTTCGATTTAACGTCTAAACGAAGAACGGCGACTCCCAACAATGCAGCGCTCTCTCCCCCCCAGCGCAGCGCAGGAGCGTCAGCCTAGTCGTTACGAATTCACACACAACATGCAGATACAAAACAAGTCTTTGAACACCTTAAACAAACTCGACAATGACGAGAAATAAACCTTGCACTTATAAAAGTATAACAAACACCGGGCAGTTAGAATTAATTCTTAAAATAATAATCCTCGCATGTATCGTGATTAATGATACAAATACTATAATCTTCGCAACCTACAATTAATAGCGATCCTTGCACTAGGATATAGTTATATTACACGGGGGAGAAATCAGCGTTGGTGCTCTTTGCAAAACCTCGATGAGCTAATTTGTTTCCTCATGAAAAACTGCTGGCACGTAGGATTAATTTTTAGAAAATCATAATCCTCGTATGTTTGAGCATGTTCAGACCAAGCAGTTGCGTCAACTCACGCGCACGCACACCCGTAGCAGAAGATCCGCCCCCCCAACCCACCACCCCATGAAAAAAAACCACATAAGAAGTTCAAAAAGAAAAGTTTCACACAAACAAACTCGACTCCAAATAACCACGCCTGTTTGTGGGGGACACGTGTGCGCAATTGGCTGCCGCATTTCGCCCACAAAACATACAGTCTCTACACTTTGCAGGGTTATCCCGCGAAGCGCTTTGAAGCGCCCGGAAGACGCAATAAGGCGCCGTAGTATCCAAAATGCGAGGATTATCATCGGGATACAAAATTCAAAAGGAGTTTCAAACAAAGAAACTCTTGACTCCAAATATATATATATACGATACATATAATACACATACACACACACCAATAAAAAAAACTTTCTGAACCACAGAGATAAAGAATGACGAGTGATTTGCAAAGATGATTACATAACATAAATATATATTATACCTATATAAATAAATATTATAGATAGATATAAATAAATACTCTCTGAACACATATTTTCAATCTACGACTGTTGTGGGACATTGCTGTGCGCAATTGGCTGCCGCATTCGCCCACAAATATACAGTCAATTCACTTTACAGTGTGTTCTGTGAAGCGCTTTGGGACGTCCTCCCGACGTGAAAAGCGCTATATCAAATGCAAGGATTATTATTATTATTATATACACACACACACAGACACAGAATGAAGAGTGATCATACTCACACCACCAGCCTGGAGATGAGCCACGACACCATCCTGCCAGTCTGCCAGAGGGCTAATATATATATATATTTAAAGATAAATATATATATATCTGGTTTGGAGACGAGTGGCTTCACTGACAAGGGCCTGGGTCACATGGGTGGGTAGGTGGGTGGGTGGGGGGAAAGAGGAGCGGTTGCTTCTAACCGGTCCGCCCGTTGCTTCTAACCGGTCCGCCCGTCGCTTCTAACCGATCCGCCCGTTGCTGCTAACCGGTCCGCCCGTTGCTGCTAACCGGTCCGCCCGTTGCTGTTAACCGGTCCGCTTTCCGCCGCCTTCTCCCGCTTCTCCTTCTCCTCCTCCCCCCCCTGTTGACGACCGGTTGGCGGTTCGGGAGCGGGATGGGGGAGGGGGGGGGGGTCTCTCTCTAACAAGCGGCAGCTATTCCCCTCGCTCAAACACCAGCCCTCAACGCGGCGACGGCCCGGTCTTCCCTCGCCGCGGGTCCCCGGGGGGGGGGGGGGGCGGGTGTGTGTGTGAGTGTGTGTGTGTGAGGGGATGGAACCCAACCGCCGAGTTGCTTCTAACCGGTCCGCTTCCCTCCCTCGCGCTCCAGTTTGAATCTCAACGGACTTTCCTCTCTCTCTCTCTCCCTCTCGAGCGCGAGCGGAACGGGTGCGCGCGCACGCACGCGCGGCGGCCCCCGGGAAGGGGGGGGGAGGTCAGGCGGGTTCGCGCCTGCGCGCTGCACACAGGCAAAATGGCGCCGCCGCCGCGTTCGTTCCGAGACGGGGGCGTCCAAACTTTTTTTTGTTCTCGTGTGCGTGTGTGTGTGTGTGTGTGTGTTGTGGGGGGAGCGGGGGTGGGGGTTTGGGGGAGAGGGAGCGGGGAGGGTGGGGATGTGGGGGGGGAGGTGGTGGTGGTGGTGGTTGTTGTCGTTGCCGATGATGCCACAAAGCCCTCGATTGTGAGGCTGTTTTTTGAGGCAGTTTTTTTTTCTCTCTCTCTCTCCCCCCTTCCCCCCTCCCCCCCTCTCCTCTTCCCCCCTCCCCCCCTCTCCTCTTCCCCCCTTCCTCCCTCTCCTCTCCCCCTTCCTCCCTCTCCTCCTTCCTCCCTCTCCTCTCCCCCTTCCTCCCTCTCCTCTCCCCACTTCCTCTCTCCCTCTCCTCTCCCCCTTCCTCACTCCCTCTCCTCTCTCCTTCTCCCCCCTCCTGCTCTCCTCCCTCTTCTCTCCCCCTCTTCTCTCCCCCCCCACACACTCTCCCTCTCCTTCCTCTTCTCTCCCTCCCCTTCTCTCTCCTCCTCTCCTCACTCCTCCCTCTCCCTCTCTCTCCCTCCAGCCCACTCTCCATCCTCCTCCTCCCCCCCCCTCTCTCTACCTCCCTCCTCCTCCCCTCCCTCTCCTGCCTTCTCTTCCCCCCTTTTCTCCTCTCTCTAGCCCCCACCTCTCTCCTTCTCCACCTCCTCCTGTTGCTTTGGGCATAATAATAATACTTGCATTTAATACAGCACCTCATCACACCTTCAAGAAGTCTCAAAGCGCTTCACAGAATATACCGTGAAGTGTAGTGACTGTGTATATTGTGGGCAGCCAGTTGCGGCACAGCAGCGTCCCCACAAACAGCGTTGGGTGACCAAATTATTATTATTTTTGAAGGGATGATTACCCGAGGAAAAGCGATCTGCTAATTGACTGACAATTGGCTTCCTACTTACTGCCGGGTAAACAGAGGTCGAGCGGAAGGATTAAGAAAACGCGCCTAAGGTTTTGACAACAACAAGATTACATTGATATAGCGCCTTTCATGTCGGGAGGACGTCCCAAGGCGCTGGACAGTGTACACAGTGCATTTCAGACCCGAGCTGGGGGTTGGGGGTGGTGGGGAAGAGGAGGGTGTCGGATTCGAGCCAGTCCTGTGTGACGGTCTCCGGTCCAGTTCTTGAGCCGGAGGTTGTATTCCAGGGGTTGGGGGGCGGTGGGGGGCAGGGAGAGAGACAGAGAGAGTGATAGAGTAACAGACAGGCAGACGGACACGGTGAGAGACTTCAATCAGTGGAGAGAGACACAGAGAGAGAAAGAAGAGAGCGTATGAGGGAGGCACTCCAGGGCACTCACTGCTGATGACAGCACGGCCCAGCCCAGCACAGCCCGGCTCATCAGTGGGACCTGGAAGGACAGATTGGAATTCTCAGTTTGATTTGGATACCCTTTTGGTTTGCTGTTGGGTTTCCGCATGTGTCAGACACCCAGCTGACCAAAACAACACAGACAAGAAGGCACTGAGTGCAGCAAGCTGCAATGCCTAGCCACGCGGTGGCAGCAGAACACTACATATCCATCCATCCATCCACAATAACAGCAGCTTATTGCAGTTACGCATATTAATAATAATCCTTGCGTTTGATATAGTGCCTTATCGCGTCTCTAACCACTCAGCTGCAGGACTCCACATCGTTAGTCCCCCCCCACCCCCACCCCAACCTGGGTGTTTGCACATTTTGTGAACAGGATGAGGCATAGGGCGAGACTGGGCTGGATACAGCAAGGCTGGGTGGGTTAACAAATCCAAATAAACATCTAATTTGTGGTATTTGAAACGGGATTTCTTAAGAATTGATGATGTCTTTCTCTTTCTCTGTCTACTTTCTCTCTCCCATTGATAATACCTCCCTCATACGCTCTCTTCTTTCTCTCTCTCTGTCTCTCTCCACTGACTGAAGTCTCTCACCGTGTCTGTCTGCCTGTCTGTTACTCTACCACTCTCTGTCAGTCTCTCTCCCTACCCCCCCCCTCCCCGTATTGATCGATCGCATTCCGTGTCTCTCTCCTGTTGCTGTGATTCAAACAGATTAATGGCCCTGCAGCAAATCACAGCGCATTGTGCATTTGCTGGCCCTGTGAACGAGCTTTCCCTCCAGTCCTGCTCCCTGTCATTCCCGGTCAGTCACTACTCCCTGCTGCTCTCCCTTTCTTCACGGCCCATTTCAAGACTTCATTAACCGCGCTTTCGGTCATCTTTCCCCTTCGGTCCCCACCCCTCACAGCCATGGCTCCCTGCCCCGTCAACAACAACATTTCAATTACACGGCGCCTTTCGCGTCGGGAGGACGTCCAAACCGCTGGTCAACGAAGGTCCTGAACCCGAGCTTTGTGATGTCCTCCCTGACATAATAAATAATAATGATCCTTGCCTTGGAAATAGCGACTCAATCCACAACTGTTTGTGGGACACTGCTGTGCGCGATCGGCTGCTGCATTTCGCCCACAAACATATACAGCCAATTCACTTATCGCGTCTTTGAGACGTCTCAAAAGACGTGATAAGGCACTATATCAAATGCAAGAATTATTATTATTATTATAGTGCCCCATCACGTTGTTGAGACATCCCAAAACTCCCAAATTGAAGTAACTCTATTTTATGGACGAAACATGTCAGCCAGCATAGCAGCGTCCCGGAACGCTTAATGGCGGAGCACCGCGCGGGGTGTGGGGGAGGTGACCATACGCACGGTCGAGGAGGAAGGTGAATGGGCTCTTTCTGAGCTGTAGTTTCTATGTACCTATGAATGCAAACGCAGGCAGGTTGATGCTATTGTAGTAAGCTGTTCCGTGTGTCTGCAGATACTTTTCCTGTGAAGCTCACGGCTTTACTTGAACGAACTCTTCACTCTCCTGAAAATCCTATCAGCGCAGCAAGTCAAGCCTAAAGCATATCTGCCGACGATCATTCATCATCCTTGTATTCCTGTCATCAGCCCCGCGATAGAGACATGTAACCCCCAAAGCCTCTTAAGTCAGGATTTGGAACCCATCTAGTCCAGGCTGACTGCAATGTAGTGCTGTCTGGGGTGGGGGTGGGAAACACTGCATTGTTGGGAGATGCCGTCCTTCGGATGAGATGTTAAACTCGACTCCCCCCACCCTCCCTGTTTGTGCCCTGCTTGGGTGGATGTTAAAGATCTCCCAAGCACGTGTGTGTGTGTGTGCAATTTCTGTGCGTGTGCGCAGTTGCTCGCACTCAGTCACTGGAGAAGCTGACCCTCCGGGTAAATATTGAGTAAATATTTAACGAGTGCTTTTCCTGCGGATCTTTAGAGTGAAGCTTATTAATGAATCGTACTTTTAGCACAAAAATTAATTCTGTTTCAGTCTCGTCTCTCTCCCCCCCCAGTGAGCTTCCAGCTTCGAAACATTCAGTGTTCCCACTCTCATCTGTAATCACTCTCGCTCACGCTTTCACTCTTTGTCTCTCACTCTTAGTCTCTCTCAATCACTCTATCTCTCACTCATTTTCTCTCTATCTCACGCTCTCTCACCCTCTCTGTCTCCCTCTCTCTCGTTCTCTGACTTTCTCTCTGTCTCATTTGTTTTCTGTCACTCGCTTTCTGTCACGCTCTCACTGTTTCATTTTCTCTTTCTCTCTGTCTCTCTCCATCAGGGAAAAATCTTAACTGACAGTAAATTAAAACAAATGTATCACATAATGATGCGTGGAAGTTAATTACAGGAAGGAATCCTATCCAAGGGGTTTGAATTAATTGTAGGTAGAATAACAGGCAGCCCTGCAAGTGAGTTACAGGCTGGAATCTAATCCAAGGGAGTTTATGAAGTCTTTCTTTAAGGTGTAGTGACTGTATTTTGTAGGCAAACATAGTGGAGAGAGACAGGGAGACCGGGGAGGTCCTTGCAGAGGGTTTTAAAGTGTCAGAACTCCCTCCGCGCAGCATGTTATCAACACGCACACACATCAGGCAATTAACACTCGGAGCATCTGTGGCGAGAGCAGAACTCAATGTGAGAAAGAGAGAGAGAGAGAAAGAAACAGTGAGAGAGAGTGACAGGGACAGCTGTGATTGTGAGATGTTTTTAATTGGTTTCGTCTGACCGTTCACCTGAGCTCGAACGGCAAGGGATTGAGCTGGGGATGCGGGCATCTAGAAGTAGTTTCTGCTCCCTCTAAGCCCAGCGCTTTGGGACGTCCCATTCCCCACCCCGCCAGCAATGTGAGCTTGTAGTCCCTGACGTCGGCTTGGAACGCAAGCCTCCTGACTCGGAGCGAGTGAAAGAGAGAGAGTGAGGGAGAGAGTGAGAGGGAATCTCACACATAAAACAATCATTGGATTCAATTTCGAGCAAATTGTAGCCCTGTTGCAGATGAGCCTTTCTTGGCGGTTTGAGATGATCTGGGAATTTGTTTAGGGGCTGCATCCTTGTGTTGTAACTACACTTGCGGAGGCCTGTTAGAGCACTCGGATTGCTTTTCCGGGGGTAATAATCTCTTTAAAAAAATTGGTCACTCAATCCACGACTTTTTGTAGGGACACTGCTGTGCGTAATTGGCTGCTGCATTTCGCCCACAAAATGCACAATCAGTTCGCTTCATAGTGAATTCTGTCAAACGCTTAGAGACATCCCAGCGACGTGATGAGGCACTATATCAAATGCAAGAATTATTATTATCTCTTGTTTTCCCAGACTCGGGGCTAAAGCTCCTAAGT